GGACTCCAACTCGGGTCCATCTCGGACTCCACTTTGGACTCCAACTCGAGTCCATCTCGGACTCCACTTCGGACTCCAACTCGAGTCCATCTCGGACACTTCCACGTGTCATGTGTTGGCTTTTGGGTCCCTTTTTGGAGCCTCGCTTTTTGCTCGCTTCGTGCTCGTTCCTCGAGCACTTCTTTGGGAGTTCCACTCCCGCTCTTGACTTTTCAAGTCGGAGCTTTTGGTCCAAACGTGTTACGCTCGTTTGGCTCTCGCTTCAGCCACTACCATGTGGCACCCTTCCCGGCTCCACTTTGGGGCCTAGGGATTTTGTGTCTCACAACTCCACCACCCATAGACGAAGTTCGATGTCCTCATCGAACGGTAAACCATTTTATAAAGTAACACCCAGATGTGTTACCATTTCCATCCTTGGCCCCTAGCCAATATTTGTCAATGGTTTGACATTGAAGGCTCACCATGCCTTCTCCATATTCATCAATGGTTCGACACCAAAGGCTCACCATGCCTTGCCCATCCTCTAAGGAGGATAGTCTCTCCAACTTAGAGATTCACTTGACCACCTGGGGTGGTTTGCTCCTTTTTATTGGTTCAGTTCTCGCTAAACCTATTAGAGACACACTCTCTAACTCAATTCCACTACTCATTCTTGAGTAGTCACAGATTCCATTGATCTACCTTTGCACTTTGGAACGTTTACTCTCGACTTTTTGGAGTCAATTTCCTAGGTGTCTCTAACACCTTGCCTTGCACATTTTGTGCAACTCCACTTCCCCTTCTAGGAAGCTCTCTACTCGAGGGCACCATCATCCTCTTTCCTATTTTGTGCCACCTTGGGCACTAAATTCCAGTTATTATACTTTGTGCTAGGGCTGTCCATAGCTCTATCATTTGGCTATCTTACCGCTCCCTCCCTTGGAGCTTCCACTTTTGCTAAATCGGAGCAATTCGGAATCCATCTTTGGAGACACACTTCCTTTCCCACAATTTGTTAGCGTCCAACACATTAGTGTTCCTCGCCTAACTTTGTCACTTGGATTCCTTCCCAGGGATTCCACGGCCCTATCTTGGCCACTCATCTTTTGCTCCTATTCGTTGATTGTTGCACCAAGCAACATCGAATCTCTACCTCCCTCCTTGAGGTATTCTTTTGATTCCATAGCAAAGGCTCTGCTTTGCCAAGACTAGGGTGTTCACCCCTAGTAAGTCTCTTTTAGCATCTTCTGCTGTGGGCTCTATCCTCGGCCCAACTTTGTGACCCTCTCATGGGTCTCTTTAGAGACTACTTTCCTTGGACACACTATGCAATCGCAATGACATAGCTCATTTCCCTAAGGTGCTTTTCCCACTTGGTCACCTTGACCAAGCCACACCATCATCAATAGTTCAAATTAACACTTTGAACTAGGAACCTTATTCCTTAACCCAAACAAGGACCTTGTCCTTATTTAGCCACAAGATCACCTAGTGATCTCACCTCGGCACCTTAACAGGTTTGCCAATAGGTACTAGGTCTTCCAGACCTTTAACTTGTTAACTATGACCCCGGGGGCATCCCCCACACTTGGCGGTGCGCCCAAGCCAGCCCTTCCGGCCAAGGGTCTATAGCAACTGAGATTAGGTGTCCCCATCTCACTCACCACGTCCTTTGTGCCACTTGCACCAAAGCGTTCAAGTTAGATATGCCGAGCTTTCACACTAAGCAATCTAACCGTGCATCAAGGTGATCTGGGGTAGTGACCAAGGACACAGTCGTGTGGTGAGGAAGTCCCAGAGGACTGTGGGACTTAGTGGTCGGGCCTGTGGGTCTCGATCCAATGGCAGTGTTGGCAAACACGACCAGGGGCAGAAAGGGACTTAGTGGGGACTGACAGAGGGATAGTGGGGAAGGCTATCCCCTTGTCGGTGGGCATCCTAAGGATGCTAAGGAGTGGATCTGATATGACCACTCACGGATGGTTTGCCTAGTCTTGGAGAGCCAAGACTGTGATGCAAGTGGTATTGGACTACCAGTGTGGCAAAGGTGATTGGGCATGGCCTTAGCGTAACGGGCTGCTATGTCGGTGGTACCTTTGAGTGTCGGTCATGGGATCGGACACGTGGAGCACTTGGACCAAGTGCAAATGTTGAGTGGCATGGATGCCATTCTCGGGGCTAGCAAGTCCCAAGTCCTGGATTGGACTTATGGAGGTTGTGAATGAGACTCCTCCAAGTGGTCAGAGGTGTGGTTAAGTGACTAAAGCAGAATGGAAAATTTAGTCGATTACACTCTTGTTATAAAAACGAGCTTGTAAAGTAAACACTGGATGAACTGGTGTTGAGTGAACCCCTTGATGATACTCCCGAAAGAAAGATGGAGGGGTCACTGACTTATTCATGCAAGGTCCCTCCGTTACTCGCGCGACTCCTTGTTTCCTGGATGCATCTTAGTGTCCAAACCTTCCACTACAGCAGCACCAACGGGACGTTGCTGACGCCAAGGTCTCCACCCAGGAAATGGAGGTCGCCAATCCGGAAAACGCCAACAACGCTGATAAGTATGACCAACTTCGTCACATGCCCAGCAGCGAATATCACGGCCACGACCACGTCCTCGCCCTTGTCCTTGGACTCGAGTAGCAGCAGCATCAACCTCCATTGGAACAGGACCATCACCTATAGGAAGAGGAGCTGAAGGACGTGTAGCAAGAAGTGGGAGAGGCGATGTCTCATAACGTTGTGCCAAGTGAAGAGCATCGTCAAGGGTGGCGGGAGCAAGTGCATGCACAAGTTCGACAAGATCTTGACGAAGTGCTGGCCACAACATTCCTCGCTTGATCCGCTCCGACATATTTGGCTCTGCACGAAGCAAAAGACTTCGGAAACGAACGCCAAATTGCATCACCGACTCAGATGGCCCTTGGCGAAGACGATGCAATTGTTAGAAAGCATCATCACAGTCATCAGCATGTCCGAAGGCACGTTTGAAGACATCTGGAAGAACACTCCAATCCCCGCGAGTGGCTGCTCCCAAACTGTTGTACCACTGCAATGCCATCCCTTGGAGACACGTGGGAAACTCACGCAAACGTTGAGCATCATCCCAAGAATGATATGTGGCAATCACCGTGAAGTGATCGAACCAATGGTACACATCATCCCCAGGATTCCCGCGAAAGAACTCCGGCCGAACGCGAGGATTGGCACCAAGAGCAGGAGGAGTTGTACCATGTGCCGTGAACAGCGCTATCAACTAAGTTTTGTTGTTCAATTGCAAACGCATAGCATCAAACAATTGGACCAACTATTGCTCCAGAGTCAAAGGAGGAGATTGCTGATTTGCCATGGAGACAAATGAAAAAGAAAGAGCAAAAGAAGAGAAATGACAAAAAGCTAGAAGGAAATGGTAGATCTAGACAATGCAAAAAGCTAGATCTAAACCAAAATCCTGAAAAGAAAGAACAAAAGAAAGGAAATGGAAAAAGCTAGATCTAAACAATGCAAAAGTTAAATCTAAACCAAAATCCCAAATTTAAGCACTCCTTAGAGATAATCAAAGGTGCCCCTCACCTCCACCAATGTGAATGCTTGGAATTTAGAAAGGGAATACAGAAAGTATGCATCTCAATTAGCCCAAAAACCCTAGTTTATATACAGGAGCAAGTGGTTTAGATTGAAACCAATCCGACGGCTACCAAAATCCCACTACGCTAATATTAATATACAGCATCGCAGCCATACACTTGGCCCTCACAAATTCAAAAATTAATAAAAAATAGTCAATTAAAAATTATTTTTTAATAAGTCTCAAAAACATAAACTGTTTATAAATACAGTTGATATGTATAAATGAACGATGCAAATGAAGGACATCGGTATTTTTTTGTACAAGCATGCATTTGAGAACAATGTTAGAGGGATGAGTTTAATTAGAATATGAAAAAATTAAAGGAGCTATAAACACCAAAATGAAAATGGAGTTATAAAACTGAGAATGGTGTATTACAATAAATCAACCATGTTTACATATGCATAGACAAAATATAAATTTAATATATGTGAACCAAAAATATGAAATTTTCCACAACCAATAGCTCTTAGGTCATTGATGAGATATATCATAACAAAAAGTCAATGTCAAGATTGTAAAACAATACAAACTTTTAAGAAAGATACTCAAGCTCTCTCGTAACCCTTTGTGCTGGGAATTAGATTGGACACGGACTCCAACTTCAACCAATGGCCACACCATAGTCAATAAAAGAAAAAAAAACAAGTAGATAATAGTCACGTATATAATTCAATAGTCAATCGTGAATATAGAATTAAATACTCATGAGTGCCCTTTCCACTTTTTCCTTGATATTCAGCCCGAAAATCCTAATCTCCTTCATAGACTGATTGCCAGTCAGGTGAATGTGGACTGTAAACAATGTTATTGCTATTAGCCTTCTCCATTCTGTCTATGCTGCTGCCACCAAACTTCCCTCCTACTGCTGCTCTAGACGTGGCAGCAAAGTAATGTGCCACCCAAAGTTGGGAAACAACAAAACAAGTAATTTGGAGATGAAAGGGCAACTAAGTTAGATGGCAGTAGCATAAAAAGGTGAGATGCTTGGAGGACGGGCATTCGCAATTGGGGATTAGAAGAATGGCAGATAATTTAAATGAACTCTTGAAAGTGGTGCTTAATGCACAAACGCCTTCAGAGACATGGCATCTGGGCTATTAAGACTTGTCGTGCGCCTCTTTGCTGTGAGGATTCTTAGTGTTCTTGTGGCTGGCTGAGGAAACTAAGTGAACCCATGCTCAACCGAGCTGGATTGGCATTGTTAGTATCCTGTACTCCCGGATCTCTAGGCAGAGATTCTGCAGGTCCTGCCTATGCCTTGGTGGCTCTGGGCAAGATTAATAGGCAGAGCCCTCCTGATGACACTTCCACAATTCTGGGGTGAGCCAGTCCCTAGGTGGCACATGTCCATCTCTAATTGAAAAATGGTTTCCTGTGATCACTGAGAAAGAAAGGAAAGAATAAAAATGCAGTCAACGGATCTGTAAGAACAGGGGACAAAACGAATTATTAAACTACAAAAACGATGCCATTTTGGTTGGTTGATCCGCCGCAAGAACGCGTTGCTTGCTTTCTTCACTGCTTGGCGATCACATCCTCGATCAAATCGGCAGCGTCTTGCACGGTGACAATCTTCTCGGCTCCCTCCTCGCCCAGGCTGATCTTGAAGTTCTCCTCGAGTTGCATCATCACCTCAACCTTTGGAGACGATTCAAAGCATCCAGTCAGAAAACAAAAAGAAGGAGCGAAATATCCATTACCGTGTCGAGCGAGTCGGCTCCAAGATCGGCGAACTTGGCAGCCGGAGTGACGCTGGACTGATCGATCGAGAGTTGGGTGGCGATGATCTTCTGGACTGAAGCAAGAGTCTCTGGCTTTGCCTGTGAAAACAGAAGATCACATTCCCCCGGAGAAAAATCGGAGCACTAGAAGAAAGGCATATAGAAGCATACTGCGCATGAAATGAGGGAGCGACCACGCTTGCTTGTCAAGACAATGGCGCTGGGCCTGAATCCGACCACGGGGGAAGCTCTCGCAAGGGATCCGACGCTAGCAAAGGACACGGCGGGCACCATGGAGCACGATCCAGCGGCAGCGGCCATTGCTAAAGCACCAAAAGCAGATCTTAGAGCGATCGATTGGAGTGACAATCTTACCAGAGCGAGACGAGGTTACTCCGAAATGAGGAAAGAAATGCTCGCGAATGCCGCCTGGATCACGAGGAACTGAGAGAGAGAGCGCCTAAAACCCTGGCTGAAAGCCCGGGTTATATGGAGGGACAAAGCTCTTGACGGACCATCCAATCCAAAGAGCATGCAAAAAACAAATCATGAAAAAGGTTTTACCACAAAATTATTTGCTTTTATCCAACTTGCTCTAATTGCAAAATGCCCCTCGAATTTGGCTACATTATCGTGAGGGTGACGGACATCTTTCTCAAGAACCCTAGAAAAAATTTGGAAGTTATGTTATTGCTCTACCTCGGGGTTGGGCACACCCAGGTTAGTGGCGTCGTAGTTCGTGAAGAACACGTACTGGTAGACAAGGTGTGGAATGCACGGCTGGAACACCTGCGGTTTCACGTCCAGCATTCGTTCCAGGAGCTGCGAGTTCTCCATGATCGTGCTCAGCAGAATTTTTCCTGTGACAATGTCGGAGCTTAGCTGCCGCGAGTAGAGATTATTTCTTTTTTCTCACCGTTTTCTGCTAGGAGCAATCGAGCAGCCTCTGCGTACTTGGTCCACACCTCCGACGTGATGAAGGGAGGATCAATCACCACGAAATCGAAGCTATGGTGGAAAGCCTCTGGGATTTCCTTGGGCTTGTTGAAATCCCATTTCACGTAGTTTGGCGATCGAGACCACTGCGCGTCCACCTATGGAAGGGAAGATTTGCAATGCAACCAAGGGAAAAGAGACGATCCTTACATCGAAAACGAAGCTACATTTCCTGAGCTGCAAATCCTTGAGCGAGAAGTAGACGCTGGGAGTGGAGAGAAACGCGGCCTTGGTAGCGCGCTCTTCGACTTCCTGGGAGACACCAATATTTCATGAAGAAACTGTGCTGTGCGCGAGGGAGATCTGATCGAGATCCGGATCAAACACACCCTAGAAATCCATGACGATCTAGATCACCTTGACAATGGCGGCGATGGTGGCGGCCGAGTACCAGTACTGATTGAGCTCCCACTTCTCGGGCGTCCTCTGGACGAATGCGCGCCCTAGCGCCTCGCCGTCCACCATAGCCGCGGCGCGCCACAGCCTAGAATATTTACTCCGTACTACCAAGAAACCAAAAATCTGGCCAACTGTAGAGAAGCAAATCTTGGCCGCTGGAACGCCGCCACGTGTCATCGACAAAGATCGCGCTCTTTTAGAATGCGTTGGAGATCAAGATGTACGGTGCCGATGCCTCGGGCTCGACCTCCAGGAGCTCTCCGTACGCCCTAGCCCCGTGCTCTTGGTTCTTGTGGAGGCGGCACGCGCTCAAGAACGTCGTCCACGCCACTGGATCCGGCAGATAGGGCATGCTGTGGATCAGCTCCTCCGCGTCGCGCAGCCGCTTGGATCGCCCCAGTAGATCGATCATGCAGGTGAAGTGCTCCAGCTTGGGATCCATCGCGTAGAGCTCCTGGATCGCCAGGAATTGGGCGCGCGCGCCCTCGAGCATCCCGCAGTGGCTGCATCCCGTGAGGATCATCGAGAATGTGGTGTCGTTTGGCCGGATTCCATCGAGATCCAAGCAGCGAGCCAGCCACAAGCCGTCGCTCCAGGGACCGTGCTCCGCGTAAGCCCCGATCATACAGTTCCACACCACCAAGTTCTTGTCCTCCATTCCATCGAATATTCTTCGCGCCTTGAGCATATGCCCGCAGTGGGCATATGCCGCCACCATTGTGTTCCTGGCGATCATGTCTTGGAACGGCATAGTTTGGAAGATTTGCTCGGCCTCGAGAATATGCCGCTTCTGGGCATGTGCCTGGACCATGACACTGTACGTGACAATGTCCCAGCAGGGCATCTTCGTAAACACCGATTTAGATTCCTCGACGCGACCGTTTGTGGAGTACGCTGAAATCATAGCCGTCCATGAAATGAGATCTTTGAATATCAACCCAGCAAAGAGTTTCTCCGATTCTAGAATATGCCCACACTGGGCATATGCCGTGAGCATCGAAACAGAAGAGACAATGTCATAGAACGGCATCTTAGCAAATATCTTATTTGCAGAGTCAAACTCCTCGTTTTCTATGTAGGCCATGAGTATCCCATTCCAAGATACCGAGCCGCGAACAGGCATATTCTCAAACATGGCGCTGGCCTCACGCAGATACCCTTGCTGGGCATATGCTTGCATTACAGCCGTCCAGCACACGGTATCCCTCAAGGGCATCCGCTGGAACGCGTCCAACGCCTTCGAAAGATTCCTGTTCTGGGTATATGCCACTATGAGACACGTCCATGTCACGACGTCCCAAGCTGGCATCGAGTAAAACAAGGTCTCGGCCTCACAAAGATGCCCCGTGTTGGTATATGCCTGGAGCATGCAATTCCATGAGATAATATTCCTTTTTGGCATGGAATCAAAAGCCTCCCTAGCTCTAGACAAACTCCCAGCCTCGGCATAAGTCTTTAACAGTGCTGTCCAAGATACCACATCTTTCTCTGGCATCTCACCAAACAGCTTAGATGCTTTTCGAATATGCCCAGACAGGGCATATGCTTGCATCAGGCAGCTTTGGGCCACTTCATTATGCTGGGGCATACGTCCGTACACATACTCCACATCTTCTGCTAGGCCACACTCCACAGTTACCTGGAGGACCGTACACCATGACACAATATTTCTAGTGGCCATGTCGTTGTGCATTTGCTTGGCATCGTCAAAATGCCGGTTTTTGGCAAGTGCTTGGAGCATGATATTCTGGCTCATCACGTCAGGTGAATCCATGGTCTCGTACAAATTACATGCGTGCTGGATAAAACCATGGTCTCCCAGTGCCATGACCATGGTTGTGATGCTCACGTTGTTTGGATGGGGAATCCGCTGGAAGAAAAGCTCCGTCTTGCAGATATTCCCGGACCGGGCATATGCCGAGAGCATAATGTTCCACGAATATTCGTTCTTGTGGGAGATGCTGTGGAACGCAGCCTCGGCATCCTCGAGGCTGCCACACTTGTTGTACATGTCGACGACGAGATTCGCAAGGAAGGTGTTTGATCTACAGTCGCTAGTGCCAAGAATTTCACGGTGGATTTTTTTTGCCACAGGTAGATCCCTGGCGGCTATGCACGATTTGATGGCATTGACGAAGAAATCCTTGTCATTCCATCTCATTTGCCCTTGCCCACGAATATTTACCCCTCGTTGACTTTTGAACTTGGCGCGTGGAATATTTAGCCGTTGACGCGGGTATATTCGATGTATGAGTGGAATATCGTTCGTAGCTAGGTTTTCGCGATTTTGGGATGGTGTCATGACAATGATCTTGAGGAAGCTGTCGCGATCCGTGACTTGCCTCAAGCCCGCCGTGCTGGAGGATGGAGCACCGATCAAGGCGCAGCGCCACTCGGATAATCGCGGTTTCAGCGACAGCTCCAATTCTTTCTCCCACGGCGGCTTCTCGCGCCAGGCGCCGGATCAGAGCATTGCCTATCGATTCGACATGGCGGAGCTGCTGAGAATTACGGGAAATTTCTCGGCCGATCGGCTCGTCGGGCAGGGAGGGTTTGGGACGGTCTACAAGGGCCGCCTGCGCGACGGCACAGTCGTGGCAGTCAAGCGCGCAAAAAAGGTAAGAGGAGAAATTTTCTTTGTTTTTTTGCGCGATTCCTCTCGCGGCTTGTAACCAAGATTGGCGATTTCACAGAACAATCTCGAGTCGAGAATCACGCAGGAGTTTAGGAGCGAGATCCAAATGCTGGGCAATGTGGAGCATTTGAATCTCGTGAAGCTCCTGGGGTACTTGGAGCAGGATCGCGAGAGGATCATCGTCGCGGAGTTCGTTCCAAATGGAAATCTTCGCCAGCACCTAGATGGTATGTAAGAACTTTTCTTCTCTAGCTCAATCCTCTAAAGACCTTGGCTAAACCAGGACAAAATGGAAGTGTGCTCCACTTGGCCACCAGACTGGACATCGCGATCGATGTAGCGCACGCATTGACTTATCTCCACCTCTACGCTGGTAAGCACGATTTTTTTTAAAGATTTCTCCACCAGACCGCTACAACGCTGCCGCCGCCCAGACTTATTCTCGCGAGACCACTGTTGTTCTTGGCAGATCGTCCCATCATCCACCGCGATATCAAGTCCACCAACATCCTTCTCACGGACACCTTCCGCGCCAAGGTCAGCGACTTTGGGTTCTCGCGAACCGGTCCTGCGGACCTAGAGTCCACTCACGTCTCCACTCAAGTGAAAGGCACCGCCGGGTATGTCGACCCCGAGTATCTCCACACTTACCAGCTCACGGACAAGAGCGATGTCTACTCGTTCGGTATTCTCGTGTGCGAGATCATCACCGGACGAAGGCCCATCGAGCTCATGCGGCATGGCGACGAGCGAGTGACCATACGATGGGTATGTTCTCCTCTCCTCACTCAAAACGTGATTTTGTTCTTCGGGTTTTACTGTTTTCGTTGATCTCTTCAGACGTATAAGAAGTTCCGGGAAGGCAGGCTTCACGAGGCTCTGGATCCGCGGATGGAGATCACGCCGGACACTTACGTGATCATCGAGCAGATGATGGAACTGGCGCTGCACTGTGTGGCACCCAAGCGAACGGACAGGCCCTCGATGAAACGCGTTGCCGAGGCGCTGTGGAACATTAGAAGAGATCACAGGCCGGAGTTGCAGCGGCTAGCCGAGAGGGAGATTTCGTCGAGCAGGGCTGTGAGCAGAAGTAACTCGAAACAAAGCGATAGTCGTGCTTCCGCTGCTGCTCATCCCTGGCTGTAAATCACAAGAAAAAAAAAATTGTAAAAAAAGTGAGAGAAACAAACAAAAAAAAAAACAAGTTTTGTTAGTTCGTATCAACGATAATTCATACCTCTTTTCGTCTCTGTGCGTGATGTGCGTCAAAGCTTCCAACAAGAAGAAAAAATAGAACTTTTGTCAGAGTGACTTGTTCTTCCTTGACTTCTTCAGGCTCACGAGCGTTCGCCCAGGGTCTTGGGCTCACGAGCCTTCGGTCCTTCTGGAATGGCTGCTTGCAAATCTAGTGAGCTGCTAGCACGGAACTACACGGGAGTACCTGGATTGTTCGATGTTCTTCCAGATGGATCCGTTATAAGGTCCGATATCCTCTCTCCTTCCATAGCTGCAAACTCGAGTAGCTTCACGCGAGATGTGCTCGTAGACCGCGGCACCGGCCTCCAAGTTAGAATCTTCCTCCCTGCCGCTCACTCGGCCTGTAAGGCTTCGACCCTCTCGATCATCGTCTACTTCCATGGAGGAGGCTTCTGTATGTGGACCGCCGACACTCTCTACGTCCATAACTTCTGCGCGAAGTTGGCTCGAGCAGCACACGCGCTGGTTGTCTCGGTCAGTTACAGGCTAGCTCCCGAGCACCGGCTTCCAGCGGCTTACGAAGATGGGGCTCGAGTTCTCCAGTGGCTGGCTGGTCACAAGGATTCCTCTCACTCGTTTAAGTTGGACGAGCCCCTGGATCCCTGGATCGTGTCCCTGGCAGATTTCTCGCAGTGTTTCCTCATGGGAGAGGGCGCTGGAGCCAACGTGATCCACCACGTCATGCTGGGCCGGAGAGAAAAGTCGCTGCCTGTGCACGGCCTGATTCTAGTGCATCCGCTTTTCGGTGGCGAGGAACGGACTCCCTCGGAGGTGGAGCTCGAGAAGACGGATATGGCTGCACCCATTGACATGCTTGACGAGTTCTGGAAGTATTGTCTGCCGCTGGGAGCTGATAGAAACCACCACTTCTCCAATCCTTTTGGGGACGAGGTGGCCAAGAGTCTGTCCGATGCCGAGTTTCCACGGGCTCTGCTCGTTGTCGCTGGCCGGAGCTCTCTGCAGGACAGACAATTCGAGTACTTCAACCTCTTGAAGAGTCTTAACAAAGACGTGCTGCTCTTGTTCCTCAAGAACGCAGCGCATGGCTTCGAGTACATGGAAGGACAGGTTGATCAGGCGAAGATCCTGCTCCAGTTTACCGTCCAGTTCATGGCTGAAAAGACATCCAAAGTTTCTTAGAGCTCTGTGTTTGAGATTTACCTCTCAAACGCTCGCGATAAGTGAGTTTTCGTACACAATAAAATGTAAGAACCTGGAGAAATCCATCATCAAGTTTGAGAAAAAGGTTGAAACTTTCGTTACCTCAAAACTTTTTATAATACTGCTGCTTGAGGAGATCCAGCTTCCGTTCAAGGTCTTCGATCTTTGATCCCCACTCGGGCTTTACGACGATCGGTCTCATGACGCCGTCGATAACGCTCTTAGGGTCCTCGCTCTTGACACTTCCTTCACTGCCGCGACGATTTTTCCTCGTCATGGTCCGTCGTTTGTTTTTTTGCAGTTGACGCTCGAGCGCCGACTGCTGCAACGCTGCCAAGACTGCCTCTGAAAACGTTGATTGATCGGAAAAAGTTGCGGTAGCAATCGAAGAAGAAGAAGAAGAAGAAGAAGAAGACGAAATCGAAGATCTCTTCTTTGAAGTTTCTTCCGCATTTAAGCTGGACACGACACTGTCAATTTTCTTCTTCTTCTTCATGGCTGTTAAAACTTCGTTTCCTCCTCCGTCTTCGTCTGGGAGATCACCCTTGAAAGCTTTGGCGAAAACATTCTCCACGGCGACTTCCTTGCTCTCCCGCGGAGATTCTTGATTTTTCCGTGCGTTATTCTTTGGTTGTTCAACCACACGCTGCTGGAGTAGCGCCGCCAATCCCGCAAAGCCCTGATTTCCAAGAATCCTTTCATTCCTCTCACTCGATTGCGATCTCTTGACGCTGTTGCTACTCCCAGCCCCAAATCTGCGCTTGCCATTGCCCTGCCTGGACCTGGACGAGCCCGCGCCCTGGCAGTAGCATTCGAGTGCCCTGAATCCACCGATGCGAGCGGCGCGCATGCGAAATTCGCTGGATGACGATGCCGCTGCTAGCGGCAGCATTCGCGCCTGGCGCAAATCTAGACGCGAAAGGGCTAGAAAACTCACATTCGATCCCCTCGCAAGAACTCTTCTGGAAGAACAATGAGAGCGTCACAATATCGAGCGGCCCAGAGTCCGCCACGTGTCTAAAATCTACAACCCATTAAACTTTGGTAAAGACCTAAAAGGTTCGAGAATGTAGTATAGTTTTGATCAAACTCTTAAAGGTTTGAGTAGAACAGAATATCAGGTAAAACCATATAATTTATTATGAATTCGATCTCACCAAAGAGAAATAGAAGAACAAGAGGGATTCAAAGAGTTTTACAGTTATTAGTTACGATCACTCCCACAAATTTTACCTGGAGTTCATGGCAATCACTCTGGAGGACTGGCCGTGCATAGCTCCTCGAGGCAAAACAGTTTCAGATTCAATGACTTGAGCAGCCGGATCGCCTCGCAAGAACAATCGAGCAGGATGGGCGGATGCAGCAGCGCCGCGCAGCAATCCGTGACAAATTCTTGCGTTAGAGAGACGCCGAGGCACTGGGCTGGAACGTCGACATCGCCCACCAGGCACTCGCCCAGCAATGGAATCGCGCCCGTGAGAGGAGCGAGCGCTTCCAGGGGAATAGGAGGGAGATCGAGGTCCCCGCGAGCAAATCGATCGAGCATCGCGATCGAGAGAAGAGCTAGAGATAGAAACTTCATGGTAGAACTCATCCTCTTCGTGAATGCTAGAATGAATTCTATCGATTCATCTGTTCTTGGTGGTTTTTATAAGGGGGAAAGCGCGCCAAAAGTCCAAGATTCTAGGTCCCGGGTTCGAATCCCAGTTTTGAGGGTATTTTTGGAATGTTTTCGGTGAGGAGTTCGATTCTCTTCTCCACTCCAGCAAACTAGGAGCCCTAAGTGGACGAGCTATGGCGGAGCTGGAGCCGGCGCTCAAGAAGCGGCGGCATGAGGAAGCGGCGAAGAATCCATCTCCTCCTCCCGAAATCTCTCCCAGGTATGATCCATCGGAAGACATGGAGATGAGTCCCGAGCCTCCGCCGCCTCCACCTCCGCCGCAGCAGCAAGACGACGAGCTGGAAGAAGGCGAGGCCAGCGCTAACGAAGGAGACGAGGAGCTAGACAGGGGGACGATCTCGACCGCGGCCAAAATGGAGGAAGAGGTCGTCAAGAGGCGGCACCGCGGCGAGATTCGCAGCGTTTACAGGGCTTACAGGGCTTTCAAGTCGTGCCTGGCCAGGCACCCCAGCATTGGACGTGAGCTCGACCGCGAACTGGAGAAATCCTATGGGACTCTCTTGAAGCTCGCTAATGGTGCGCATTCTATCCTCCAGTGAGAGTCTGTGTGAGAAAGAGAGCGAGCTTGTCAGGTTTGTCTAGAACTTTTCTTTGAGCTTTCCTCCTCTCTAGTTTCTTTTCTGTTTTCCTTGTGTGAAGTTTCCTCTAGATGTTTAGTTTTTTTTTTCTTTTGATGGTCTAAAGTTTGTGTTTGGTGTTTTTCCAGGTTGCTCGAGCGTTCGTCGGATTGCAGCGGAGATAATCCCGCGCTACGCAGTTTACTGCCCGACTGCTCTTGACGCGGCTGCAAGGGTAATTTTGCAGATTTGTGACTGGACTAGCTCTATTCTCGTGCATGACAAAGGTCACGATGATGTAATCGCAGAAACAGCACAAGCTTGTTTCTCTGGGCTGGTGCAACTGTCCAAAGCAGCTAACACGGTGGCTGGCTCGTTTCTGGGACTGGGTGACATGTGTGCTGGAGTTTGCCGGAATATTGCATCATATCTGCTTTGCCAGCTGAATGGGAACGAGCTTCTCTGCGAAGAAGATGAAGAAAGCTCAAGCTCAAGCGCCGGTGGCAGGAAAATCGGCCAAGTGATCTCGGAGTCGATGTCAAAGCTTTTCCGGAACGACCCGGAGAATGTGATTGCGTCTTGCTTTGAGCTTCTCCGTGCCGATGCTCCAGAGCAACGCAAGCATGCTCTACACTTTCTGGCGCAGATAGCAGTGGAAGAAATAGACGAGAAGAACACAGACACGGAGAAGAAACCATCGCCTGTGAAGTCCGGCCTCGTATCGAAGGTAGATACTTTCGCTTGAGTCACTGTTTTTTCTCACTGTTTCTCTCTTTCCACTCAGGTCATTCACCCGAGGCCAGCTTTGGAGAAGTGGATTGTTTCTACGGTCCGAATGTTCCGAAAGATCGAAAAGGCTGACATTGTGGGGGAATGTCTCCCTAAGCTACTGGCACTGGTCAAGTCACTGCGGACTTTTACACCGTCAGACTTGGAACTCGACGAAGAGCCAGTGGAGGAGAGGTTGCTAAGCAGATCAAGAAGCCGTCTCGTCGTCACTAATCTATCCGACGAAGGTGACAGTTGCTCACGTTCCGTGCGTGCTGTGGACAGAACAGGCAGAGGATATAGTCCAGACGCAGATGGATGGTACAGGGAACAGGAATCACGTCCAAGAAGATCAGTACGAAGTGTCACCATTGAAAGGCCATCCGATCGGATGGAAGATACGACCTGGAGTCGTCGGGATTCTAAATATTCTGACAGCGAAGCTTCACAGCTGAGGTCTTCTCCGGGTGCTATGGACGTCTTTACAGCCTCGGAAAGTCTCTGGGTTTCTCTGCCAAGTTCCGGGGTGACGGAGTCGATGCTGCAAGCGCAGTTCAGTATATTTGGGGACCTGGACAGCGTTACTACAGTTAGAGACCAAGGCTATGGGATAGTAGCATACAAGAACATCAGAGACGCAGTTGACGCACGGGAAGAAATGCAAGGTTCTACGGTGTGGGGGAAGGCGCTTCGAGTGAGATTTGCAGACAGTGATACAAGGTCAACTTCAAGTTGCCATGTCTGGGTGGGAAGAATCTCCAGTCAGGCTGTCAAGGAAGAGCTGCTCAACGAGTTAACAAGTGCCGGGATGAAGCCTCCTGCTTCTGTAGTTACACTGATATCATCCAGCGCTTTGCTGCTCCAGTACGATTCTCCAGAAGATGCAAACGCGGTCATGGTGTACGTCAGGCAACGGCGTAGAGAGTCTTATAGATCTTCCTATGGCACTGAAGCTGGCGGTCGACACCTTTGCATTGTTCGCATTGATCCTCTAGTTTCTGAAGACGACATTCTCTCGGCAGTTTCGCAGTACGGTGAGATCACCGGATTGAAGTTCTCACGTCAAAGCGGGTACTGCGTGATAGACTTTCGATCCTCGGAAACTGCCGCTACTGCCAGGGCTCGACTCAACGCAGCGAGATTTGGTAACCAAGCCATGGTGGTGGACTACAGGAACAAAATTCCGGCTGAGTCTGTGCTATCGCCTACATATAGCTTGTACTCCCCGCCAGCAAGAACAGCGTCCGGGACATCGGTGGCGGCAACTTTGGAGAACTTATGTAGCAAGTTCTCGTTGGGAAGTCCGGCTCCAGCAGGAAAAACAAGGCGGAGCAAATTCGATATCATCGAAAATGTTCCGACGAATACACTCTGGATTGGCTTGCCAGAAAGCGTTCCCCAGGAGTACATGAGTGAGAACGAGCTGCGGGTTATTTTCAATATTGCCTGCGATGGTACTGGAGCCGTGACCAAAGTGCGAAGTGCTCGAAATTCCAGAGGGCCTTGTCGCTTTGTCGAGTTTGATGGGATTGACGCAGCATCTACAGCGCTCCAGAACATCACCGGGCATTTTGACCCCAGCATTCACATCGAGTTCAGGTAAGAGCAGCTCTTATTTTTCATGAGTTTTGGACTAACAGTTCTTTCTTTTTTCTTTTTTTCTTTTTTTATTTTCTCTGTAGTAACTCCGTGTTGTCTCATGCAAACGATCACCACTATCGCGACCATCCACGAAGACAGGACAAAGCAGCGTCTCGTGCCTGGGATGAGTGCTACCGATCGCCATCGGCTGAGTTTGAGGAGTGTCGAACGAGGCCAAGGCCGCATGCGTGGGAAGGAAGCGCTTATGACGAAACCTTTCAGTACAACAGGAAGCAGGCATCCCCGGGCGTTGCTAGCGCAATAGGCAGTCCAGTACCGGGAAAGCTTCACTCGCAGCCACCTCCGCTAGCACCACTACCGGTAAAAAATCTTCCCGGGTATGGACAGCTAGACCGAGCAGCGACTTGGCAAGGCTCGTCTCCGCTACATCCAATCTCTCCGGCCGCGCTAACTCCTCGGCGAAGGAGCTGCTCCGTAACCATCGGTGGTATACCGACTTCGCTGTCTTCTCTACAATCACCCGTGACTCCGGCGATGAGAAACGCTTCAGTGAGCGGCAACCGTGATCAGGCAATGCTACCAGCGTCTCCGGTTCCTCCCTTGCCGCCCGAAGCACCGCCGCCGCCGCTGCCTCCATCGTCACCACCTCCACCGCCGCCACCACCCAGTCCCCCGCCGCCGCTACCATCCTCGCCACCTCCAAGAGCGCCCAGCGACAGGCAGGCTAAGTCGTTCTGGCGCGGGCCACTCTGCAAGAGCGGGCTCCAGTACTGCGAAGTGATGCTTTGCAGAGAGGATTTTTCAAGTGGTCCTCTTCGCGGGTAAGCTTCTCGTATATTTTTCTGGAGCTCAAAGCTAGTTTGTTTCCATGCAGGTGGCCAGACAAACTAGATGTCACCAAACGAGCTGACTGGAGGTCTTTGAAACAAACTTTCAACACCTCTCCTTCGAACGAGGCAAGTGTTGCTAAAGACTAGAGAGCTTGTCGCTCACTTTTCCATTTGATTTCTGTGTGTTCCAGCGCGAGGTATGCAGGTTGCACGCTTCTCCCGCGTCTGGAGAAAACTATAATGGGGTAAGATCGTAGTCCTTTTGCTCATTTCTTTCCTCACTACTTTCTTCTTGCACAGTTTCTCCATTTCAAGGAGTACTTAAAGCAGCGAGACCGGGCTGGAGTGGTGAAACTTCCCGGTGCAAAAGGGCTGTGGCCCCGAATGCTGTATATCTTACCCTGGACAGCGGAAGCCTCTGCCATGCTCGCGGTTTCTGCTGAACCCTCTGATTCCCTCATCTGTGTTGTTCTTCCTTGTCCTCATCAGTAGCTTAACTTAACATCCTTTCAGCTGCAAGCGGCTTGGAATCGAACCTCGGTAAGAGCCGATGAGAGAGAGATAGCCGATGGCTGGACACAGGTTGTGGCTGCTCCAGCACAGCTCGCCGGCTTCGTTCCAGATTTGCAAGCCACGCAACAGTGGTTTGTCGTTGAGCAGGAGTTTTTGCAAGGTGTACAGCAGTGGTGGTGGTGGTGGTGGTGGTGAAGATGGAGGGGATAAGAATGCACAGGATGCTCTGGTGGAAATAGTGAGGCTCCAGAAGGGACAGATTGAAGTGGACGAGTTTGTCAAGGAGAGGGCCGAGCTGCTCAAGAACATCGCGGAGGGAGCCAATGACGAGTACCAGAGGATTGCCGACGATGTCAACAAAGGCCTGGAGGAGATTGGCTCCAAGGTGAAAACGTTTTGATTCTTCTCGATAGTTATCATGTTCTCTCTCTCTCTCTATCTCAGGTGATTGAGAGCATGGAAGCCGATGTTGGCGAGCTCGAGCAAGAGATGGCACAAAGCAGAGCACAGATTGAAGCCGACGAGCGTGAATTCGCTGAGTTTGAGAAGAAGCTCGTCCAGGACAGGAGCGAGGGCCTTTTTTTCAAGTCGCTCTATCAGCCGCTCAAGAAATCGAGGAAGCCACCGGCGGCCAGTCACCAATTGATGGAGGAGCAGACGAAGAAAGTCGAGAAGGTGACCAAGCGAGCTGCGAAATCGTCGTCCAGGATCACAGTGTATGCCGCTCTAGCCATACTGCTGACGTTGACGATCGTGGAAGCCATTGCGACTGGCGAGGAGCTGTACAAGGTTGGTATTTACTCGGCGCTGCTACTGTGCTTAGCGTTGCAATTTGGATACGAGAGGCTCTTTGCCAACCAGAGCGAGGTGGACAAGCCAAAGGATTGAATGTCCGCACCTCCAGCCGCGTCATGCTGTTAGAGCCTCTACCTCCTTTTGTTTCCTTGCTTTTCTTTTGATTAGCTTTACCGGAGGTGACTGCAAGGAAAGAAATGAGGAAAGAAATGTTGAAAGGAAGTGTATAAAGTTATGACCTCTTCTTGGGACTCCGGCTCTGCCACTACCGGAGAAATGTTCTCGTTGTTACTGTTTACATAAGGGGCCGCTTTGTCTCCCTTTCTCTGGCCACAGAAGTTCATCAAGTCTGTCAGAATGTTTGGAGAGTGTACCTTATATGATCTCTTTGGTGGCTTGCAAGCATCGTCTTTTTGCTTAGCAGTAGTGACTTCTCCCACAACCTGCAAAGCGGGTGAATTAGAACGAAACTCGTATCAAGATCTTGAGAAGTGCTACTTTGTTGTCAGGAATTGGCATTTGAGTCTCCAAGCTCTTTCCAGCCTTGGTCCTGGGTTTTCTCTTTACAACCACAAAAACACTGTGAGAAACATCTTTGATTATAGATTCAATTTCACTCACCTTGGGTGTGTTAGGATGCCCACCGGAATCCACGTTCAGTTGGCATTCTGCTGCACTAGACGGCTGCAAGAAATCACCTTCCATTAGACCTCGAATGTCTTTGCTCTCCTGTACTTGAATTTCGTTTGGAATTTCCAATGTAGTCGCATTAACTTCGGGAACTGCACGCGTTTTCTTCTACGTAGAAAGAAATCCGTGTAAGCTCAACTTGTTTCGCTTCAACTGACCTTAGATTGTCTCTTTGGTTTTGCGACCGCGACTTCTGAAACCTTTACAAAAGCCATCGTCGTTATCCACATGGATTGTCCAAAGAATTTACCTTGTTCTTGTTCTGGATACTTCCATGAATGTTCACGGCCTTCACTAATTCTATCGTCGCCTCTAGTTCTTGGCCCTGGCAAACAGGACCCAAGCGGCATAGTTGGTCTTGTACCTCATCCTAGCAATAACATCAGTCTCCAACAATGTACTGCTTTAATGCTACCTTAATCGTTCGACTCTCCTTAAGATTGATGTCGGTCATTCTATGTACCTAGAAATCAACAGAGCATGAAAACGAGCTGAGGGGGAAAAAAAAAACGCTTTCGTACATTTGAGCTCTCGTCTGATGCGCGTCTGGACGAGCGCCTCTGCGTAGAGAAAAGAATTACAAACGTTTGAAGCGAAAGTAAACAATAAGTACCTTGTATGTAGATCCTTGGTCCACTTTTATTGATCTCTCCAGCAAGTCCAGAACCTTATTGGCAAGATCATCAGCCGGTGTTTGTGCTTTAGCTCCAGCATCTCCAGTATAACACTGGAACAGCTTGAGCACTTTATCCGTGTCAATGGACTGTTCAGGCGGTTTTCTCTCGTTCACCGCAGTGAAATAATTTCCTTCTACTGGCAAGGACGTGGTTTCACTGGCCGCCAACTTCTCGCGGCCGGATGAATCTACATCGTCTTGTTCGATAGTGTCTATGCCGATCGTGCAAGGTGCCTGCTCGTAGTTCACGGATAGTTGCTGCAGAGTAAGTCCCCGCTCTTGATGTTCGTCCGTTACTGCGCGTTGCGTGTCCGTTTCAGCCTCGGTATCGTTCGTACTGAATTCGGTACTACGGCTGGAGTTGTCCGGGAAAACTTCTTCTTGCCTGTCCAAAGCAGCATAGTCCTCGGTGCCACAGCTGGGAATGTCCTCGTTGGCTGACAGAACTTCTTCCCCCTGCTCGATCAGAATTGTCACTTCGTCTTCTACAAGACGCTCCTCGCTATAAGCGTAGACTGATGTTACATGCATCCCTTGGTCCGCGATTGTTTGCTGCTCGGATAATTCCGGTGTCTCTACTATGATTTCCTGAGAGGTTCCCGAGACAGATAATTCCAGTGTCTCTGCTGTGATTTCCTGAGAGGTTCCCAAGAAATCTGCCACCTCCTGCTGTTTCGCCAGTACTTTCGAGCGTGTAAGTCCGAAGGTTTTGGAAGCCAGCTTGCGAGTAGGACGCTTGACACGCTTACGCGATCTGCGACCAAGCTTTTCCTGAGAAGGGGAGGCTTCCAAATCTGTTTGTTCCTGTTGTGCGGGGATACTCTCTACGTCGTCACACCCTTTCTCGATGCACAGTGTCTCAGCTTTATCTCTTGGCGACAACCACCTTCGGCATATGTTTCTGAAGAAACCGGAAACTGATGCTGATAGCCATGAGTAAAGTGTCGTCGTCTGCTCTTCTACCGCTACTAGAGCATAATCTTTCTTTGTTTCCTCCACGAAGGGCTCGGAAGAAACACTTTCGTGCTTCTCAGTTGCGTCAGCTTTGCCTTGCAGAGGGATTCCCTCTTTAGCAGCTTCAGCATTTTTGGATACCTTCGCGACGGCGTCTTCTGTGCCTTGCAAAGAAGCTTCTTGCTTATTTTCATCAGCTTCACCAATCTTCGCAGTTTCGCCTTCTAGCTTCGAAGCCGATATCACAACCCCTCTCTTAACTGGGAGATGCTTCCTGTATACTGTTCTCGAAAGTTCCAGCTTCGCACTCCCCTCTTCATTCCATAGGAAAATATAGCTCCACCGGTCGCTGATATATCTTCGTTCGATCTTCACCATCTCTGGCAGGCTTAGCAGGAAAGGAACGATCTTCGCATGTCCATAAAAGTTGGGCTCCAGACGTATGTTTCTCGCCACTAGTTGGGCATGGAGCTCGGCCAGCCATATTCCCTTTGGATACTGACGAAAGAGGTCATTCAGCTGACTTAAAACCTCCATCGGATACTCGGCTCTCTTGCTGCTCTTCATATCCGACGCTGGAGCCGTCGACGGGAAGAACAAGTACGACCACGTCTTGTTGTCCTTCATAAGCTGCCTCTCCACCCTCGCAAGGCGCGGTAAAGTTAGAAGATATGGAACCAGTTTCTTGTGACCGTAGAAATCGCTGTCAAACTGGATCTTCCGGGAGAGCATTTGTGCCTGAAGATCTCCCAGCCATAAACCTTTTGGGTGAGCCTTCAAAAGCGTGTCTAAGTGACCAAGCACGTCCGAAATACTCTCAGTTTTGCTGGCCTTCTCAGCACGCCTCGTGTCGGGAGCAGGGTTCGCTGACTTTCCGGGAACTGAGTTTGCCTTGAACGATATAGTTTCTGCGGACTTCGTTGTGAAAGCTTGCGCTGCTGCTGACTGCGACTTGGTTGTGGAAACCTGCACTGCTGCTGGCTGCGACTTAATCGTAAGGACTTGCGCTGCTGGTGGCTGCGACGGCGAAGGAACAGATGGTGAGAGTGGCGCCGAAGACACGGAAGGAAAATTCGGTGAAGAGACAGAGTATGGCGATATACTAGGAGCTGTTTCGGACTGAGGCAAAGGTGGAAGCACGGATGGAACAGTACCGAAGGACGAAGAAGACGATGACGATGAGCACGAGAATGGTGGAGGAACCGGAGGACACGAAAATGGCGGCGTTGAGAAGTAAGGAATTTTGTGTTGCTGGCTGGACTTGGATCCGCTATCAACCTGACTGCTAGCTCCCAGAGATGGAGAGGGTGGTGGTGGTGTTTTCAACAGTGGTGGCAGAATCGGCCTCGGAGCTGGACCGTCAATGCTCCACGACGTCGCAGCAACCAGCGCCTCGCCCCTCACAAGGCTGTTCCAGTACCACACGCGGCTAGCAGCTCCCAGGAGCGATGGAGATATGTAAGCTCCCGCCGGACACGCTAGCAGGACGTTGTAGTTCCTCATCCGGAGCTTGTGGAGAGCTGTGGAGAAGTCTCGATCTCCCGATATGAGAAACAAATGCGCTGGAGGAGGATTTTCGATCGTCCACAGTATAAGATCCATGAGCAATGCTCTGTCACTCGATTCCGACTCCTTCCCACCTGGAGTTACAAAGAAGAAAAACGTAAGCAAAGAAAAGAGAGAATTTTTGGACCTGATGGTACGTGATGGAGACGAATTCCAGTGGCCGAGAGGCTCTCCTGGACACATCGCGAGAGCTGGAGCATGTCGCCATAGCCGGAGATGCTCACGGGACCTTTGAATCCGCTGGATCGCAAGCCCGAGACAATGTTGAGCCCCACGCGATGCGCATCGATCCCATACGGCACATTGCAATTCTCGAAATCCCACCACACCCCGATCTTCACTGCCGCGCCACCCGCATCCCATCCGGCGCCATAGACCGCGGCATTCCGATCATCGGCGGCATCCACGGCCAGAGCCTGGCATTCCGGAGTGGAAAATATCGAGCGGGAGGGAAGCGATCGATGCTGCGATGAATCAATCCCCTGAGAATCGCAAGCGAGGAGGAAAATCAAACTACCTGGATGCTGCGGAGGAGGAATGCGGGCTTGATCTTGGCGAGGCGCGTCATGCTCCTCTCCCCGCCATGCCCAAAACCCTGAACCCTAGACCTAGAGATAAACGTGGCTTATGTTTAAAGGCCTTTAAACACGATTGGACATTCTTGTGTAAAGAATGGACAAGAATTTTAGTGGAATGTTTTTAAAACTTGTCACTCACGTGGACCAATCCATTCGTGCTATTTTAAAAAATATAAACCAGAGCCTTTTTTTCTCTAGGGCTCTTGGATAGGTCTAGCATCGCTGAATGGAAAGCCAAGGCCTGGCGCTGGTGGATGTAGAGCGCGGCGATGTCAACGGTACCGATTTCAAGGAGCCGCTGCTGCCGCGCAAGAAATCTCACTTCCCAGTCTTCGCCACGGGCAATGAGAGCGTCTCCTTCACCGGGATCATCAAATCGAATGTGTCGAGCCTCGAGAGCTTGGATTACGAGTAAGATCACTTGTCTAGTTCCTCTCTTTCGATCCGATCTGGAATTTTTGGATCCCGGCTGCTAGGATCGTGGAGAATGATGTGTTCAAGCAGGATTGGAGAGCTCGCACGAACTACGAAGTGCTCCAGTACGTTATTATGAAATGGACGTTTGCGTGCCTCATTGGAGTACTCACTGGCCTCGTGGCATTGCTGATCAACTTGGCGGTGGAGAACATCGCTGGAGCTAAGCTCCTTATCACACTCAAGCTCCTTCAATCGAATAGGTAGGAACCTTTTGTTTTCACTCTTCCTTTTCTTTTCCATGTCGGTGTTCTTATTTATTACAATGCGATCTACAGATATGTGCTTGCAGGACTGTTGCTTACTGGGATCAATCTAGTTCTTGTGTTATTTTCCTCGGTTCTGTGCGTCTACTTTGGTCCTGCTGCTGCCGGTTCCGGGATTCCTGAAGTAAAGGCTTATCTCAATGGTATCGACGCTCCAGAGATCTTGGCACCCAACACCTTGGTGGTGAAAGTAAGTAAGCTTTTCCACACGTAGACTTAAACTCATGTAACGGAGGTAATTTGCAGATCCTGGGTAGCATAGGGGCCGTGTCTGCTGGATTATGTGTTGGAAAAGAAGGGCCTCTAGTGCATGTCGGTGCTTGTATAGCTTCTTTGCTGGGACAAGGTGGATCAAAGCGATACCACCTCAGATGGAAATGGCTGCAAGTTTTTAAAAAGGATAAAGACCGTCGTGACTTGGTGACTTGTGGTGCTGCAGCTGGAGTTGCAGGAGCATTCAAGGCTCCTGTTGGTGGAGTACTGTTTGCCCTTGAAGAGGCATCGTCATGGTACCTGTTTCTTTTTACTTTTTCCTCCTGCGTATTCACTCGCGTTCTCTTCACAGGTGGCGCAGCTCTCTCTTGTGGAGAACATTCTTCACCTCGGCTGTGGTTGCCGTAGTACTCAGGATCGGCAGCATGCTGTGCAAGGAAGGAAAGTGTGGGCTCTTTGGAGCTGGTGGCCTGATTCTCTTTGACGTTAGCGATGTGGTCGTTGGTTTCTCACTTCTGGACTTTCTTCCGGTGGTGGTCTTGGGTGTAAGCGGCGGTATCATCGGCAGTATCTTCAACAAGCTGAGTTCCAGGACTTGTGTGTTCTACTCGCATTATCTGCACAAGTAAGTCTGTCACAGCTATCTTTGAGCTATCTCCTAATGCTTTTGATACACCAGGAAAGGTTCGGTCGCTAAGGTGATGCTGGCATGCTTTGTCGCCCTCGTCACCTCGATTTTCTGCTTGTGCCTCCCTGCGCTGGGGCATTGCAGACCGTGCCCGCATGAGGCTCTTATGGCAAACGAGTGTCCCAGCTACGGGCGAACAGGAAACTTTAAGAAGTTCAACTGCGAAGCTGGCCATTACAACGACCTGGCGAGCTTGTTATTCACAACAAACGACGACGCCATTCGGAACCTGTTCAGCACCAACACTCCGCAAGAGTACCATTACGCGTCGGTGCTCATTTTCCTCGTCGAGACGTTCCTGCTTACGCTGATGACTTACGGGATCGCGGTGCCGTCGGGTTTATTCATTCCAGTCATCCTCAACGGGGCTTCCTTTGGCCGACTGGTGGGCATACTCATGTCCTCGTCACACAACTTGAAGCTGGACGAAGGCCTGTACGCGGTGCTCGGTGCGGCGGCTTTCCTCGGTGGCTCGATGAGGATGACCGTGTCACTCTGCGTCATCCTTTTGGAGCTGACCAACAACTTATCGATGCTGCCGCTCGTCATGCTCGTCCTCCTCATCTCCAAGACAGTGGGAGATATATTCAACAAGGGACTCTACGACATCCACGTCCGTCTCAAGGGGTTTCCTCTGCTCGAATCGCACTCGGAGCCATTCATGCACCAGCTGACGGCCGCGGACGCGCTGAAGAACCCGCTGGTGAAGATGGCCCGGGTGGAGAAGGTCGGGGTCATCATGGACATTCTCAGGAACACGAAGCACAACGCTTTCCCGGTCATCGATTTCTCCTCGCCACCTGGGAAGCCTGTCTTCTGCGGACTGGTGCTGCGCTCCCATCTCCTGGTGCTGCTCAAGCACAAGGCCTTTCAGCCCAGGAGGGATTCTTCGCTGGACATCCTCAAGCTCTTCTCCGGCTTCGATTTCGCAAAGCCCGGCTCTGGGAAAGGCATGGTCATCGACAACATAGAAGTGAGCAGCGAGGAAGAAGACATGTACATCGACATGTATCCCATTACGAACGCGTCACCGTATACTGTACTGGAGACGATGTCATTGGCGAAAGCGTACACATTGTTCCGCCAACTCGGCCTACGGCATCTTTGCGTCATGCCCAAGACCCCACAGGTAAGTTTTGAGTAGTTCTATGTTTTAACTCACGCTCTATACAAACAGGACGAGCCGATCTTAGGAATTTTAACGCGCCACGATTTTGTGCCGGAAAACCTGTTGACGCTGTATCCGTACCTCAAGCACAGGGCTACCAAGGTTCCCAGGCTTTCCAGCTTCCTGGCTTGATTCATTATTTATTGTGATTTGTTATTATCCTTCATTTCGGTGCGATGTTCTTCATGTGTACAGAGGTTGAAACATAATGGTATCAGCGAGATTTTTCTTCCAGTTTTTAGAACTTTTTAAACTATAAATATATTAGCTTTAAAACATGTAATAATAATGAAAGATAAGTTTATTGTATATATGGGTGATGGTCACATCCATCTCCATTGATTATGAGACAAAACATGAGTACTATAAATATGAAAAACAAGACAATGGGCTCCTCAATCGCTCCGTAAACAAACAGTATAACAAGTAAAACCACCTCTAAGAAAAGGGCTATGGACGCCCCCTGTTTCATGTCTTCTTCTTGTTCCAAGCTCGTGAGATCGGCTGGCAGGCTGTTACCGGTGGCATCGGCAAAGTCTTTGAGAATCTTCTTGGCGACTCTTTGCTGGGGGTCGAAGTGCTTGAGATAGCTCCTTGGAGAATCCAGCATCAAAGGTGAGATGTTGACAACGTAGACGAAGGCGAGGCAGGCGTTGAAGAGGTATACGTGCCGCCATGTTGGTAACAGCGGGATGGCGATCACGGGAAGGAGCACGGCGAACTGGATGCAAACGATTGTCCATGCCGCATTTGAGAGGCTGTGCTTGCCGTGACACCACCGATCCTCGTCGAAGACGTGGAAGATCCCCATCTGGACGTTGGAGACGTAGCAGAAGAACTTGACGATTTCAAGGGGGAAGGCGTTGGGAGAGATTGTGAGCCAGATCTCACATACGGCTCCAATGAAGAATGTGCAGCTTATGATCCATTTCTTGCTGTGCACGACGTGGGCAAGCAAGCCTGCGTGGGAGAAAAGGTGGTGGAAATCAAATATTGCGAAGACCAAGGCTTGGAGAATTGGGGACTTACCCATTAAAAGGATCTCCAAGACGATCGAGAAGCCCAGGAATGGCTGTAGAGGAGCATCCTGATCGCCTCCAGTGATGCTCACTAGCTTAAACGCTAGCGAGTGGTGGAATGTATGTTTTGATCCCCAGAAAACGTATGCCAAGTGAAAGAAACTGACCACGCAGCTTAGGGAATAGAAGATACTTTGGCGTTGAAACAGCCACTCATGCTTCGCCCATCCCTGCTCAATCTCTTCCAGTGAATACTGACCATTGCGATTAGCACGACTAATTCCTCGTAGCAGCCCTTCTTCCATAAAATCGCACAGAACCTAAACTTAAACCTTAAGTATACTAATATATTAATGAATAAATATTACAAATTATTATTATTGTAATGGAAAGCACAAAATTTTTGGAACAAATCTACTACCGCGCTCCAACCAACAATACATCAAAGCAAGTTCCTGCGCAAGAGCAACCAGAACCTTTGCTTTGCTCACACCTTGCTCTTTCAGAACTGGGCGATCTTCAGGCAGGATGTTCTCAGTTGCATCTGCAAAATCTTTGACCACGTCGAGGGCGCTGCTCTGATCAGAAGAGAAGCCCCTTAAGCACCACAAGTAGTCCACGGGAGAGTCCATCATGTGTGGCACGATGAAAGCCAAGTACGCAAACGTAAAGCATGCGTTCCACTCGAGCAAACACTTCCAAGTCGATAAGTGACGCGCAGCAAGAATGGGCCAGAAGATCCCAGCTTGCAAACACAAGAAAACCAGTACCGTCGTGGCGGGATCATCGCGCTTCCCATGAAACCAGAAATCTTCCTCAAACCAGTGGCAAATTCCCATGAAAACGTTGGAGACGTAGCAAAACGAGATGATAACCTCAAGCACGCACAAGACAACCTCGTTCGAGCACACCGTGATCCAAACGCTACCAATCGCACCGATCAAAAGAGTGTACTTAGAAAAACACCTCTTGCTACGAACGACTGTCCTGATCAATCCTAGAGAAAGAGAAAGGTGGCAGGTGTTGGCAAGAGAGTTCTTGTGGAAACTTACCGCTGACTATGATCTCTCCAAGGAGAACAAAACCCACAAAAGCGTACGTAGCGGGGTGACTTGTTTTGTTGATCACCGATACGAGATTGTGGAAGGCATGGCCCCAAAAGATCCATATCAAATGAAACACAGTGACAACGTAACTCAGCCCAAAGAAAAATCCTTGGCGCTGGAAAGCCCAGCCATGATTCTCCCAGCTTCGCTCGATATCTCTCAAGGAATGCTTGGGAGGATCTAGGAAGCCTCTACTCTCCATTGCCCAGATAGATATAAACTCTAACTCCAGTTAATCTAAGTTTTTAAGTGCTCTGTTTTTAGGGTAACATTTTTTTGGTAGGGTAAAGTTCTAGCATTGCGAGCAAGGTTTTGGGATTTGGCGATCTCGCGAGGAGGGGGAGAATGTCGGACTTCGATGTGAAGATCGACTATGTGTTCAAGGTAGTACTGATTGGCGACTCCGCGGTGGGCAAATCCCAGCTGCTGTCGAGATTCGCGCGCGACGAGTTCACCCTCGAGTCCAAATCCACAATTGGCGTCGAGTTCCAGACCCGCACCATTTCGGTCGACGGCAAGACTATCAAGGCGCAGATCTGGGACACGGCCGGCCAGGAGAGGTAAATTCCAATCGATTTCTCATCTCAGCTAGAGAGCTTCCTTCCGCCCCCGCCCCACTGTTACTAAATAGTTCCATGGAGTAACTTCCCGCAAATCTCTCTATACTTTTAGATCCTTATCCAGGAAATCTCTGCGCCCCTCTGGAGTCCGATAGATCCCTTCCACATTCATTCTAAGTTTTGAGAGATCTTCCCAGCCCAAGCTTTCTCCTCGATTTCAATAGATCATGGAAGAACCATAGAAGAGTTTTCTCCAGAGATCTTCCAAGCTGACTCTTTAGCTTTACAAACTCACGAGGATCTCTCTCTTTGGCCAGGTACCGGGCGGTGACGAGCGCTTACTACCGCGGCGCGGTGGGCGCCATGCTCGTCTACGACATCACGAGAAAGCAAACCTTCGAGCACGTAGCGCGGTGGCTGGAAGAACTTCGCAACCACGCGGACAACAACGTGGTGATCATGATGGTGGGAAACAAATCCGACCTGAGCAACAGCCGCGCCATGTCCGTGGAGGAGGGCCGGGAGTTTAGCGAGAAGGAGGGGCTCTACTTCATGGAGACGTCGGCGCTCGACTCCACCAACGTAGAGACGGCCTTCACGACGGTGCTGACCGAGATCTACAAGATCGTGAGCAAGAAGAGCCTGGCCGCCGACGATCCAAACGGGGGACTGGCCAATGTGATGCCACCCGTGCCATCGGGCAACAAAATCCTCCTAGATGACGAGCTCACGGCAGTGAAGAAGAGGGCGTGCTGTAGTACGTGAGATCACCCAGCTCGCACTCATCACTTGCCACGATTCTTCTATATATACATTAGTAAGCTTTTAAAATTTTGCAATTTTTTTCGGTTAAACATTTGCACTATTAAAATATATATAAAATATTGATTTAAAGGTAACTGTATAATTATAAGTATTATTAGCATTTTTTAGGTTTATAATTGGCCATACGATACTTTTTCGAGGATGAGAAAATTATATAATTAGCTATGATAAAAAAAAATTCAAAATGTGAAAGCTTCATAATTGGTTATAATAATCATTCTTTTTTTCCAAGATGTGAATGTTTTAGAGCACATAAAAGAATAATAATTTTTAAAAATTAAAAATCATAAGTTTTAATAAATAATTTAAATATTTAATAATCTAATAAATTTATTATATTTTAGTATTAAGAAAATTAAATATTGTGAGGGCTACGTATACAGCTATGATGCCATATATTAATATTAATGTAGTGGGATTTTGGTAGCCATCAGATTAGTTTCAATCCAAACCATTCACTTTTGTATATAAAATAGAGTTTTTAGGCTAATTGATATGCACATTTTCTATATTTCTTTTTTTTATTCCAAGCACTCACATTGGTGGAGGTGAGGGGCACCTTTTGATTGTCTTTGAAGAGTGTTTGGATTTAGGATTTTGGTTTAGATTGAGTTTTTGTATTGTCTAGATTTAGCTTTTTCTATTTCCTTTCTTTTGTTTTTTCCTTTCATGAGTTTGGTTTTAATCTAGCTTTTTGGCATTGTTTAGATCTTTCTTTCTTTCTAGCTTTTTGTCATTTCTCTTCTTTTGCTCTTTCCTTTTCATTCATCTTTATAGCAGATCAACAATCTACTCCTTTAACCCTAGAGTAGCAGTTGGTACAATTGCTTGATGTTATGCACTTGCAATTGAACAACAAAACTCAATTGATGGTAGCATTCATAGCATGTGGTTTAACTTCTCTTGCTTTTGGTGTCAAGCCTCGCGTTCAGCTAGAGTTCTTTCGTGATGATGTGTACCATTGGTTCGATCACTTCACTGTGATTGCCACATATCATTCTTCGGATGATGCTCGACGTTTGTGTGAGTTTCCCATGTGTCTCCAAGGGACGGCACTACAGTGGTACAATGGTTTGAGTGCAGCCACTTGTGGGGATTGGAGTGTTCTCTCAAACATTTTCAAATGCACATTTGGACATGTTGACGATTGTGATGATGCCTTCTAACAATTGCATTGTCTTTGTCAAGGGCCATCTGAGTCAGTGATGCAATTTGGCATTTGTTTCCGAAGCCTCTTGCTTCGTGCAGAGCCAAATATATCAAAGCGGATCAAGCTAGGAATGATGTGGCTAACACTTCATCAAGATTTTATTAGACTTGTGCATGCACTTGCTCTTACCACCTTTGACGATGCTCTTCGCTTGGCACAACATTATAAGACATCACCTCTTCCCCTTCTTGTTGCACGTCCTTCCACTCCAGTTCCTATGGGTGATGGTCCTATTCTAATGGAGGTTGATATTGCTGCTGCTCGAGTCTAAAGACAAGGACGAGGATGTGGTCATGGCCGTGACATTTGTTGTTGGGCATGTGATGAAGTTAGTCACACTTATTGGCATTGTCGGCATTTTCTGGGTTGGCAACCTCCATTTCTTGGATGGAGACCTTAGCATCAACAACGTCCTATTGGTGATATTGTGGTGGAAGGTCTGGACACCAAGATGCATTCGGGAAATGAGGAGTCGTGCGAGTTATAGAGGGACTTTACAAGAATAAGTCAGTGACCCCTCCATCTTTCTTTCGGGAGTATCATCAAGGGGTTCACTGAGCACCAGTTAATCTAGTGTTTACTTTTCAAGTTTATTTTTATAACAAGAGGTCTTTTATTATTCTCTTCGTGTTGGTTGATACAAGTTCAAATTTATCTTCTATTGCTTAACCTGTTGCCATACATTGTTGTATACACTTGCGTCGTGCGACAGAACCAATTTTCATTCTTTATGGCAATAGCCATACACATGCATATGCACGAGATGAGGTGGACCTAGTTGTGCGTGTGGGCGATTTTGAACTTAGGTTGCAATCATTGTAAGTGGTGCTAAGTCAAGCTTTTGACCTCATCCTTGGTATAGAATGGTTACAGTGCAACCATGTTAGGTATAACTTTGAGGCTTCTCCCCCTTGTTTTATACTTTCTTATATTTCATCCATTCCTTTCATTTCCGTACTTCTTTAACCTTCTTCCATTACTTTTGTCCCCCCATTATTTCCTTCTATGTTTCTATCTTGTTTTGCTCTTCCCTTTTCCGATCCCTTCAACAATCTTTGTGCTGCAACAGTTGCCCGGCTCATGAAAAAGTATTCTAATCTCTTTGAATTTGACTTATCGTCTGGGGCCAAGATTGCCACACGTCATCCAATTCCAACCGAGGATGCTCATCTAATCAAAGTTTTTGTTCGTCGTTGATTACCTAAAAAGATCAAGATTTTACATGCAAACATCAAAGAGATGTTAAAGAAGGGTGTTATTCGGAAGTTGTGAAGTCCTTGGGCATGTGAATGTGTCCTTGTCACAAGATGTGTGGGCATTTTATGACAAAGTCCGATGGGAGTATTTGTTTCTGCATTGACTAAAGTTAGAAAAATGCAAAAAGTAAAGAGAAAGGATTAGAAGGTAAATTGAAGGATTGACATCCTATAAAATCTTCACTTCGTTTCCAAAATTATCTCTATAATAATCAAGTTCATCATCATAATTCAAAATCCACTTGTTATCATAATCTAGAATCCACTTGAGCTCATATATATTGTCTTCCCATAAACTTGATTTTTAAACATTCTCGAAGAACTAGACTACATCATCTATCACTCACCAACTAATATTATAATCATGCTCCATATCAATAAGAGTTAGTAGAATAGAAGATGCTATTTAATTATATCCCACAGAAATTAGAGATGGCAACACATCAAAGATAGAGACAATACTAATACAATTACACTGACAACACCAAAAGTTCAATATAATGGAGTAATATCAACACTCTTAAGTGATATACTTTTTTATCAATAGTGGCATGGCATGGCAAAAGAAAAGAATGCAATAATTATTGAAGCACAAATATAAGCACAGTGATAGCTAGAATTCTAGATCTTGCAAAAAGTTAACATAGATCTAAATTTAAAAGAGAAAGAAAAGAATACAAAACAAAGCATTGATAAAAGCTTTCCCCTCTAGGGATAAATTGTAATTTAGCAATATATGGGAATAGGTATATTAATTAGGATTTAAACCCCTCTTTATATATAAGCATGAATGGATTAAATTAAGTCCCAAATACTACTATAATTAACATTTTACTTAGGTATATATATATATATATTTGTGTATGTGTATTTATAGACCTTACAAATGCTTTTTATTTAAAAATTTAAACAAAAACTTAATTATGTTTTATCAATGAGAATGTTGGAAAGGTAATATATTCATCTTTAATTGCCTTACAAAATTGAGAAACTGGAAACTAAATGGGCACTCATGGATTAGTTAACAATTTTAACACATGCAAAATACAGTAAAATTAACAAGTGTTTGAGTAAAGAACCAAATACTTAACCAAGCATTTGACACTTTTTGTTATATGAACATAAATTTAACACCATTATTTTTATTCTTTTTAAATTCTTCTTCTTACATAATCTATAAAAAAAAAACTGACATAATTGTTTTTTTACAATTAGGAAATTTAAAATATTTACAAAATATTATCTTTCTATAATAGCATTCATTTGTTATGAGTTAGCTTTTGTTTAGAGATGTACAGAAAACTTTCATTGGATCACCATGACATTAGAGCTGGAAAATAAAGTACAAGACTTTGAGCATTCACTTCTAGAAGTGTATAATTGCTTTAAGAGGATAAGGCACCCTTGTCACAAGGCATGAACCAAATTTTTTATATAATAATATATAAAGTTGCTTGAATGAGTTAATATTTAATAGTTTGTGAATATAGTGTTATAGTGTTGCCTCAAAGGTTCTTGACATTTATGCAAATAGGCAAAGCATCCTCAATATTGTTAACCCCACCTGGATGCACAGCAGTTATGGTTTGTCAGATTTCAATTTTCTTAGTTTTCTTAATGATAACTTACAAAATTTCCTTATTTTATTCTTTTTTTTTATCTTGAAGATCCACTCGTTAGAAATTTGGATATTTTAATGGTCTTGCCCACTATCTTCTTTTGCAATTGAAACTCACAATAGTGCTAAATCACTATTTGGACTAACACTATTTGGAAGTGATTTTTATTGCCTATTATACCTTTTGATTTCATAGTTAATCAAGATTCGGTTTTGGTCCTTACCCTCAGGTAAACTAATCATTCTCCAGGTTACTGAACTTGAGGAATACATGCTTAATAATGTATTTGACAAATTCTAGATAAGCTATTACCAATTTGGAGGTACTGAAGTTAGAGAAGTATATTTTTATAATATTCTTTTTTGCAGTTAATAATTTACTTTTTCCCCTTATGTTTGCCTTTTTGTATCATCGGGCTTGGATGGGAGAGGTTGGCAAGTTAACAGAGAATCCTCTGGGCAAGGTGGTGGTCTCTAGCTCCACAAGAGATTCCAGCTGCTTTACCACCAGTCCCATGGACGGTCTCAACCAAGGTTCCTCTTGTGTACACGACACAGCAATCTCCAGAATTTTCTGGCATTCCACCTCCACAAAACTGGGATCTCTCCTCAGCCTTGGATCGATCAGGCTGTTGTGGCAATCGGCTTGGATCTCAACATCCTCCACTCCAGCCAAGTAATTCGATCCAGAACTGGTTTCTTCCTCACCGCCCTCGATTGCCTGATCTAGCTCTTCGATTCTCCTCCGGCAGCAAACCAGCTCGATCAAAACCACACCGTAGCTGTAGACGTCTGTCTTGTCTGTGATCGTGGAATGGAGCCACTCGGGCGCCATGTAGCCCTGAGTTCCTCGCATCACCGTGATCGTTTGGCTCTTGTCCTTGTCGACAATCTTGGCGAATCCAAAATCGGAAATCTTGGCACGCATCTTCCCATCCAGAAGAATGTTCTGAGGCTTGATATCCAGATGGAAGATCTTCTCGCGGCATGAATCGTGGAGATAGGCCAGCCCGCGGGCGACATCCATGGCGATCGAGACCCTGCTGCTCCAATCCAAGTACCTCTCCTTGCCAAAAATCCACGAATCCAGCGACCCGTTTGGCATGAATTCGTACACCAGGAAGTGGAGCGGGCTCTTGATGCAAAACCCCAGCAGCCTCACGAGATTCAAGTGGTGAATCCTCCCCACGGCCATCACCTCCGCCCGGAATTGCTTGCCAGAGCCCCCGATCCGCTTGACAGCCACCAATCTCCCATCCGGAAGAACACCCTTGAAGACAGACCCCGATCCGCCCTGTCCCAGCTTCGATCCAGCGCCGAAATCCCCGGTCGCGGCACAGAGCTTCCGATGCCTGAATCGCTCCGGCAGCATTCCCCCGAGCTCGCTCTCCTTCTCGCAATCCCTAGCCCGGGACCGCGCTGCCCGCCACGCAAAAACGCCAAGAACAAGCCCTAGAACAATCCCAGCCGTCGCTGCCGCCACGGAGGACGCGATCGCAACCGTCCGTTCCAAACGCGGCCTCTTTCCCGCGCGCTCAAACTCCCATGTTATATCGATGATCCCTTCCGAGATTTTGTGTCCCAGGGCCTCCCAAACGCCCTGCGTGGCGCCCAGGCTCTTTGGAGAGCACGGTGGATAGAAGCTAGTGGCGGCGGTACAGCCATCCATGCCCGAGCACTCGTCCACAACCATGGCCGTCACGGTACGGCCGTTGAGGGCCGTGATCGTTACGTTTCTACCGCAAGCGCCTCTTGGCCGTTGATAGTTATACCATCCGGTGGCCATGGATGCCACGAGATCGGACGGCTGGTATTTCTTCTCCTCGCACCTCGAGCCATTATCGAGCTCGATGTAGTAGAGAATGGCGGGGTTGGGGCGGCGGCGCGACACTGGCGGCGAGCAATCGTAGAGATAGTATGTGGTGTTTGTGGCGCAGTGATCCTCGTCGATGGTAGGAGCGGTGTAGACGAATGATTGGGCGGGATTGCAGCCCGGGGCGACTGGGCAAACGGAGATGTGGGTGTTGGAGGGATCGCTGTTGCATTGGCCGTAGGGATCGCAGATCATCATGGCCGGGCAGTCGTTGACGCTCGCGCAGGGCTTGCCGCAGGCGCTGCTCGTGGATTGGGGATTCCCGGCCGCGAAGAACAGCGTGACCGTGGCGAGAAGAACTGGGATAGAATTGGGCATTGTAGAGTTGGAGAGATTTGGGGAAAAAGCGATCGATCCTGACAATCTGGGGGATTGGTTCTTAAAGATCGCGGTGGTTTAGTTAGACTTTGCGAGCATCTTCTCGCCGCGAAAGTCTAGAGTTGACTTTGACATTGGGATCGATCGATCGCCAGAGATTTAGTTCGTTTTGGAGTATGCTCTGGGTAGAAACGTTCCAATCGATCACAAACTCTCCCTCTCTTGCGAGTTTTTAAAAATGCTACTAGTAATGTTGTTTGCCTTAGTAGTTCCTCATACATTAGGGCAAACGATCCAGGGCAAGGATGAGGAGAAATGCGCCTTGGCGCCTCGCTGCACGAATCCAGGTCGGTGCTCCAATGGCTCGGCCTGCTACCCCGACACGATGCGCTCCGGCAACCGATCGCTTCGCGCTGGATCTTGCCTCGACGATTCATCCGCCGGCTTGTAACATCTGCGCCCCCAGCTCCACTCTGATCTACAATGGCACGCAGATGTGCCCCGAGTGCTGCGTTCCCGGCCTGGCCTATCGCTTCTATGCGTGCTCGCCGCCACTCCAGATCGTCAACCGGGCCGTGCTCTACTCCACGACTTTTGGCGAGAATCTGTCCTGCACGGATCAAGTCTTTTCCATCCAGGATCAGGTGGTATCGCTGGCTTCCGGGTGGATCCAGCGCAACTTCAGCATTTGTCTCACCAATATCAACATCACTGCTCCAAACAATCGCAGCGTCGTGGCCAAGATCGTGGACGAGTGCTCGTCCAAAGCTGGATGCACTGCCGCCACTGCTTACTGGGAGCCGTGTGCTCCCAACGCCATCGCTGGAACTCCCGGGGTGTGGAGCGCTCTTGGATACGATCCGGGGGATGGAATTCTCAGGGACGTAAGCTGGAGCAAAACGAATGCGTCAGTGAGTGCCTCTGAAGGAGGAGGAGGAAGATCCAAGAAGAAAAACACTGGGGTTATCGCTGCAAGTGCTGTGGTGGGATTCGTGCTCTTGGCAATGGTTCCAGTGGGATTTTATTGGATCAAGATCAAGGCGAGGTTGGCTCTCAGGAAAAGGAACCAAGAACAGGTTGAGGAGATCAGTACGCTAGGTGGTCTTCCCAAGCAATTCAGCTACCATGACTTACACAAGGCCACAAGGAACTTTGCGAAGAAGTCGATGCTTGGAGAGGGAGGATTTGGCATGGTTTTCAAAGGCAACCTTTCAGATGGAACGACAGTGGCTGTGAAGAGAATGGACGTGGAGATTGAGGGATCGAACGAAGGGCAGCAGCAGTTCAAAGCGGAAGTTTTGTCAATTGGAAGCATCCGTCACTACAACCTCGTCCAGTTGAGAGGCTTTTGCATACACGGGCCTTCTTCTCTGCTGGTTTACGAGTACATGAGCAACGGTGCTCTGGACAAATGGATCTTTCGAAAGGACTCGCGGTTTCTAGATTGGAGCCAGAGGCACCAAGTTGCGGTGGACGTTGCTAGAGGCTTAACATATCTTCACGAAGGCTGTAGAGAACAGGTGCTTCACTTGGATATCAAGCCGCAGAACATTTTGCTGGACGAGAACCTGAGAGCGAGGATCGCAGACTTTGGCCTCTCGAAGCTCGCGGAGAGGGGGAAGAGCTACGCAGTGACGGCCATGAGAGGCACTCCGGGATACATGGCTCCGGAGTGGCTCCATACAAAGGTGACGGACAGGACCGACGTTTACAGCTTTGGGATCGTGCTGCTGGAGCTGCTAAGCTCGCGGAAGAGCTTGGAGATTCAGAAGCACTCCTCGAGCGTGGCTTCCACCTCGGCGGCTTCTTCATCGTCGGCGTCATCGCAGGGGGTCTTCATTCTCGGTCACACCGCGGCGAGGCTCTTCCACAGTGGAGATGTGTCGACGCTGGTGGACAGGGGCCTGGAAGTGGACCTGAGCGTCGCGGAGAGATTTACGAAGATCGCGCTATGGTGCATTCAAGAGGATTCCGCGAAGAGACCGTCCATCGGAAACGCTCTTGCCATGCTCGAAGGTGACTTGGAGGTGGGAGACTTGCCTCCTCCTCCTCCAAGCGGCGCAAGCTCGCCGGTTCTGAGATCTCCGGGCATGGATTCGTGGAGTAGCTCGCTACAATCTGGCACCTGATCATCGTTTCTTTTATCAGGTAATAGATTAAACTTTCTCTATAGTTTTCTATTATTTGTTTTCAATTTTCTTTTCTTTTTCTTTTTCTCTTTGTAGCAGGCGATTTGCTTTCGCCTGTGCCGCAAATGGTTAGACAATTATGTACATAACATCTCTCTCGCCTAAATTTTTTTGCTTCGATCTCGTCTAGAAGTTTTCTTTGTGAAACTCAAACCTGCAGCTTGATTGCTGTGTGTATTCCTGTGAAAGTGTGCGTAGCTCTTTTGCTAGCAGCGCCGGGCCGCAGTAAAAAACACCTGCGAATATCAAAAAGCTATATGGAAAGTGAAAACCAATTTGACTGACCAATTGTGGAGTTAGCATGCGTCGTCGAAAGGTTTGAGAAAACTTTGCTCCAGTTTGGACGAGCAAAATGTGTGCGTACCTGGAAGTTTATATACGATTGATATTATTACTCAGAAAAACCATAAGAAAATACCCAAAATTCATACCCGAGTTCCAGAAACAATGTCAACTCCGTTTTTTGCATGGTGCAATGCTTGAACCATTGCAATGAGAGCAGACCTCGCGTCACCCTCCTCATAAACACTCGTGAGATAGTTGTGCATCTCAATCACGGCCTGATAAACAAAAGATTGATAATCCAAACTTTGGAGGAACATAGAGAGGTTTTACCTTGTGATCGATTTCCGCAACTTCATTCATGACACCTTTAAACCACTCGAACGATCCCTGCTCCCGCGTCACCCAGTAGAAATACGCGTTTGTGGGACACTTCCGCTTGCGTCTACGTGGGCTTTCGAGCGAGTGTCTCCTGGGGCTCTCCAGCGCTAGTGCTCCGTTGGGAGATCCAAATGACTTGCTCATATCAATCGAGAATGATAAATCCTGCAAGCACAATCGATCGAGCCTAGCTTTTGTTACTCACGAGAGATCGTTTGAAGAGGCTTGAGCGCACTTACTTGCAGCTGATCGGCCATCTTGCGCTGGTTGAGCATGTCTTTGAGAATGCTGATAAAGGGAGTGGCACCGATTCCCAGTCCAATGAGGAGAAGAACATCGTACTTTCTATAGTCTTGCGAAGGACCTCCATACGGGCCGTCTATCACCAGCTTTGGGAATTTGCCTAGCGAGGTTGGGATCTCTTCCGTGGTTAGTTCCTCCCTTAACAATCCGCTCTTGCTGTCTGTGGATGGCTCGCAAACCTTTGTAACAAGAATAAAATGATCAAATAAGAAAGTTGGCAAACCATATCATTGGAAACAAATTGTACCTCAGAGAAGAGCTTCCTCATCTTTTGCGTCCAGTCGCCCAAAGTTCTGATGTGAACGCTCAGGAAATCCTCTCCTGGAGCGGAGGTTATGGAGAAGGGATGCCTGTGGAAAACATTATAAGCTTCAAAGGCAAGAACCATAATTTGCACCATACCATTCGAAGGGCGAGATTTCAGCGCACTTGAGGAAGAGATACATTCCACTGTGGTAAGTGAATCCAGGAGGCTTGCTCATGTGTAAAGCTAGCACATTTCCGGGGTATATCGCAGCCTTTTCGACTATCATAAGAAAAAGCCAAAATCTTTCCAAAAACCTTGCTTACCTTGATGATTTGTACAGTGTAATTGGCCCTGCAAGCTCGATACGCTCGCTCTCCAGCATACAGCAGTAGGGGCACAGCCAAATACATCCATGTCTGCAATTCAAAATTCTGCTATGAAAAAGATAAAAAGGAGTTTTAGCTTACATTTTTTTCGTGCCACTTGTAAGTAAGGAAGAGGAAGAAGGAATGGACGAGGAGGAGGATGTAAACGACGATGAGGAGGTGATGCGAGTACCAAAACGCATTGAAACCGGTAATGTTTTTGAGAGGCCAGGGAAGTTTGATGAGATCTCTCCGGAACCATCTCGACGCGAGAGTGAAGGCGATGACCATCAATACTACCATGATAATTCCCGTCACCCCTTCCACCGATCGAAGAATGTCCACATAAGTTGGCTTCTTGTTGTGGAATCCTTTCCCGATCATCCTTACAAACTCCTGGTCAGGATAGTTGACAATCCTAACGAAATCGCAAGCCAGGTGAGTTCCTGCGTGGATGAGAACCCCCACAACAATCCCTAGAGCAATGATCTGCAAAGTATACAAAAACGTTGACGGCCAAGTTGGTATACAACTTTCTCGAAGGTGATCTTACCTTGTGGAAGTTGATATCATCGTCAAAAGGAACAAGATTCCCGAGCCAAGTCGATCGAAGCCAGGTGATCGTCTTCCTGCAAACCGGGAAGAGGATCAAAGCCATGTTGAGCTTGAGCGTCTCGGCAGCACCCTTGGCGGTACAAACGCAGTAGCCCATGACTTGGAACGCCGCCTTGTTCTTGTACTGCACAAACTTCCAGCTGAAGAGCCCGGCCATGGCCATAATCCACAGCGACACCACCCACATTCGCCTCCAGTTATCACCCAAAGAATGCCGCGAGTTCCTCAGGAATCTCTGCAATCGGCGTGAGATGCCTGGTGCTTTCGTGCTCGTGATGATCTGGTTCGCCTGCTGGCTGCTGTGATCCTTGGGGTGTGGTCCTCGCATCAGCAGCGTCTCTAGTTGCCATAGCTGCAAACCATGGAATGCAAACCAAAAGCACCAAAAAGGTGGTGTCAGAAAAAACGTTGAGATACTTGTGACGGATTGGAACACTTTAGATTCCCATCCGAAGCTTCTTCTTTGCTTTCTTTTCTGTTCCCACGTCTAAATCTTCATTTCCTACCTCGATGTAGCCCAGGTTTTCCGGATCCAGTTCTTCCATGATGAGCGCGGCATATTCCTCGGCCTGCTCCTTGAGTTTCGACAGCCGGTTGGCGGACGCACTCAGCATTATCACCTGCCACCATTGCAAGTGTTCAGCAATTCTCTTCTGGATATGCAAAAAGAAAAAGAGGAGAAAGAAACAAAATCTGGAAACTTTTTGAAGTTTCAAAAGGTTTGTAAAAATGCATACCTCTTTCACCTCCCTCTCTGAAATCCGTCCATCGAGGTTCTTGTCACACCTATGAGGCGGCGGATCAGCTGCTAATTACATGATTACGAGCGGGACTGACTTACATGTCGAAGAAGATCTGCATCCTCGCATCGAAGCTCTGATCAGAGATTTGCAACCAGAAATCGTACATGTCCCTCTTCGACAGCTTCCTGAGCTGCTTGAGCCCTCGCCTCCGCGCCAGAGCATCGAAGAGCTCCGCGGCAAATTCGTTGGAATCCTCCATTCCTGTCGATCAGAGGCCAAGCAGATCAGTGGTGTTCCTTCGAGCGATCAAAACCAAACGGTAGGAAAGTGTTGCTTGGATCTTTTCTCATGGCTAAAGGAGAGAGAGAGAGAGAGAGAGAGAGAGAAAGATCTTGGAAAGGGAAACATTACCAATGCACAGCCCAAAATCCGATTTGTCGATGAAGCCCTCTTCGCTGGCGAGCTTGTCGAATCGCCGCGACACCAATTCCCACGCCAGCTTCTGGTTGTTGCTCTTGCTGATGAATCGCAGCCCCTGCAATGCGTGCTCGGCCCCCGATTTGGATCTCGCCAGCCTGCGGATGTCCGCGCCACGGCTGCTCGGCGCCACCACCTCCTGATCCTTGGCCTTCTTCCCCGACCGCGACGACAATTGCCGGACATGGCTCCACACATCCCCTGTGAATTTGCTGAGCTTGGCGGACGCGCTCTTGATCAGCGCTGCCGTCTCCTGTGGCGATGCCCTCTTGGAATTGGAATTAGATCGTGTGTCGAGCAGCAGAGTATTGCCGTGAGGATCAGCCGCTTGGGCGCTCTGCGCTGGAATCGGTGCGATGCTCCGGAGGGTCACTGAATCCTTCCTCACATCCAGCGTCAGCTCCACGAGTTGGTGATACTCGCCCTCTTTCGGCTGATTGAAATCGTTGATCTGGAGCTGGATTGGGGGCAGAGACACCTGGTGGTAGTCCATCTTTTTTGCCTTTCTTTTCTCTCCCCCACGAGGAGAGATTGATCGAATTCGTCTCTCGAGGGATAGAGAGACCACCGCGCTCTTTCCTTATTTAATTCGTGGGCGTGGACTCGGCCTCCTCGAAAAAAAAATGGTGGCAAAAGATTCTTCCTATATTTCTTTGGGAAATCAAACTCGAGATGATCATCGATCACAAACTCCAGCAAAAATTCCTAGCTCTAGACACGAAAACCTTTGCTCTCCTTGCCACAGTTGTTCCAAAGACTACACTCGAGAGCTACAGCCACGATAGCATTCTCGAAAACCAAAGTGGCCCTACTTTACTAGAATGTTAAAAAAGATGGATTTTTCTCGCTTCACCCGCTCGCTTTAAACTTGAAAGAGTTTTTCTTGTCCATGTCTCTCATTCTTTCTTCCCTCTTCTTCTTCTTCTTCTTTTTCTTCTTCTTCGTTGTTTGTTTATCTTTTCCTCAAATTGTTTGTAGATTGTGAGTTTACACCACTGTCAAAAAAGAATTCACCTCTTTCAGGTTCCTTGTGGATTTTTGGTAACTCGGGCAAAAACATGACGTGGGGGTAAGAATTTCCAAAAGGCATGACGTGGGGTAAATTCCAGTCTTGGCTGCACACCAGCAGTTACACAAGTTCACACTGCCAAAAGCTCTCACGGTAAATTCGAAAGCAGTGATTTTATCTGGTCCCAATAAAAGATCAGAGAGAGAGAGCAACTCCTTCGCTTGGATTTCCATGATTTCATCCCGTCAACATTTCTGTAGTTTGCATTACGCGGTTTGACAACGTAGTCCTCCCCACAGATGAATTTCATCTCATCTTCTCGAAGAACAAAGACAAAACTAGGCATCGTCGCCATCTTCGTATTATATGTTTCCCTTGTTGCCAAGTCCGGCATCTTGTGTACTTGTGTGTAGCTTTTCGCGCAAGGCATTTCAATTGCAAGAAGCTCTCCAGGAGATCTCTACGAATTCTTAATGTCTTTTCTGTCTGGAAACATGATACACCCATACACCACATACATTTGTTTAGCGCCTGCAGAACTTTATTCTACCAAATGCCGTGTCACGTCTTCCGCTGCTATGTGATCTTGCAAATCTGACCATTTGCTCGTTTCGCTGTTCTAGAAAGCCTGGCCTATGTCTAGCTTAGCCGGCAACAAAATTTCAATCCGAAAAGCCTAAAATACCGAATGACTGTTTTGACCAATTTATATCAAATTGTTCCGTTTGTGCTTGAGAGTCAACTGCTGATCAAGGGACGACGAGAAAGAAAGAAGCAAAGAAATGAAATAAAATAAAAAAGAGAAGAGAAGCTTCTGAAAGTTTGAAGGCCTAGACATTACGCAAGTTTGTTTGTGTGTCATGTTCCTCGAAGATTGACATTGAGATCGAATTAGGGAGCCACAGCTCTATGGCAGTTGTGAAGTTCCAGATTGATTGAGATATCCAAGGCATGGCTATCTGTTCTTCCTCGTCTATCTCCCTCTCTCCTCTTTTCGCTCTTTGTGCATGGAGACATTCAAAGGTGGATGATTGCGATGCATCAGAAGTTTTCTATGAAACATGCCCCACTAGAGACAGCGAAACAAGAACAGAAGGTAATACAAACGTACAAGTACTTCAGACTGTAGAACATTCAGAAGGACAATCAAAATCGGGAAAAGAAAGAGGGTTTTCATGGCTAAGTTCAGAAAACTTGATAGAGAGAAACGCCTCATTGTGTCGTTCTTTGGGTGGTACAGGTGATCCAACCTTTGTCTCTTTGCAGTGGATGACTTGCCCTTCAAAGGGATATTTGCCTATGAGAGCAGCAAAGGTAAGCACACTCCAAAAGACAGTTAGTGTGTTTTTGTGGGTCAATGCTGTGATTTCAGCAACAAGCATGGCCAAAGGTGTCAAAGACCATCGGGTCATCTAAGTTGGTGTCACTGGTGAGGACCATACCTTCCAGTCAAGCATAGTCAAACCCCACATTTCAAGCTACAAGCTTTCGTTTTGTTTTGTCTACCACAAAAATATTCACACAAAGTATGTATAGTTTACAAGGTAGATTGCACTTTGCCTCCTTTCTTCCAGTGATTGAACCATTTGGACACGGAAATGGGGCCTCCAGCTCTGAACAAGGAAAAACAAAAACCCAAATGTAATTCAGCAATTATCAACAAGGTTTGGGATTTGGGGATCTTTCTTTGTTAATATACAGACAGAAAATGGAGAAAAGAAGAGAGAAAACAAAAAAACGAGACAAGATGATCTAGTCTGTGGCTATAAAACACAAAAAGCAGTAGCAGTTATAATCAGGCGAGCAAATTGCAAACGACGCACAGACACCATTCAGCCTGAAAAGTTAGACGCTAAAGAAGAGAGATTTGGCCACACATTACCTCACGATTCCATTCTCGTGAGCAGGACTTTTAGCCTTCCTCGAGCCTCCTCCTCCAAACGGGGTCGACACCGTTTTCCCCACAAACTTCCCGGCCTTTGTCAGTCCACCTCCCACAGCATCCATCGTGCTCCCAATCATTCCAGCCTCTTTTGCCTTCTGCTTCTCTTCCAGGAACTTCTTCTCCATCTCCATCGCCGCTTTCTGTTCCTCCGGCGTGTAGACGTGGTATTTCAGCTGCTCGGACAGAGGAAAGCGCTAGCTTAGCTAAACCAGGTACCGAAAAAAGCTAGCTCAGTTTCTAATAGCTTACCCGGACAGTGATGGTGCCTCGGTCTTTCTTGTCGCGTACGTTCATCTTGTCCAGTGATGGAAGTAGATCAAAGACTTCCTCCTTCGTTTCCTCTGGCAAAAGTTTGGCTACGCGATAGGAAACTATTCCCAGCAGAGCATCCTTTTGACCAACGTCTTCGTCATAAACCTACACACAACAAGAAATGTGTAGCTCGAGCCTGAAGAAAGTAACAGGTACCTGTAAGGTGAGGAGCTGGGTCTCATGGTCTTCGATATCGAAGTTGAACTCTGCATTCCACTCGGGATTCAGGTTATTATTGACAACCTTGGTTTTGAACTTGAAGAGGGGCCGCACGTACGCAACCACATACGGATCAGACCTTCCAAACATTTCCATGTTTTTCAAGGAATTGGCCTTTATCACTCCAACTGTAAGCCGGCCTTGAAGTTTCAGCTCGAGGTCGCTGAAGCGAAAGAAAACGTAAGACTGCCGTTAAAAGCAACGTGAAACGTGTACCTTGTGTCAACAGGAAGTCCTCCAATGGGTATCACCCTCCTGTGAGGCCACTCTAACTGATCCGTAATAGCATCCTCGACCAAATCCTGTAAAAAGCAATGCCCCGAAAGTTTGAATGGCAGCTTTCCTCGAAGCACGGAACCTTTATCATGTCTGCGAGGCCAGGAACTCCTGTCAAGCTTCCACCAATCACCTTCAGAGTGTACTTAACTTCTGGTTTCGGCTGCATGGTAAAAAGCAAATGAGTGTGACACAGTGATGGCGAAAAAAGAGACTCAAGGATACATTACCTTGGCTAGCAGCGCCACAACGACGGCTGAAATACAAGGTATATTTTCCGAAAGCTGGAAAATCACTCTAATAGTCGCAAAAAATTTGAGGTTTTTTAACTGGTCGAAGGAGGAGAAAATTTAGTGCGAGGTGAAACTTCTCTATCTCGTTCCATACCTGTACAGGTAAGCTGGCTCCGACGAGTGTCTGAATCCCCAGAATGATACTTGCATCGCCATTCCAACGAAAGTCCATGTCCATCGTGATTTGACCCGGTTTTAGCGTCTGGATCCTTATGCCTGCATCCAGTTTTCTAAAAACCAAACAATACAAAGTCACGAGTCACCTTCGATTTGCGGTGCCAGGCGTCCGAGGGAGAGCTTGTCAAATTTCAAAGAAGAAATGCCAATCGGCCGGTATTGCTCCAGAACCGGCTCCACGGACTCCCGGATGATCTCTTGTGCGGCCTGGAAAACAAACATATAGTTTAAGACTCAGATAGAGACGAAGGAAGGACCAACTTACTCCTGCAACGTAAGGCCAGACTTTCTCGAGTTGCTTGTTCATCCATTTCACCTGCGACGAGAAAAGTTTAGAAGCGAGGCCTTAAGACAAGAAACTATCGCTACTAGAAATCCACTTACGCGCTCAAACTCTGGAAAGATCACCCACGGGGGGAAGGCATCGTATAGAAGTTTCTTCACTTCGTCTTGGGACATTTTCCCTAGTAGCTTGATATTCGCAGCCTGGAAGAAAAGAAGATAGCGCATAAATTTGCTACTCCAGCCAAACGAAACAAACCTTGGCGATACGTTGCTTGCTCCGGCAGCGCATTGCAAAGCACCATCCTGCTACCAATCCTATCCCGACTATTACCCCGAAAAGCAACCCCGTGAGCAATCCCATCGATCCGCCTTGCCACCGGCCGCGAAATCCCGCCTTAATGGGCACGAATCACGCTCCCAGCTTCACAGCGCCCGCATTTCTCCCGGAAGCGGGGAAATATCGATCGGCAGCACTAAAAGCTAGAAAAACCCCAGCGGATTCTTCGCTCCTACCTGAGCAGCGGATCTAAATTCGATGGCCGCGCCCTCCCGCCGGGCGCCAATGTGAGCGCCATATCCCTGGAGCTCGCGCGCTCTCTCTCTCTCTCTCTCTCTCTCTCGACGAGGAGGAAAATACTAAGTTAGCCTTCCTCAATCCACACGGCCAGCGAATATACCAAAAGAGCTCGCGTCCTGCCGCGTGTGTGGTCCTGTACGGACGGCTCCATTTTCTCTCCTCGCAGAAGTACGGACTGATCCCATGGCCGTTGGAGGGGCTCTAATTTATGCGAAGTGGACGTGCAATCTTATGCCAAATTTTTCTATCCACGAAACCAATGCCTGTCGTGGTTTGTGATGTGTATGCTTATATATCAATGCCTGCCATGTTTCGTTGTTTTCTTCGTGATATTTTTTTTTTCACTGTTTCTGTCGAGAAAAAATCTGGAAAGCCACCGACACGGCGCAGAGAAGAAGAAACATAAGGAAGGAAAAGAGAGATTGAGAGATTTTAATTGTCACAAGTTTGGATATGGATCGCTGGAGACTACGTTTGATTGAGTCAGTGCAGGAAACAGTAACGTTCCAAAAGCACAGAATCATTGGGAGAGATCAGCTGTGGAGTAAATTATTGCGGAAAGTTGGTCGCGCCATTTGGAGCAGTGGTCGCGGAGGTTTGGAAGTTTTACATTCTTAGAAGCCAATCGATTGCCAGCCTTTCTTCTCCAGCGCCTTTCGCAAAGCCTGTGTGGTGTTCTTCAAGTTAGTCCACAAAACTAGATTTCCACAAAACTAATGGAAGAGTGCGCTTACTCTGATTCTCTTGCGATTAGCATCGAAATCCGACGATCCCACGCGAGAAGCCGACCTGTACTCAACCAGCGATCGATTCCCAGGCGGGAACCAAAACTCGACATCGTCTACAAACTGGAAGAAAAAAAAATTAAAAAATTATAGCGTGAAACCAAACTCCGAGAAAAAAAAAAGAGAAAAACTTACACCCAGATAGGGAGATTGATACTCAACGTAGACGTAATCGTCAGTGTTCTTGACGATGTTTGGAGTATAGTTTTCCGGCTTGGTTGAAGATATCTGAAAGAAAAAATAAAATTTTTGAACCAAAAAAAAAAAAAAAGATTCTTAGAAGCTTACAACAGCGAGAAGCTCTTTCATGGCCTGCTCTCTGGTGGCGGGGTTTTTTCTTCCACGTCCATCTTCTGGATTATACGTCCTGTCACCACGTTTCCCATAAGCCAAGAGAAAAAAAGGAAAAAAAAAAGAGTTGATTTTATTACCACGGAGGTACGTAGTGAGATGGATCGTTTGCTTCTTCAGAGGTTGAAATGCAATTCGGAGTTGGAGGGCACAGCGCAAGGGACGGCGGATTTTTTTGTATTCCAAGATAGTCAGGTCGCGTTCCACTGGGTTTTTGGAATTTTTTTCTAGCCTCTAATCAAGGCGAGAACGAAAGATGAACAAACAAAAGATGAATACCTGAAGTTGAAAATGGCAGCCAGAGATGCCAATCCGCTCGACTGAAGCAGCAAAGTTCTGTAGAACAAGAACACCAATCAATCAAATCAATTGCAAGACAACAAGATCAAAAGAGAACAAAATCCACAGTGACACGAGGATTACCGTCTGCTAGAGCTGCTTTCATCGGAGCGTAAGATGATTGGATTCTTTGTGGGAGTGGAACCCCGTGAACCGGACAGAGACGCTTGGCTCAAGCTTCGAAAAAAAAAAAGACAAAAAAGAAAAAATAAAGAAAAGAAACTGTGAGACACACATGAAAGAGCTCCCTGTAGGCCCGAAAGGAAGAAAAGGAAAAGAGAAACAACCACAGCCATGGTCTTTGAATCTTTGTTTCTCTTTTCTCTTTGTATAATGCGAAGAAAAATCATGAAGGAGCACTCACCAAGACAGAGATACGCAAGCCATCCTTCTCCTTCAATCGCCCAAACAGATGGATATAGGGCAACCACCACACAACATAAACCTTCTAAGCTTGGCAGATAAAGTTTGAATTTTGCAAATCTTTCCAGTTCTTTTTCTACAGCTTCTTCACAAGTAGAGGAGCACCATATACTGGTTTCATACTGACAGGACTTCCGGGAGCGTGGACGTAATCCTCAGCGAGCGTGAAGGAAAACTTGGCGAGCAGCAGCGAGAGGAGCAGCCTTGCCTCGATCAATGCGAAGTTCATGCCGAGACACATCCGCGGCCCCGCTCCGAAAGCCATGAACTCGGATATGTCCTTGGTTTTCTTGTTGATGAAACGCTCGGGATTAAACTCGGAGACATCGTCCCCCCAATCTTCTTTGCTTTGGAGCAGCAGAGCCAGCGGACACAAGACTAGAGTTCCCGGAAGAATGGAGAACTCCCCGATTTCGTGGGCTTGATGGCACTGTCTCGTCACGGTCGAAACCGGAGGGAAGAGTCGAAGAACCTCGTGGATGATCCAGCCAACCTTCAGATCAAACAGGAGATTTAGTCAAATGGAGCTGCAAGAACACTATAGAGAACTTACAACTTCGAGGCTTGAGAGATCTTCAGCACTTAGATCACGACCTCCACACCGTTTGTGCGCTGCGAAGATCTCGTCCCTGGCACGCTGCTGCCACTCTTGGTGGACCGAGAGCATGATCAGTGACCAAGTGAGCGTCAATGCGGTGGTGGAGTGACCCGCGAAGAAGATTGTCTTGCACTCGTCCAGGAGCTGGTCCATTGTCATCGTTGGCGACTTGTTCTCCACGGCCTCGAGCATCATGTCGAGGAGATCATACACAGGCTTGCCGTTCTCGTCAGGATTTCTGGTCTTTTCGGCCCAGCGGTTGCGAATTATATCTCGCAGCAGCGTGTTCACGTATTGCTCACTGCGCCGGAGGTGGAGATTCTCCCGTGTTGGCAGGAAACTATTTCATCACAACCAAGTTTTCAGAGAAAAAATCGACTTTTTTTCGAAAGTTTTGCTCGTGAACGATCACCTGTATCCAGGTATAAGCCGCTTGTAGCTGTTCATGTAGAGCAGTCCCGTAGAGAGAAGCCTGTCCAAGCACTCGAAAGCAGCGTAACCAGTGTTGGTGCCTCCAATGGTTGCTCCAAACGACGCTCTTGTGATCACGTCCAAGGTTAGAGCCGCCATCTCTCTGTGAGCATCGATTCTCGTCGTCTCTCGAGAGCTCCATTTCCTGGCCAGATCTTCTCCAGCACCAGACATATGCCGCATCAATCCCTGTAGAAGAATCGGAGAAACATTAGAAAAATCGGATTTTGTATTCATGGGTATCACCTTCAAGTATGCAAGCTTGAATGCGGGATTGAGAATCTTGCGCTGCTGTCTCCAGAAATCTCCGTCGGTGACAACAACACCTCTGCCAACAACGGCTCTGAGGATCTGGCGAGACAAATCGGCCTTGATGTAGGAAGAGGATCGAGACATAAGAACTTGCTTCACTAGCTCGGTATCAGCCACCAGGATTCGAGTCGTGGAGCCAAGCTCGTGAACTGAGATTCTCCCTGTAACAATATGGTGATCGATCAGATGAAGGGAACTTCAAGAACCAGAAAAGACTTTTTTCTTGTGTTGAGCAAAGAACAAACAGAGAGGAGTGATACCATAAGTTTGCTGGAATGTAGCAAGGTCTGGAATAACCCTGAACTTGGTCGCGGCGTGGAAGCTGGTCTCAAACTTTGGCACCGAGTTGAAGAGCTTGCGAATCTCGGGGATGTTGCCGACGATCAATCGGAATGGAGGCCCTGGAATGCCCTGCTTGGCGTAGAAGCAGCGGAATCTCCAGGCGTGCCACAGGCTCCTCGCAGCAGGAACGAGCAGCCAAACAACCAAAAACACACCACAAGAACATAGAATCTTCCACAAGAAATCTTCCATAGCCAAATAGCTCAAGGGTCTCTCACTCTTTTTTCTCTTAGGTTAGCAACCTTATCTCAAATGTATGCCACTTGTCATGGGCTATGAAGATTGTTTGGTTGTTTATAAAGAGATTTCATCTTCTCAGTTTGTCAACTCATTTGTACATTTTAGCAGTGAATTCCAACTACACATTGTTTGTAGTGACCTCTTATGCCATTTATGACTAGATGAAATAAATCACTTTTCACTTGTCATATTTTCCACGTTGTGAGACTTTTCATAGTACATTCAAGATCAATTTGCCACCATTATTTTCTTTCAAACAAGTTGGGATATGTCTGCAAAGAATAACAGTGCTGTGAGAATCACAAATAATCATTTCATCAGTCAATCATGCAGCTACTTAAAACTGAGAAACCTTCAAGCTAAGTTAAATCACCCAAATCCCTCCATCACAGAAAGATGGTTTCCAATTCAGCCCCGTATTCCTCTTCGTCAAAAGCCTCCTGGAGCCTCCGCAGCTCGTCTGCTCTCTTCTGCTCTTCTTGAGCTTTCATCCTCGCAAAAGCTTCCTCTTGCTCTTTCCGGGCTTTCGCCTCGTCAGCCACCTCATCCGGAGCTTTGGTCGGTTGATCCCTGCCGGACGGAGCAACCTTGGACGTAACCTCCCTCGCCAGCTCCTTGATCTTGGGAGTGACCACGGAGACGGTCTCCTTCATCTTGGGAGGAACGGCGGGAGGAGGAGGAGTTTCCTTCAACACCGCGTCCTTGAAAGTCTTTGGAGCTTCCTTGACGGCCTCCATAACTTTGGCTACACCACTTAGCGCTTCCACCGCTGTCGAAGGCTGCTGAGCTTCCTCTGGAGGTGGCGGTGGCGATGGCGATGGAGGCGAAACTTTGAACGTTGGAACTGGCTTCAAGCCTGGAGCTTGAGTTTGAGTCGATGGAGGAGGCTGCGGAGCTGGAGCTGACGCTGTTCTAGCGTAGTCAGGCCTGGAGACGACTGGATCCGGAGCCGATGGTGCCTTCATCAGACGATGGCTCGGTTTGATCTCGTCTTTTCTGCCTCCCATGATCTCGACCTTGAGGCTTTCGGAGTGAACGTGTGTGGCTGCCGCTGTCGTCGGTGGAGCACCAGGCATTGCCGCGGGAGGAGAAGGTAGAACTCTACCTGCAGTGCCTGCCGAGGTGGAGATGGCCTCCGAAAGATCTGTGGTTCCTCGAGTTATGATGTCCGAGAGGTCCGTCGCTGTTGCTCCCTCGGTTGTGTACGCGGCAGCGATTCCTTCTGTTAGTGAGGCCGGAGGAGTCTTGTATTTACGGTACTTTGCATAGAGGCCGAGCTGGAGTGCGCCTAGAAGCACTCCCAGTCCGTTTGGAATCTAAACGAAAAACGATACGAAAAGTTAACTCTAGATGGAGTTGACGCCCGAAGATACTCACGATAATGAACTTGTCTTGCTTGAGAATACCATACAATGCCCAGATTGTAGCGTTGACAAAGCTACACAACGAAAGCATGAAAGGCATGTACTCCACGCTCTTGGTTTCGATCACCATTTTCTGGAGAGGAGAAAGAGAAGTGAAGTGAGCGAGATCCACAAGACCGAGAGAAAATCGCCAGAGAATTTGTTTTAATCACCTTGTTTGTTTGTTTTGTGTGAATCTTAAGCTCAGCTTTTGTGAGTGTTTTACCATAACCGACAGCGGTGCTGCATACATCATCGTGTTGATTATCACGTTGATTGATCCCAGAAACGTTGTCCTGTCGTCGCCCTCAAACGCTCCCAGCGTGATGGCGAAAGTGATCGCACAAAAGAAGATCACAAACACTAGACTCCGCAAAACTTGAGTCTGCAGGAAAACCATAAGCTCAAGAACAAAGCAAAGTTGCAAAGAAAGAGAAACAAAGAAGAACTCGAGCTATGGAGCGTACCTTGACAGGCCATGCCGCGTAGTAGATGAAGATGACTAGATAAACCGCCTCAATCACAATGCCGGCCCCGTTGATCGTGAGGACGAGGATGTTGTTCTCGCTGATGATGGGCAGGCCATAGAAGAACCAGAGCAAGCAATTCATGAGTGTACACACATAGGGAAACGCCGAGAACCGCCCGGTATCCTTTTGTTTGTAGATGATCGAGAATGTCGGCCTGGAAAGCAGCGAAGAAACAAGATCGATTTAGGGGAATGGAGGCCGAGATACGAGAGATCTGGAAGCGGTGCTTACAGCGGGGAGAAGAACATGATCATCGCCGTGATATTTCCTGCGAGGTCACCGAAATATCGCGGAATGAGATCGAAATCTCGCAATGTGGGACTGGATTCTTACCTAAGACGCCGAGCGCCACTGTTCCAGACCCCATCCTTCGATCGCCCGGAGTGGAATCGCTCGAGCGCTCAAAGGAGTATCATCAAGAAGGAGCAAAGCTTTTCACACCACTCCTAAACGAAACCGTTATAACGAGAAACTTTAGGGCTAGGTTAGGCTGAGGATGATCGTTCAGGTAAGCGCATTCTTTTTCTTCTTCTTCTTCTTCTTCTTCTTCGCTGGAGTGAGTATCGATCGATTCTATCAGGTGCTACTCAAGGAGCGGATCAATGAGTTTGATTTCCGGGAATGGACGGTTTCGGTGGCTTGCGGTCTCGGATCCCAGCGACTGCGCTGGCTCGCGCATGCGGCGTGTGCGCGCATGGCCTACAACACAGGCAAGCGAGAATTTGGGAAGAATGCTTCGTTATTCATGGATTTCTTCCCTCTCTCAGGTGATGTCCCTGCGAAATATGTGCCTCAAGCTGTGCGATCCATGGTAAGTCGTGTAAGATCTTTAAAGTCTTTCTCATTTCACTGCTTAATAGGGAGGAGAGGTGTTTCACCCCGACTTGATTATCAACAAGACTCTACAAGATGGTGCTCAAGTGGAAGTCGAATGCTCAAGTAAAAGATCGGCCGTTTGTTCTTTCTGTCCTTCATCAATGCTGACGTTAAGATGTCATATTTCAGGAGGGCCCGAGTCCTTCACTGTTTACTACGAGGGAAAGCCAGCTCCGGTCATCAAGGATTTCTTTCCCAAAAAACAAGAAGAAGAAGATAAAAAACCAGAAGAACTAGAACAGCTTACTAAAACTCCTTCAGGTTTGTCAGCATTCTTTCTTTTGTTTAATCGTTTTGCTCATTGTTTCTGGTTTTCCTCTTTGTAGAAACTGCTCAAGGTCAACCTCCTCCTACCGAAGCCCCACCTGCACAAACAACAGAAACTCCACTGGCCCCAGCTGGTAATTCAGTGCTTAAGCTGGCCTTGTATTGTTGGCGTGACTTGTGTTCGCAGTGGACAGCGAGGGAAATCCTCTTCCTATGGAACCTCCACCTCCCCTTCCTCCGCCTGATAAGAGAGTCGTATGGGCCAACACTGTTCTAGACTCCATAGGTACTTTTTTGGAAGGGTGTAAAGGCTTGTCACGGTTGACTTGACATTGTGTTGGTTGATTGGCAGACTGGACGAAGTATCCTGTTGCCGGAGATCTTAACATCAATTATGAGACTTGGGAAAAGGACTGTGGTATGTCCGCGTATACGCCTCAGTTTTTTGATTGACTTGGTGTACAGCGCCGCTGCTGTCTAGGAATCGTGCAATCGGTCTTAATCTGGTACTGTGCCAAAGGCGATGAGATCGAGGACAAGGATTTTGGAGTACTCAATTGTGTATGGTTTTCGTTTCTTTGTGCTTTACATGATTCGTTGACAAGCAGCCTTTTTCCAGGAGCAATTTCGAGAAATATTTGTTGATACAAAGCTGTGTATTGATCAAGCTGGTGGTAAGCTACTCTATGTAATTTCCAATTAATTATTGATTATCAACGATTTGCTGCAGAGGATGTGGTCGATAGTTGTTTCGATGACGGTTTAAAAGCTACGAACTGCCCATCAGCTTATCAGCTTTCACTTGTGGAGTTTATTCCCGCACTCGTCCAATTTGCCTCATGTAATTCCTTTTGTTTCCCTCTCTTCGACGCTAATTTTCAGGCTTTCTATGCAGCCTCGTTATTCGAACCATTTGTACCAGAGCGCGATAGACAACATCTATCAACAAGGGTAGCTTCATAAGGCACATTATAGCTAGAAAATGGCTCGTCTTCACAGGTCACGCATCTCATTCGCAATTTCTTAGCACGGACCTTGAGCGAGCAAATCTCAGCGGGGCTTAAAGAACTGCACAAGGCAGCCAAGACTGGGACCGTATGCATGGTAAGCAAGCAGACACATTTTTAGTTCTGAAACATTTTGTTTTTCTCCAGGACGTTCTCAAAGAGAACAAAGAGCTGTCTCAAGCATGCATAAAGCGTTGCAAGCCCCCGTCTGATCCCACTAAGAAGAAAATTAGAGTTCCATTCCACATACTTTTACCTTTTTTTCGGGTAAGTCATTTATTTGAAATGACAATTGATTCAATCTTTTTCTTTTGTGTGCTTGTAGAGATGGCTTGTGCTTGGTGACCACTGGAAACCACAGAGAGCGTCACTGATACTTATATACGCGTTCCAAAGGTCGCAAGTAAGTGGCAATCGAGAAACGAAAGTATATGTGTGCTAAGTTGCTCTACAGGGTGTTGGCGAATTTACTCCCGTTCCTTCTGGCTTCAGCTTTGGACCAAAACAATGAGAAGGGTAAGGGCCTTCCGCATTGGGACTTTGCCATCGAAAGGTTTAAGTATTTGCTTTCTTTCATGCAGTTTTTTTTCGGAGCTTCATATTTTGCCTTCATGGAGTCGACGTCTCTCATCAAAATCTCCGACCATGCTTACCTGAGAGACTTCCTGGACAAGGTTTTCAAGAGATCTGGGGTTGCCAAGCCGCTCTACACTACATATGAAGAAAAGAAGGCCTATCTTCGCTCAATACTCTTACACGAGTGATTGATTTCATATGTTTAACAGTGTAAGAGAGAAAATTGCGCTCTGTGACGATGAAAGATATACCCCAAAGAGCTCTAGCCACCACACAAGATGGAGAACTAAAGCCTAGCCAACCTCCTACATTTCCAGGAGTGGGTATTTTGTGTAGAAATTGTTTGAAATACTTTTCAAGAGTGACCAATTTTGTCCAGGCAGAAAAACTTTTTGGTAAGATTTTTATAATTATACGTTTACATAATTATATGAAATTATTAATATCAAAGATAAATATATTTTTAGATACATTATAGAAGAAGAACTTAACAACTTACAATACTTACATTCTCCAAAAATATATAATTTTCTTTAGAAATAAATGTTATAATATTAAAAATAATGTTAAAAAAGTGACAAAAAAAGCCTAAGTAAGTATTATATTAAAAATAAGGTAATAAAAAATTTATTATATACATATTGTTTTCTTTTATTTTAAAAACTTAGTGAAATTATATGATAAAAATATTAATATATGGTTTTATTTATTTATTGGTTAAGTTTTACAACTGAATCATGTATGTCATGGAAAACTTTCTATAAACAACAAAATGCTAAAATAGAAAGACTACAAAACATTATTTCCATTATAAAATTTGGAGAAACAAGTTTCTGAAATGAAAAATAAAAAATAATAACATAGTTAGAATATAACTTTCTTAAATTCATTTTTGGATCACTCATATTTTTTGTTCAAAATCAAATAAATTAAAGGTTTTTTCAGATAATTATAAAATTCATTTGGTAATAAACAATGATGTAGAAATTTGATTATTTTATTACTTATCAATCATTGACTAAATATTATAGATTAATGGCTGTGGGTTACCAATCACTTTATATAATGTTTTTATCTAGAACCATGGTTTGAATCTTTATAGTGTAAACTCATAAATTTAAATATTTCAAAGATTTCACTCAACCCAATACTTTAAAACCTTTAACTGATTAGAAATAGGTGCATTTTTATTCATGAACTCTTTTTTTATATATTTGAACCATAATAATAGTCTTTTAAGCTGTTCTCTTTGATTTCTTACACAAATATATCAATTTAATTATTGAAAAATAGAAAATTAAAATTAATTAAGGATATTGGCAATGACCCAACAACATTGTTCTATGTTGGGACTTTTTTACAAGAATATCTTCACTATCTAGATTTACACTATTTGAGTTTAAATTTAATTATAAAGAGTTAATCCAAGTTGAGAAAATATATATGCGTTCAAGAGAAAATCTAGATTTACTTCTTCCATGAGAAATGTTTATGTAGTGTCAACCAAAACTTCATCACTATTTTAGTTTTCTTTTGCATATTAATTAGAAATGAAGTTTTTTTAAAGTATTTTGTAGATCATAAATATCTTAACAACCATTTTTATAACTTCCTTTATTTTTAAATTTAACTGTCTATTTTAGCAATATTTGCCGCTTCATCTTGTTGCTTTACCAATATTAAAATTCATTGCCTCTTTTGCTTTGAACTTGCAAAGTCATTTTTCTTCTTCTTCTTTAGCCTTCTTATTCGATGCAATTGTTATAATATACTCAAGATATATCAAAGATTTGTAGGTTCATGAACATTTGTCCTTCAGTGAGTGTCTTTTGATTTGTTATAGTTGGCATTTAAAGGTGTGATGTAAACTCTTGAAAAATTAGTGGATTTGAAGTTCATTAGAATTGAATATTGATGTCATTTGCAACTGTGACACTTTGCAAAGGATTTAGCTCATCATTTTTTGTATCATTATCTTCTTAAAGCCAACTTTATAATGTTCTTTGATGTAAGGGCTTGATTCAATCTACTAGGACTTAACACATTCTAGCTATAATGGTTAAAAGTTCATATATCAAAGTAATGAACAATGTTCCATAAAAAAGTTAATAGGTATGGATTAGGATTGATAAGTTGATTGGTTGTTAAAGTTGAGTTATAACTAATAAACCCCTATATAATTATGTTGTTAGAGCTACCAACAAAATATAGATATTAGATGAGTGATTGTTGATACACTTTCAATTTTAATGAGCCCATGTGGAAGGAGAAATGACAAGTTAATGAAGTACAGTATTGCTAGTGTAATAAATTGCTACACGTTGCATGTAGCAACACTTGGTTTTCTTAATAGGAGTGCTATTTTTACTTATTAATCTAATTGATCAAATAAAATTTTATAATTAGAAGCATGTTTGTAACTTATAAATACAAAATTAATCTTATTGCATATCAACCATTAGATGGTAAAATAAAAAAGAATATACTAGAAAGTGTTTAAGAAATTTTATAAATATAAATATATTTTTAAATTATAAATACAAGATAAATCTAAATGAATAGTAACCGTACGATGGTAAAATATTCTAGAATATCCAAATATATTCTAGGTATATCCACTACTATCTCAATCCCCCTACAGGTTTGCTTTAGCAAACCAAAAAGTATGATACTTATATTTTCTTTATAAGTGAAGATGACCTTTGGAATATTTACTTTTAATTCATAGATAATATTGGCTAACAATATTTTCTTTATAAATATTTATCATGAATAGTTAAGGGTAATCTATAATAGGAGTTGCCAAACTTTCCAGGCTGTTGGATCCAGCCAATAGTAGTCATCTGATGGGAGGTAACTTAGTAAATATCACTTTTTTATTGTGTGTTCTTCTAAAATATTTTTGTGAGGTTTGGGCTGGCCAATAGCATGTGATATGGCTTGAGCTAGAGGAGAATGTGTGAGCAAAAATTGCTTGTTTGTGTGGCCCAAGAGAGATAAAACTCTCCTTTTATCATAGCTCCTCTCAATTGTGAAGTTTCTCATTGTAAGTATTATTGAAATTGTTAACATTATTTTTCATTTGATTCATGAATTGTGAGTAGATATTTACAAATCTTAAAGAGCTCTTGACAACTCCTCCAACTTTGATGTATCTTGACTACACTTGACTTTTTATTTTGCATATGGATGCTTTTAATATTGATCTTGGAGGTGTGTTAATACAAGACAGCTGAGTGTGTTTAGTCAATTATATATTAGCCATACATTACAACTAGCAGAAATGAACTACTCCACGATAAAGAAGGAGTGTTTAACAACAGTTTAGAGTTTTGAAAAACTTTATGCATATCTATATGGTTCTTGGACATTCCTAGAAGGTGATTATGTTGTGGTTACTTTGTTATTAAAGTGAAAGAACTTAGTTGATTGTACTACTTGGTGGGCTTTAAAACTTCAAATATATAATTTTAGTGTTTTTCATCACCCAAGGAGTTTTATGGTTAATATTGACGCCCTTTCTCGAGCTCCTCTTCCTTATTTGCTTTCTTTTCATATTTCTAACGATTCTATCATCTATGGAATTTTTACATAAGGATTTTGTGTTGTCAGCAGTTGCTATATTTAATGTTTAGTGTTCATAAAGTGCAAAGTAAGATTTACCTTCTCTTGATAAGGTTCGTAAAGCTTAAAATGTTGAGCCATGGATCTGAAAGTTTCATAATGGGTTTAAGAATCCTGCATCACTTGTTAAAGATTTGCCATTTCAGAATTTACATTCTCAATATTGTTTTGAGAATGATCTTCTTTAATTTGGGGATGGATCTTAATGATCATTTAAAGTTGGTGGTGCCCTCAATCTTTATTCGACACTTTATCCATGCCTACCATAATTCTTCTATTCTAGGTGGATATCGTTGTGTGATTGAGAAGCTACATAGGTTTTTCTATTGGCTGATGATACGACATGATGTTATCCGGTATATATATAATTACATTTGGTGCTAACCTTGTAATACTCTCTCTCTTATTATGGAAGAACAGTTGGAGTCAATGGTAATTTCCTATCTGTGTAAGTTGGTGATGTTTGGCCTTTTCCATGGTCAAGTGCTGGTAACAAATATGTCATTATTGTTTCTAACTACTTAATTTATTAGGTGGAAGTTGATGGTCTTGTTAATGTCTTTACAACTACTATTAGATACTTCTTCTTCAATTGAGTGGTGTTTCAACATTCCTATCTAGAGCAAATTCTTTCAGATAATGGTCTCGTATTTATGGCCAAGGCATTTCATTTTTTAACGTTTTGATTAGATACTCCACACTTTCATGAGTGCTTATCATTCATACTTAAATGGTTTGGTGGAATGGCTCATTCGAATCTTCAAAGGGATAATCATGAAGTATATGAACTTTCAATATTCGGATTGGGATGCATATTTGCCATTTCTTTAGTATGCATATGTCATAGAGGTGTGGTGCTTCACCATATAAACTCTTATATGATTATGATCTAATACTACTAATGGAATTAAATTTACTTTCACAATTGCCACAAACTGCTAATGTTAAGTCTTAGGATTAGCATTTAACAAGCATTCTTCCATTTGTCCAAGTAAAATTTATCAAATACTTGGGCCATATACAAGTAAGATAACAACAACATTACAACTCCCATCATTATCCACTTATAAGATACAAAGTGGATAATTTGGTGTTAGTCCATTTTTCCAATTTATTATATATGGTTTATTTAAGGGGATATTTGTTTAGTGGAAAGGACCATATTGGGTGTTATAGCAAGTTGGATTATAAATTTATAAGGTTTAACATGATATTCAACAAACCAACCCTCCAGAAATTATGCATATGTAACAACTAAAATACTTCATATAAAAAAATCAAGAATAACTAGCACTATCTACAAATCTACTAATGCCTCCTTTTGATGTTTCTTTAGATCCTACCCCATCCACTAGAGAATCCTGACTATCTTTTATAATTTCGAGATGAGGGACTAATGCCATATATTAATATTAGTGGGATTTTAATAGCCATTGGATTGATATTAATTTGGACCAGGGTTTTAGGCTAATTGATATGTATATTTCTGTATTATATTTGCATATTCCATGCACTCATAATTGTTTAAAATTTCTTATTTTAAAATAACCAATATCAATATCATCAATCATCAACTATTAAGTTAACTAGGAACTTAAACTCATCAACCAATGCAACCAACTCATGAAGTGGTCAATCAACTTGGTGAATTGATCAATGAACTCATGAGTTGACTAATAAACTAATAAATTGATCAATCAACTTATCAAATGATAAATTCATAATTCAATTAAATGAAGTGAAATGGTACTTTATCAAACTCAAACTTATAAACTTATTGGGTTTGAAAATTGGCACATTGCCTTTAGACAATTTGGTGCCTTGTTTACATGTCAAACTACAGCAAGTAGTTCTTCAGATTCTTGCAGAAAATTTTGAATAGTTCTCTGGCTTCTAGTGGCTTTTTTGAATTGCAGTCTCATTTGGTATGCCTGACTTTTAATTTCATTCAAGGACTTCTGTATACTTTTGAGTATAAATCGAAGGAAACTCTCTCTCACTGTATTCATATACTCTGCAGAAAACCATTATGGCAATCAAATCATCCAAGGCTGTTGTAATTTCCATGGTGGTGCTGGTGCTGGTTCTATTGGGTAAGTGTATGATTCAGTGTGGAAGGATTGCCCTATGAATATATACAGGAGGTGCGATGCAAGCTGAAGCCGCAGGACAGAGAGCGCTCCTCCAGATAGGTGAGCGACCAATTTCCTGAAACTTTCGTTAATGATTTTTCTTTTGTAGTTTGCCCTGCTGTGTGCCAATACACTAGAGTTGTTTGCAGAGGCGTTCTGTTTAATGATACATGCTACAACGCTTGCACTCTGCCGCGGGGATGCCGACCAGTTTGACATCCAGATTGAAAGTACTGAATAAAGCCGTTTATAATTGAGTATACCTGATGGTAACTCAGTATTGAAGTACTTGAGCTTTGTTGAAGTCTTGTCGATATCATACGAATATGAAGCTTTTGCTGTATTTCTCACTTTGAAAAGGTAGCAGAAGAAAAATTTCTGAGTTCGGACTTTCTTTGCATGTGTACCTTGAGATTGTGATTCTAATGAGATAATCTTTGTGACAAGTCTCGGGAGGCTTGACTTTTCTGGTTGTAGCGTTTACAAAATCAGAGCGTTTGTGTTACATTCTGTGCTTGGAGCGAAATGCTTGGTTGGAAATGGCAATGAAATCAAATATCATGGCAATTGCTGTGGTGCTGGTCGTTCTCTTGGGTATAATCTCGGGTTGAGTGAAGAATTCTTGTCATTCTTGTTAATGTAACAGGGGTTGCGATGCAAGCTGAAGCTGCGGGACAGCGGACGCTCCTCCAGCGACGTGAGAGATCAATCTTACATCAGACAATTCGATTTAACTTTCTTCTAGTTTGCCCGGCAGTGTGCCAGTACACTAAAGTGGTTTGCAGAGGCGTTGCCAGTTAAAGCATGCATCTGAATAGGACTGCATGCTTTTAACTCTTGCAATCTCCCGCGAGGATGCCGACCAGTGTGACTTCTTATTATTATTGTTAAGGAGTCACAGCTAGCTTACAAACGAGGAAGGATAAGTTGAAGCACGAATCCGGAAATGCTGGCCTCGATCTCCACTCTGGTTCCCGAGCAAGTGAGAGACTATCTACACCGTAACTCTAGCAGTCAAGTGCCACACGCACCACAATTTGGCAAAGCTCAAACCTTTTTGCGAAATTGCTCAAAAACGCTTGTTCCAGGTAAGAGCTTTCGAGAAATTTTCCAAGAACCGGCCAATTTGCTGAAAATTGAACCTTCTGTTTCGATTAGAACTCGTGATTTTATTTTGTAGTTCGCGCTGCGGTGTGCCATTCTCTAGAGTCGTTTCCAGAGGCGTTCTGTTTGATACAACGCTTGCAATCTCCCACGAGAATGCCGACCAGTTTGACATCCAGAACAAAATTGCTGAATAAAGAAGTGAGTTTGTGAAACCTCCTAAAGAACCCAAAGATCAAAAGACAAGGTGGATGCTGCTTGATATGTTTTTCTTTTATTACACCTGTATTTCACAAGTAGAAGAACTCGTGGTGCTGGTGGTTCTCTTGGGTATAATCTTGGCTTGATCGTGAAGATTCCTTGTCGTTCTTGTTAATGTATCAGGCGTTGGGATGCAAGCTGAAGCTCCTGGACAGCGGGCGCTCTATCTTAGTCATCGCTGCATTACCTGAGCGAAGCAAGGATCATCAAGTCTCCACGGAGAAGCACCTGTTTGATACCAGGGGAAAGAGCGTCACACCGGACAACTGAGCACCGCACTGGAGATGACTACGACTTTGAGGCCCGCCGAGAGCTTGCACCTGGAAGATAGCTTGGGTTACGGCAAAATCCTCGCACAGAACCGCTCTCAATTCATATCCTCGAGGGAGCAAAAACAGTATGAAGTTTTGGACCGGTGGATTGCCAAGCACAACGAAAGGCTGTTTTGCTTGCTGGGATACTCTATGGCGAGTGGATGCTGGCCAATCACTCGATCCACTACACTAGGATACCGGACTACTTCATCGCATTCGACATCCTGGACGTTGAAATGGAGAGATTTTACAGCCAAGAGAGGTTTAATGCTGTGATCAAGCAAGCGAACGAGCTCGAGATAGAGAAGTCAATAGAAAAAGTTCTTCATGGCGGATGGGATGCTGCTCAAGAGCAAGGCCAAGTGTGTCTTGTAACTCAGCATACAGGGTGTTGGAGTAGCAGGAATCAAGGAGAGGGTAGTAGAGAGCAACAGCAGGAATCTACTATGAGCGCATATAAGAGTGCCTGTACATGCATTTGAAAGTGTTACTCTTTCCATCATGGGATCGGGTTTTCTGTCTTGGAGCTGATGGCACTTAGTATTTTTCAGCATGAAACGGCAGAATAGTAGTGATCCATCTTGTCGTTTATAGTGTAAGCATAGCAGTTTTTAGACAGATATGGGGAAAGGGAAGGAAGAAGCACTGAGCTCCAAGGTTCTCGATTATGGAGGCCAAGTTCCCAAAGAAGAAGATTCTGGGAGTGGTTACGGGATGCGAGCGAATGCCAGCAATTCTTCCCCCAGAAGAAGTCGCAAGGATGACTGTGGGGCAATATCAAGCTTACCAGAAGTGGCAGAGTATTTTGAGCAAGGTGATGTCACGGCTAGAGCTATGTTGATTGAGTGCGTTCGATCGGAGGACATAGGGAGTTTGGTGTGCACTTCAACATTTTTATTGTGAGCAGTCATGGGCTAGGGAGATGAGCATCTTCCAGAAAATGGTGAATTGTTGGCAGGGTCCTCATGAGAAGGCACAAAACTACATCGACTGGATGACAGTGTTCGGTGTCAAGCTGCAGAATATGAAGTCATCATTTTCTGCTGCAGTAGGAGCTCTCATGATTATTGGTCATAATGAGAAGTATGAAAGCCAAGATTGAGCTTCAAATGAATCATCTTTGACCAGGCTTGGATCAAGTCATTGCTAATATTCATCACTATGCCAGCCTCAATGACATCTTCTCAGAAAAAGATGTTGGTGAATCCAAGGACAAAGACATGCTGGGAGGACGTTCAACAAAAGGTGGAAAACAGGAAATAAACAAAATTTTTGTAAGCGCAAAGGACCAATAGCAAATCTGGCAACAATTGAAGAAAATGATAATCTTGATGGTACTTTGTTTTCTTAGAACTTATCTTTTGTCTCTGTAGATTATGCTGAGTCAGGCAAATGTCAAAGCAAGAGCTGGCTTCTGGATAGTGGAGCCACCCACCACATGATGTTTGATCGATCACTCTTCCAAAAGATAAGTTATAAGAAATTCTTTTACTCTGTGTGTACAGTTAGTAGAGAAGCTTTGTGAATAATAGCGTTTGGATCAACTTATTTACTTGAAATCTCTAATGTTTCATTTGTTCCAAAGTTAGCCAAGCATATGCTTTCAATTTCTCAACTTACAGAGCAAGGAGTCTACACATTTTTCTGTTGCATGGCTATAGACTTTATTTTCCATCGAACACAAATTGCTCAAGTGATGGCTAAGAATGAACTTTACTTCTGTTTCTCTTGATCATACTCTTAGTGTAAACATTACTATCTCGCAGTTATGACACTTTTGTTTGGGATATACAGATATTAAATAGGTCAAGGAGACACCTCAAATGGATTGCAGAGTACTTGATCTAATGCACATAAACCATGATGTGTGTGAGTGTCTATGTGCAAAAATGAAGAAACCATTAAAGAAAGTTACAACTAGATTGAAATCAGTTTCAGATCTTGTTCATGTCCTGGTAGAATTGTTCAAACAGGGCTTGATACTTTTGCATAGATTGCATGTTTTCTAGGTTAAGGATGTGAACATAATAGTACACATTTCCTTCTAACAAAAGCTGTATCAAATAAAACATTGCATAGAGCTTATATATGTTTGGTTGTGTAGGTTTCATATATATATCAAATGAAGAATAGTGATATAAATGGGAAGAAATACCAGCATCCTCTATTTCATCACAAACTCTAGAAACTCCACTCATTCCACACATGTTGTTAAGATGGTTTCCATTTATTTGGTTCTAATCACTTGGATTTTGATGGATATTAAGAACACTTTTCTCAATAGGGAACTAAAGCAACCGGATTATATGTATCAGTGGAAAGGAACACTTTGTTTGTAAACTAACTATCTATCTATAGACAAAAGCAATCTGCAAGGATATGGTAGATTGCTTATGCTTGGTTTCATATGTGTAGAGGCTTATTGAAACCTATACTTTTATGTTCAAGACTCTTTGCTCATACTCATCTGTATGTATGTGGACAAGTTATTAGAATCTATAGTAGTTAAAGGAAAAATTTCTTATACATTTTAAGGTGATGGATCTAGGTAAACTCTTTTTTTATTTATACTTACAAATTGTAAGCAACTAATTTTTCCATTCTACCTTAATCATTTAACCACACTTCCGACTATTTAGAGGAGTTTCATTCACAACCTCCATAAGTCCTATTTAGGACTTAGGGCTTGTTACCCCAAGTATAGCATTCATGCCACTCAACCTTTGCACTTGGTCCAAGTGCTCCACATGTTCAATCCCATGAGTGACACCCAAAAGTACCACTGACATATTAACCCGTTATGTTAAGGTTATACCTATTCACCTTTGTCACACTAGTGATTCAACATCATCTATATCATAATCTTGTCTCTCAAAGATTGGGCTATCCATCCATGAATGGTCATCCCAGAACCATTCCTTAGCATCTTTAGGATGCTTGCAGACATGGGGAATAGTTTTCCCCAATATCCCTTTTCAGTCCCTACCAAGTCTCTTTCTGGGTTGTGTTCATCAACACTGCCATTGGATCAAGGCCCACAGGCCCGACCACTAAGTCCTATTGTCCTTTGGAACTTCTTCACCATGTGACCATATCCTTGGTCACCACACCTGAAGATTATTCCTTTTCCTTTCCACAATCTGGGACTTTAGGACAACATTTTAGAACACTATAGCCCTAAGCTTTATGGGTACTCTCCTCACCTTTCACCTTTGGGTGCTCTAGCCATGGGTTTAGAGTGAGGTTTCATTGAGCCATGCCAGGCATCTAAGTAGGTAGTGCCACCCACACTTGGATTGAAAGCATCGACCATTCAATTTCCCAGGAGAACTAAAGTTGGCTTTTGAAGACTTCACCAAGCTACCCCACTTGTCGGTCTGTATTCAATCTAACTTTGGACTTTCCAATAATTATCTTATCACCCAACACTTGGGTACAGCCTTCTTAGGCCAAACTAGCCTTTCCTAGCTTTCTTGGCCAAATTGGCTCCACTGGGGTCCAACCCCCACACTCTCCCTACTACACTTTTGGAACCCTTTGCAACCACTCTTTGGCGGACGATCGCTTTGGGCTTTCACCCAATAGTCTGTATTAGTATTCAGACTCGGACTCCAACTTCGACTTAGACTCGGACTCAGTCTTGGTCTTGGTCTCGGATTCGAACTCGGACTCGGTCTCGATCTTGGTCTCAGTTTCGGTTTCGGTCTCGGTCTCGATTCCATCTCAAACTCCATCTCAAACTCATTATAAGGATTCATCAATAGAAATATATCACTAAGAATATAGAAATCTTTTCTTTTTCTTTATCCTCAATTTGGATGGCCTCCTTAATTTCTAGAAATATAAAAACAAAAAGAAGCTTAGAAAGAGAGATTTAAACTTTCATTTTAAAAACATATTTATTTCCTCTATAGTGTGAATAAATTTTGATTTTAAAACCTTATTCTTATAATACAAAGATTTTAGATAACTATATTTTTTCATAATGTCACTCTATAGTGTGCTCTATGCTGTTAGGTTGCCCTTCTTTTATGAAGTTCAAGCCATGGTTCTCTACACCAATAGTGATCTTTTATATGAGTAAGCAAGAAATCGCTATTGTGTTATAATTTTTTATTTTATAAAAAATAGTTATAAAAAATAGAAAAGGCTTGTCATTTATATATTTAAATATATACATATAAAACTATTTATGAAACATTAAAATTGGACATCTATGGTGTATATCTGACTTTTAAATAATAAAATATAAAAAATTGATTTGTTTTAATATTTTCTTCATTTATAAAAAATTAAGTTTAAATAAATGTTTTGTATTAGTTTATATATCAATATTTAATGGGGCCTTAGAAATGTAAACCTATGAATTTATAAATTTTAAGTTTAATAAAATTTAACCAATATTTTAAATGGATTAAATTATGCAATATATAAATATTAGTTGGAAATTGTAAGATTTACTAAAATAATTAATTTCCATATACAATAACTTCATTTAGGAAGGCAATTTTTACTAATATTATTATAGTTTGTTTAAAATTTAAAATAAAAAATTTTTATTTAATAAATTTAAATTTGTTCATAAAATTTTACCTAATTTTTTAGTACATCAGTTTTTAATTTAATTATGAAATATACTAAGTAGCAATAAACTTTATGTTATTGAAACTACTTTCTTAACTTAAATGTAAAAAAGTAAAATAAAATAATCTTCTAAAACTTTTATTATCTAATTTGGTTTGTGTTGTTAAAAAATTATTTAAACTTGTTTTCATATTATTTTTTTAATATGAAAACCTTATTTTCTTACCTTTACCTTTTTTTTTTCTTAGCGAGTCAAGTTCGACTCCCTCTCGCGGTCGACCACAAGATAAGCTGGAATTTGTAAGCCGTCGGATCGCTATCCCGCTCTGGTCTTGACGGTCAGGATCTCTCGAGCCAGGATACTCCAATCAAATCCCCTGTTTGTAGAGAAAGAGCGCACGCCCAGGAGGAGCATAGCTATGGCGTCGGCTCTTGCTGCCTCGTCCTTCACGGGCTGTGGCGTCCGCGATCTCGTGGGCTATGCCGCTGCCTCGTCGACATCACAGGTCGCGTCACGGAGCAGCGGCATTGTAGCGCGATTTGGACTCGGGAAGAAGAAGGGTACCAAGAAGGTGACCAAGAAATCCTCCTCGTCGGGCGATGCAAATCGCCCGCTGTGGTTTCCGGGGGCGAAATGCCCAGACTACCTCGACGGATCGCTGGTGGGCGACTATGGATTCGATCCACTTGGACTTGGTAAGCCCCCAACCTATCTCCAATTCGATGTGGATTCGCTGGATTCGAGCCTCGCCAAGAACATGCCTGGCGAGCTCCTGGGCGAGCGTGTCGAGGATCTGTCGACAATCCGGGCCACTCCCCTCCAGCCTTACACGGAGATCTTTGGACTCCAGAGGTTCCGCGAGTGCGAGCTCATCCATGGCCGCTGGGCAATGCTTGCGACCCTTGGCGCGATCGCGGTGGAGACTTTCACTGGCGTTACTTGGCAAGATGCTGGCAAGGTAAGCTCCGAGTCTCTATCCTCTTTCGCCATTGGATGATCATCTAATTGCTCCTGGACGGATGAAATGCAGGTGGAATTGGACCAAGGGCCCAGCTACTTTGGATTCTCTCTGCCATTCACCATCACCGCGCTGGTGTGGATCGAAGTCCTGGTGATTGGATTCATTGAATTCCAAAGAAACACGGAGCTCGATCCAGAGAAGCGGCTGTATCCTGGCGGGAGCTACTTTGATCCGCTTGGGCTGGCGGCGGATCCCGAGAGGAAGGAGGTGCTAAAGCTGGCGGAGATCAAGCACGCGAGGCTGGCGATGGTGGCGGCGTTTGGATTCGCTGTGCAAGCGGCAGCCACGGGCAAGGGGCCACTCGACAATTGGGTCACTCACTTGAGCGATCCCCTTCACACCACCATCATCGACACCTTCTCCAAGTAGAAATCTTTCAATAAAGAGTGAGAAAGAAGACTGGTATAGCTCGCTCTTCCTTTGGCTAATCGAATCGACCAAGACCAATCAATCGAAAGGAAGATAAAAGAACGTTTGTGAAAATGTTAACAATTATTAAACTTAATGCTTATATCATTAAATGCTAAGAAGATTTGAAATTTGATTTGTCAGGAAGAGCTTAGTAATTAGATCGTGCCCGGCAGCGTCCCGGTGATCCAGCTTCATGAGAGATTGGAATGCATCGCGGGCGATTTCTCGGTTCCTCCACTTCCCACACGCACTCAGCAGTGTTCTCCACGTCACTGCATTGGGCTCGAATGGCATCGACTGGATCATCGCCACGGCCTCACTGATGCGATTGGAGCGGCCCAGGAGATCGATCACGCAGTGGTAGTGCTCAATCCCAACCTGAATTCCACTACCAGCCGAGATCATTGCCTCGAAAATTTTCTTCCCTTGATCAACCAGCCCCGTATGGTTGCATAGCGTGAGAATCGAAAGGAGGGTCACACTATCCGGCGCCAATCCCTCAGAGCCCATCTGGAAGAAGAGCTCAAACGCGCGAATCACGTCGCCGTGGCGGGCATAGCCACCAATGAGTGCGTTCCACGTCACTGGATTTCTTTTGCACGAGTCAAAGATTCTCCTGGCATCTTTCAAGTCGCCGGCCTTTGCATAGCAGTCAACCAGGGCCGTCTCGAGCGCGTCGTCCCATTGACCACATTGACCGTGGATCATTCCTTGCCGGCAAGCTTCGCCATGGATCGATCGCAAAGGGCTTCTGGCAATGCTGCCACAAGCCTTGATCGCCGCGAGAAATATTGATTCGCGGAAGGTCTCTCCCCCTTGATCCCCAAGTTCTTGGAGCTTCCAAAAGAGTTCCACTGCGATCTCTCCCTCGCCACTCTCAGCGTATCCCAGCAAGAGCGAGGTCCACAGTACAGCAGCGTCGTCGATGGAGCTTCCATGGATTGGAATTCGATCGAAGACACTCCGTGCATCGATCATACTCCCACATTTGGAGTACATGTCGATCAAGCTGCTAGCTAGAAGCGAATCTATAAGTTCCACCCCTCCGCCACTCCTGCGGACGATCAGGGAGTGAACTGCGAGTCCTCGCTTGAGGCTACCGATCTTGACGTTCTTGGCTGAGATTTCCTGGCCGGCTTCTTTCACAGCAAGGCTCGAGCAGGCTCTTACGGCAGCAGCGAATGTGAGTCGATCCGGCGAGCACGTCATAAGCTCGAGTAGATCGAGAGCGCATTTTTCTTCGTGGTTTTGAGCGTAGGCCATAAGTAGCGCGTTCCAGGAGACGACATCGTGGCTGTGCATTCGATCGAAGATCCGGCGAGCATCGATCAAGCTCCCACAGCTCGAGTACATGTCGATCAGTGTGCTAGCCAGGAAGAGATTGGAGCAGCAGTCCAAGCCGAAGTTGAGTGCTTTAGCATGCAAAGCCATGCCAGTTTCCAAAAACTTACAAGAGCTCCGTCCTTCCTCATGAGACTCTCGTGCTACTCGAGCACAAGCCTTGAAACCAACCACAAAAGTTCGATCGTCAACCATGGATGATCTCTCTTGAGTGATTTTTGAGAAGAGATCCAGAGCGACTTGACTTTGAGAGCCCATGATGTAACCCAGAAGCAATATGTTCCATGGATAAATCCCATGTGCTGGCATTTTTTCGAAAGCTCTCTTAGCATCCACTATAGAGCAAGAACTCTCGCGAGTAAGTGCATTGAGAAATGCAGTCCAAGTGACAAAATCTCGCTGAGGCATCTCGTCAAAAAGCTTTTGTACCTGTTGTATACAATGCCCGGGCGCGGCAACTGCATTCATTATTGACCCCCACGAAACGACACTCCTTTCCGGAATTTTCTTGAAGACAAGCAGAGCGGTTTCAACGGTTCCATATTTTGCGCACGCAGTTAGAAGTTTGTTCCACGAGGATACGTCTTTCTGTCCCATTCTAGTGAACAAGTTCCAAACATCACACAAACACCCGTTCTGGGCATAGGCTTTGAGCATTATGTTCCACGAGAAGAGGTCGGGGTTTATGATCCCGTGGAAAACTTGGGCTGCATTTTGGATGCTCCCACAGTTTCCATACATTTCTATGAGCTTGTTAGCTAGGAACCTACTGCATTGATGCTCTGTTTGCAGAATTTGTATGTGAATTCTTTTGCCAGTTTTTAGAGAGTGGCATTGTTTGAGAGATTGAGCAAAATCACTTATAGATGGCATTAGTGAGCTGATATGAAAGAATAATGAGGAGTCACCATCATAAACAACCTTCGTTAAAGTTTGGAGAGAAAAGATCAATCCTAGTAAGGCACAAACAAGAGTGTAAATATAATCATAAAAAAAAAATGTTTTAATTTTTTTTATTTATGAATGTTCAAAAAAAGTTACCATATTTATCATTTTCTTATAAATAATATATACTTGAGGTATCAAGCAAAAAAAGTAATTATCTGCACTTCATGGATCAAAAAGTATAGCTATAAAATTCAAAAAAACTGATTATATACTTAAAGTGTTCATTTAGTGATGGAGATTAACTCTCAATTATATAAAACTCTAAATGTATAGCCTTAATGTTCATTTATATATTTAAAGTATTAAATATTTTCATGTGAGTGCATGGAATATGGAAAGGGAATACAGAAATGTGCATATCAATTAACCCAAAAACCCTAGCTTATATACAGGAGCGAATGGTCCGGATTGAAACCAATCCGACGGCTACCAAAATCCACTACGCTAATATTAGTATACGGCATCGTAGCCGTACACTTGGCCCTCACATCATCCCCTCCTCTCGGAATAATGGAAGGCCATCAGGGTTCTCTTGTAGATAGGCTGGGATCTGGAGGAACGTCAGGAGGAGGCATCGGTGGATCTGTAGATGGTATTAACTGCTCCTGATCCCTCTGTATGAAGCGTTTTAACCGCTGCACATGCACAATCTCCGGAGGATCAGCCTGCTGAACGTCATGCCGAACCTCATAAACTTGTGGTCCAACTTGCCGCAACACCCGATACGGTCCTTTCCACTTCGCAAGGAGCCCCTTAGATAAACCACGTACCGTAAGATGGGGAAAATGGACTAACACCAAATCATCCACTTTGTACTCCGCTGGTGGACGATGATGGGAATTGTAGCGTCGTTGTTGTCCCACTTGTACGCGGCCTAAGTGTTCAGCAGACTCTGCTCGGACAAGTGGAAGAATGCTTGTCAAATATTGATCCCATGACCTAGCATCAGGAGCTCGTGGCAATCGCGAAGGTAAACCTAGCTCTGTTGGTAATATTGGATCATGACCATATAGAAGTTTATATGGTGAAGCACCAACAGAACTCTGCACCCCTGTGACATAAGCATACCGAAGAGACGGCAAATAACCATCCCAATCCCAATGTTGATAGTTCACATACTTCGCAATCATCCCTTTGAATGTCCGAACGAGCCGTTCCACCAGACCGTCTGATTGTGGATGATAAGCACTCGTAAAAGTGTGGCGTATCCCCAACCGAGATGTCAAAACATGAAATACCTCAGCCATAAATGCAGGACCATTATCCGAAAGAATCCGTTCTGGACAAGAATGCTGGAACACCACTCGATTGAGGAGGAAGTATCCAACAGCAGTTGCAGAGGCACTAACAAGAGCACCAACTTCCACCCAACGAGTCAAGTAGTCAGAAGCAATAATAACATACTCATTGCCAGCAGTCGATCGTGGAAAAGGTCCCATAAGATCAAACGCCACCAACTCAAACGGACAAGAAACTGCAATTGACTCCAACCGTCCTTCTGCAGCACAAGGGGGAGTATTACGAGCTTGGCACCAAACGCAGCTACGCACATACTGGATAATATCACGTCGCATCTCTGGCCAATAGAAAGATCTGCGCAGCTTCTCGTTGACACGACGGTGTCCCATATGCCCACCTAGAATAGGAGAATCATGGTAGGCATGGAGAAACCGCGGAATAAACACCGAAGGCACCACCAGCCGTAAATGAGCATCAGGATCCGTCCCCACAAAATAAAGAAGGCCATCTTCAAGGCGATATTGAGAATGTAAATGCCGAAAAGGCAAGTCATCAGCAAGTGATGCAGGATTCTCAAACCCATCTCGAAGCCTTCGAATCCACGGCTCAATCTTTTGAGCCTCGCGAACCTCATCCAGAGAAGGTAGATCTTGCTCTACGCCCTGTGGACACTGAACGTCAAGGACAGCAACCGCCGACGGCACAGAATCCTCATCTAGAAAATCCACAGATGCTGGAACAACAGGTTCTTCAGAAACATGAGAAGTGAGTGGAGAAGGAAGAGGAGCTCGAGAAAGGGCATCAGCATCAGCCATAGAACTCCCTGGGCGATGAACAACATTGAAATCATATATCTGAAGCTTCAAAGCCCATCGAGCCGTACGACCAACCAGGTTCTTCCGCTTCAATAATGAAGTAACAGCAGCATGGTCACCTTCAAGTAACGTCCGAGAACCATGTAGATAAGCATGAAGTTTCTCGAAACCCCAGACTGCTGCTAAACACTCCTTCTCTGTCGTGGAGTAGTTCATGTCCGCTGGTTGTAATGTACGGCTTATGTATGCAATGGGATGGCACTGACCAGGCACACTCGAGCTCTCTTGCATCAACACAGCTCCAAGACCAATGTCAGAACCATCCACGCGCAAAATAAAAGGTCGAGTGTAGTCAGGATATGCCAAAACCGGAGGAGTCGTCAATAGCTCTTTGAGATTCACGAACGCCCGCTCACAATCAGGAGACCAGATGAAAGATGACGTTGATGACTTCAGCAACGCTCGCAATGGTAAAGTGCGATCGGAAAGATGATCCACAAAACGACCGAGATACTGCACCTTACCCAAAAAGCACTGCACATCATTCACACACTTCGGAGTAGGGAACTTTAGAACAGCCACAAGTTTGTCAGGATCAACTTGCAAACCCTCACGAGAAATACGGTACCCAAGATAAGTTGTGTCCTTGGACCCAAACACGCACTTCGACCGCTTCAGCTTTAAACCAACGTCGCGTAGCCGATCCAACACTTTACAAACATCACAAACATGCTCCTCCCACGTCCCCTCCGAGTGGATCAAGACATCATCAATGAAGTCAGCCGTCACCTCCGGCATATCGCAAAGAACCTCGCCCATCATCCGCTGAAAAGTTGCTGGAGCATTGTTCAAACCAAACGGCATCACCAAAAACTCGTACAAACCAAATGGTGTACGAAAAGCAGTCTTAGGAATATCGTCTTCAGCCATCGGTACTTCCCAATACCCAGAAGCAAGATCTAGATTGGTGAACCAACAACTTCGCCCCAGACGATCCAAGAGATCAGCAGTGTGAGGAAGAGGGTACACGTCCGGGATCGTCACTTCATTTAACGGACGATAGTCAATACAGAAACGAATACTCCCATCAGGCTTCGTCACAAGATGAGGTTTACATGCCCAAGGACTCTGCGACTTCCGAATAACACTCTTATCCAACATCTCCTTGACGTTTGCACGTAAAATCTTAATCTCCTTGGGTGACTGACGACGAACAGGAACCTTGATTGGACGAGCATCCCCAGTTGGAATGGGATGACGTGTGGCAATCTTGGCCCCAGACGATAGGTCAAATTCAAAGAGATCAGAATACTCCTTCATGAGCTGGTCAACAGCTGCAACACAAAGATCATCGGAGGGATCGGATAAGGGAAGAGCAGAACAAGATGGAAACACAAGAGGAAATAATGGGGGAACAAAAGTAATGGAAGCAGAGGTAGAAGTAGAGGGACGAAGAGGTACGGAAGTGAGAGGAATGGATGAAACATAAGGAAGTATGAGACAAGGGGGAAAAGCCTCAAAGTCACACTTGGTATGATTGTGCTGCAACCAATCCATACCAAGAATGAGGTCAAAAGCTTGACTCGGCACCACCCGCAACGACTGCAACTCAAGCTCGAGATCGCCCACACGCACAACCAGGTCCGCCTCATCTCGTGCACATGCATGTGTACGGCCGTTGCCATAAAGAATGAAAACTGGATCCGCCGCACGACGCAAGTGTAGACGACAACGTGTGGCAATAGGTCGAGCAATAGAAGATAAACTCGAACCTATATCAACCAACACGGAGAGAAGAATAGGAGACCTCTTGTTATAAAAACGAGTTTGGAAAGTAAACACTGGATGAACCGGTGCCGAGTGAACCCCTTGATGATACTCCCGAAAGAAAGATGGAGGGGTCACTAACTTATTCGCGCAAGGTCCCTCCATTACTCGCGCGACTCCTCGTTTCCCGAATGCACCTCAGTATCCAAACCTTCCACCGCAGCAGCACCAACGGGACGTTGCTGACGCCAAGGTCTCCACCCAGGAAATGGAGGTCGCCAATCCGGAAAGCGCCGACAACGCCGTTAAGTATGACCAACTTCATCACACGCCCAGCAACGAATGTCACGGCCACGACCACGTCCTCGCCCTTGTCCTTGGACTCGAGTAGCAGCAGCATCAACCTCCATGGGAACAGGACCATCACTCATAGGAAGTGGAACTGAAGGACGTGTAGCAAGAAGTGGAAGAGGCGACGTCTCATAACGTTGTGCCAAGCGAAGAGCATCGTCAAGAGTGGCAGGAGCAAGTGCATGCACAAGTCCGACAAGATCTTGACGAAGTGCTGGCCACAACATTCCTAGCTTGATCCGCTCCGACATATTTGGCTCCGCACGAAGCAAAAGACTTCGGAAAGAAACGCCAAATTGCATCACCGACTCAGATGGCCCTTGGCGAAGACGATGCAATTGTTGGAAGGCATCATTACAATCGTCAGCGTGTCCGAAGGCGCGTTTGAAGACATCCGAAAGAACACTCCAATTGCCACGAGTAGCTGCGCTCAATCCATTGTACCACTGCAATGCCGTCCCTTGAAGACATGTGGGGAACTCACGCAAACATCGAGCATCATCCCAAGAATGATATGTGGCAATCACCGTGAAGTGATCGAACCAATGGTACACATCATCCCCAGGATTCACACGAAAGAACTCCGGCCGAACGCGAGGATTGGCACCAAAAGCAGGAGGAGTTGTACCATGTGCCGTGAACACCGCCATCAACTGAGTTTGGTTGTTCAATTGCAGACGCATAGCATCAAGCAATTGAACCAATTGCTGCTCTAGAGTCAAAGGAGGAGATTGCGGATCGGCCATGAAAATGAATGAGAAAGAAAGAGCAAAAGAAGAGAAATGACAAAAAGTTGGAAAGAAATGGTAGATCTAGACAATGCAAAAAGCTAGATCTAAACCAAAATCCTGAAAGGAAAGAACAAAAGAAAGGAAATGGAAAAAACTAGATCTAGACAATGCAAAAGCTAGATCTAAACCGAAATCCTAAATCCAAGCACTCCCCAGGAACAATCAAAGGTGCCCCTCACCTCCACCAATGTGAGTGCATGGAATATGGAAAGGGAATACAGAAATGTGCATATCAATTAACCCAAAAACCCTAGCTTATATACAGGAGCGAGTGGTCCGGATTGAAACCAATCCGACGGCTACCAAAATCCACTACGCTAATATTAGTATATGGCATCGTAGCCGTACACTTGGCCCTCACAATGTCCTTTTTTCTCAAAACATTTCCAACAAAAAATGTATATTTTTAAAAATTTAAGTTATAAATATAATTGAAAAACTATTATAAAGATGGGAAGTTTATGTTACTTTTATTGTCCTTTCATATATATCTAATTTTTGGCATTATAACCTTATTCTCTTCAATATAAAACCCTCAATTTTACTCTAAATTTTTTTATTTGTTTTTATAAATGATGTAAAATTTTTAAACTTAAAATTATTCAACTCTTTAAATAATCACAAATTTTATTACCTAAAATACTAATGTGTCCACCTCCCATATAATATTAAATAATTAAATTATATTATCTAAAATTTTATAAATGCAAAAAAATTCTAATCATTTTTATAAAATAGTATTAAATTAAAATTTATTTATTAATAATTATTGTTATAGATTTTTATTGACTTAGATATAGTAAATAGGTAAAATAAATAACATTATGTCTTCCCTGACTATTAAACAAACATTGATATATTATTTGAGGATTTTACTCATTTGTTTTTAATGGTCATGTAAGTAAATCTTTTTTTTGCATGTTTAAAGGCATCATTATAGCCAAGTAAATTAAACTAAGAAATAAGTTTTTAATACTATAATCGATTATAAACCATTTCAAATAACAAGTAAAACTTATTTTTAATGTTTAAAAGAATATTTAATAATGAAAGCATTTATTTTTATGATTTTAAGAAGACAATTTTAAATTTTGTATTTCAAAAAAAAAAAGATTTAAAGTGTTGTTTTTTTAAAGTACTAAGTTCAAAATATAGTCTAAAAGTATTTTAAAAAATTAAACTATGTTTTAGGAATATTCTTAAAGAGTAAAATATTTTGATTAGTGAAAATAGTTTTTTATTTTTTTGAATTGCTTTGATATTCATGTAAATTCTACCATCTAACAAATTTAGATTAATTTTTCGTATAGATTTTAATTTTTTTTACTTTCTTAAATAAGAGTTAATACAAATCTTGAACATTCTTATATACAAATTCAATTTTATCTTGGTTTTATAATTTATATTTTTTGTTTTGATAGTTTTGTTGACCTTTTATAGGATCAAATATAAAACACTATGGATTCAATTCTAAATTTCTAAATAATGTACTTTTAGAGCTTTAAATTAACAAAAGAGGCACCATCTCTACTTTTTATAATTCTTTTGAATTATAATATATATTTCTCCCTTTTCACTTTCAAAATGAATTTTATAATTTGAAAAATTGCACCAAAAATGGTCCTATGAGCCTAATCCCACATTAAAGCCTCCTCCCTCTCGGCACTTTATTTCAAACATTAAGAGTTACCCTCAAGGGGAAAAGGAACTTATATTCCCTGTAACATTGTTGATTATCTCATGAGAGACAACACAATGGCAGTAAACGTCTCCCATATCTGGCTGCTGGATTTAATGGACAAATCTGATCATAGCCCCCTGGCCTTTCGACTACAAACTACAGAGGCTTACCTTAGTACATGACTGCTGAGGACAGCCGCAAGGGACGAGGCGGACGACACTGATGCCAACGAGATTGGACGAAATGGTTATGGCAATCGTCATAGCTGGCAATTATCACATATACATATTTCATCGGACTTTTGTAAATAAAATGAATTAAACAATATATAAATGAAGGCAGCAAATTTATTCCAATATACAGCCAAACGAAATGAATGAATGAATGAATTGTCTCTAAAAATTCCTACAAAAGAATTCTACACAAAACAATCAACCGGTAGATCCAGTCGTCCAGATCAAGGAATCCCAAAGAGAACCAGCACTCCAGCGAGCATCAGCCACACAAGATGGACGAGAAGTAAAGCCCGCCCGGCCATGGCGCCCTTTCCCAAACCTCCTCCATTTCCAGGGCTACAGTAGCCGGTGTGCGAGATCTCCACGCCGTCGCAAGCGGCATCGCGAGAGCCACACCAATACGTCACGCCGTTCGCCCCACACACTGGATCCGCACGCAGGCAGCTCACCGGGCACTCGATCTTGGCGGCATCTCCCCCGTCTAGAACCCTAGAACCTGAATCGATGATCGACAAGCGCTGGCCGTCCTGATCGCCGGAGACGAGCGCCAGAAATGCAAGGAGCTGGAGCGCCCACAAGAGCGAATTCTTCTTCCTTCCCATCGATTCATACCCTAAAACGCGTTCTTTCTTTCGCAACGTTTATTTCTAAGGACGGAGGTTATTAACAATGAGAGAATCAACTTGTACTTAAATCAAAAGAAAAACATCAAAAATTCATTTTAAAGGCCAAAAAGGAAGAAAAAAAATCTCGCTCACGCTCAAGAGAGCTTTGCATTCCTCAACACGTCCATAGCTTCCGCAACCTTGGCCTTGAGTGCTTCAGGCGATTCAATCAAGTGTAACACCTCGGTTTGATCCATCTCCAAAAGCATGCCCGTCACTTTCCCCGCGCACTCGTGCTCCAAGTTATCCACCAGCGGATACAGCTGCTCTCCAAGCATCTGTTCCAGTGCTCACATGAGTATTGTCCCAAGTATCAAAACGATAAAACTTACCACTCGTTGATCGGTTGGTGATGCCGACGCCAAAGCAGAGGCAAGAACATTGATCGGAGGAAGAATTCCAGTCTCGGAGGCTTCTAGCGGCACGGGAAGCATCCCACCCGCATCAGACGAATTCCTAGAGGTCGGAGTGTAACGGAAGTTGCGTCCTCGCTATATTCCATCACCAAAAACCGAAGTTAGTTCTTCCTCTCTTACACAGACACAACATACCTGTTGAGACATCAACTGCGGTGGCTGCTGCTGCTGCTGCTGCTGCTGCTGCTGCTGCTGCTGCTGCTGCTGTTGCTGCTGCGGAGCACCGCCCCTGCGAGCGTTCGGCCGCTGCTGTGGTTGAGGTTGGCGTTGGACAATCGGCAGAGAGTAGAAAGGTAATTGAGGTCCACCGGGCCTCATTCCAGACATCATCTGCTGCTGATACGCGAATCCAGCCGGCTAGAAAAGAAATGGATGTCGTTAGAAAAACCAACGCTTTGATGCAGAGACTCACACTCACTTGAGGTGGAAAAGCTGGCGGATGCTGGCCGTAAAAAACTGGCTGCCCCATCCCTGCTCCAGGGTGAAACATGGGAACACTCGAAGCAACAGCTGGTCCTAGCCCGACCGGAACCCGGAATGGAGCAAACTGCGCTTGAGCAGCCTGTCAAACATTGAATTGATCGTTCGTTAAGAGACCAAGCACGAAGGTTTCTACTCACGTTGAATCGCCGCCTTTCATCGCGCTTTTGGGCCAGCGCGACATAAATCGGCTTATTTGCAACCATCCTACCGTTCATCTCAGTCATCTGTTTTGCCATAAATTAGAAACGACACCGCGTAGAAGTTTGGATGAAAGAGGCGTACCGCTCGGTTGGCTTCTTCTGTCGTGGAGAAGGCCACAAAGCCAGATCCTTTGCTGTGTCCCTGCGGATCCCGCATCACCTACAAGTATTCCAGAAGTCCAAATATATAAGCGTGGCTTGAACACTGGCATAAGAAAGAGAAAGAGATAAACAACTAACCTTGCAGGAGATTATAGTTCCAAACCCGTGGAACAGCTCTCGGAGCTTGTCATCGTCAATGGTGTCATCCAGATTTTTCAAGTAGAGGTTGACGCCTTGATACTTGTCACTCCGCTCCTTCCTCTCCTGGTCGTACCTGGCCCTCAACTCGGCCTCCCTTTCGGACTTTTTCTGAGCCCTTCCCACGTACCACTCCTTGTCATCCATCTTCTTCCCGTTCAACTCTTCTACAGCCAGAGCAGCGTCGTCAGCATTCTCAAAGTTGACAAAGCCAAAGCACTTGGACTTCCCTTCCGGATCCCGCATCACTACCGCGCTGCTAATCGGCCCAAACTCTCCGAAAACCCGCTTCAAATCGTCGTCGGTGGTCGCGTCGCCCAGATTCTTTACATACACATTATTGAACTTTGTGACCCCCCCTGTCAAGTCCCTTTCCTGCCGTCGGACAAAAGGCCCCACAAACACTTGCTTTTCAATCAAAAGCATCCCATTCACTTGTTTAATAGCACTTTGTGCCGCGTCTTCCTGTTCAAACTGGACAAAGCCATAGCCCCTTGACTGACCACTGCTGTCCACGGCCACCTTGCACGAGAGGATGTTCCCAAACTGCGCGAAAGTATCATACAGTGCCTTGTTGTCGATGCTCTTGTCGAGGTTCTGCAAGGCAGAAAAGATCAATGCAGACGCGGAGAACCAAAATAAGCTTGCGTACCTTGATGAAAATGTTTGCCATTCCACTCTTTCGAATGCTGGGGTCCCGATGAGAAAACATGATACGTATCGGCTTCCCATTGACGAGAGAAAAGTTTAGCATCTCCAGCGCTCGGCTGGCTGCAAAGACACCCAAGTAAGAGATACGAGAAAGGAAAACTGAAGCAAAACTTACCATCCTGACCAGTGTTGTAATTGACATAAGCATATCCGAGGGAGCGCTTGGAGATAAGATCCCGACACACCCGAATGGACAGCACTGGAGCAACCTGGTTGAAGACATCGTAGAGCTGGCCCTCAGTCACATTCGGATCCAAATCGCCCACATAGAGTGAAGTCGAGAAGAACTGGTTTGGAGCCGCCGGAGAGACCGGGACAGAGACCGGGACTGGGACTGGCACTGCTCCAGCGCTGCCGGGAGAAGGCTGGACTTGAATCTGAGCCATGGTGTGTTTTTTTTTTCTATTTTTTCCCTCCCCTTTATGATTTTTTTGGTCTTTTTTTCTGCAAAAGAGCACACAGAACTTGAGCTGCTGGAGCGCGATCGACCGCTTACCTGAGCGCCGGCGTGGGAGGAGCGGCCGATCGCAGGGATCAAAACGGCGCCAGCTCCCAGGCGATCAACCCTAAGGGCTACCTTTGTGTTGGAAAACCCTAAACGAAGGCAGAGCGCCGCGTTGCCCTTTGGCGGCGCGGGCAAACTATAACCAGCATTAAAATTTACTAAAATTTTTTAACCCTAAGACAAGAGACACGACGTTCCGGCCGACGGAAACTTTGGCTAAGAGAGATCGAACTCTCGATCATCATTATTAGGGCTACTTTTCAAACATTCCCGCCAAGCAGGCGACACGTGGTGGACATCCGACGGTGTTGCTCACGGGCACTCCCGGCCGTTGATAACCGGGGATTGTGTGAGCTACTTGGCGGGATCGCGACCGCGAGTTTGAAGCACTCATGGAAAAAGAGCGGGCTACCAGGTTTATACATGGGCGAGAGGGAACAAGTTTTCTAGGGTTGGCGCCTCTAGGCTTGATCTATCGGGGGATCCGGTGGCATGGCAGAGAATGCGCAGCGGATGCTCACTCGTGCCGCTGCTAGGAAGTCGCAAGCTGAATCCAAGCGCGCCGCCGTCTCCTCCGATGCCGTTCCTCCAGCGAAGAAGCGTCGGCCGCTAGGGATCTTGCCAAACAGCGCTCCAGGCGTCTCTGCGAAATCCCGGAGCGCGGTTGCCGGGAAGAAAAAAGCCGCCTCAAATGCTCCGGAGGAAGGTATGTCTTTTGGGCTTGCTTGTACCGACCCTTTGCTTAGATCGATGGCTCATGGAAAAGTTTTTCTCCACAGTCGTGCTCAAGGGCGTGAAAGACATCGACGATTCACATGACAATCCTCAAATGTGTAGCGTGTATGCTCCGGATATCTTCGACTACATTCGCAGGAGTGAGGTCAGTGTGCCATTCATCTCTCGGAACTTTTCCTTTCGGTTCTTACGTTCTATACAGGTCAGACAGAAATATAATCCAGACTACATGCAAGTGATCCAGACTGACATCAATGCTAATATGCGAGCTATCCTTGTAGACTGGCTAGTTGAGGTGAGAAGTTCTTTTCTTTCCGCGAGGTAACATAGTCTATGATTGTACAGGTAGCGGAGGAATACAAACTCGTCCCAGATACGCTCTATCTCACAGTTTCTTACGTCGATCAATACCTGTCGGCAAATCATGTCACCCGTCAAACGCTGCAATTGCTTGGAGTTTCCTGTATGCTAATAGCCTCGTAAGTTCGTCGCAACGCGATGTGAAAGCTTATTCTCTAATGGCCTTTCCAGCAAGTACGAGGAGATCTGTGCACCGCAAGTAGAAGACTTTTGCTACATCACAGACAATACTTACACGAGGGAGGAAGTCTTAGACATGGAAAGGAAAGTCTTGCGGCATCTGCGTTTTGATCTCGCTGTCCCTACGACAAAAACTTTTTTAAGGTGCGCGCGATATTTGCAAGCGTTTGATGAGGTTTATATTTGTCTTGTTTTTCAGGAGATTTATCAGAGCTGCTCAAAGTTCTTACCAGGTCGGGATCTCTAGTCTATAATCGCTGTTCGAGTTCCTCTGACGGAGATTTGTCCATGTTTCAGGTCCCGTCACTGCAACTGGAATTCTTGGGGAACTACCTGGCAGAGCTTACGCTGTTGGAATATAACTTTCTGAAATTTTCTTCTTCACTTGTAGCGGCGTCAATTGTTTTTCTGGCCAGGATCACGATAGACTCTTCTGCAAGGCCTTGGGTATGCAATCCTGTATCGCTGTATGCATCACTGACTTGTTTCTGTTGTTCAGAGCACTACATTGCAGCATTACAGTGGATACCGACCGTCACAACTTGAGGCGTGCGTTCTGGCAATTCACGGCCTCCAAACAAAGAGTAGTACACTACCTGGCGTTCGGGAAAAGTACAAGCAGCACAAGGTATAATCGATTCTGTGCAGTGCAATTCAATCGCTTGACATTCCTGAACGCTTGCAGTTCAAGTGCGTGGCTACTCTACAGCCGCCTCCCGTGCTGTTCTTCCAATACTTCGACGATAGCACGCTAGAGAGCTAGTTATATGTGACCGGACTGTCACTACTTCGTCGACTGTGGGCTTAGAAGGCGAGCCGAGCGGCATATTTAACTTCTCCTTGCGAGCTGGAGAAACTTTCTGCCAGTCTCCGCTGAAACTAATCATCGCGTTGCGCGATAAGTGCTGTAAATTCGTTTTTTGGAAGGCTGCTCCAGCGAGCCTCTGGAATCAACTCTCATATAGCTATGTTTTTTTCCAGCAACTTTTGATAGATGCTTGAGCTTTCTGGGCTCACTCTTAAGCAGCTATCCCTTTATTGGCGAGCCACAGGAAGGACAATACCTGAAGCTTGGGCTCAAGGGAGTGGAGCAAGACCAGCATTTGAGCGGGGCTTTGCTTTCTTCCATGAACTTAGAACTTAGATCAGCTCCAGGTGAGCGCGGCTGAATGGTTGCTACATCTGCAGGAACTAGGAGGCCACAATCATTGCAGGAAATTCCAGGCCCTTTGGCCGGCCACCTCCACACGGGCACAAAGAACGCCTTCAACACCTTGTCATAATCCACTAGGTCTGCAGGCCCTCCACAACGAAGACACCGTGCGGCATTTCTTTCAAGTACCTTTCGGACCTCGGCTGAGACTCCACCCAGGAAGAAGAAGAACATGGCAAAGAGCTAACCAAAACCCCAGTATGTGAGTAAAGTTATGCTTGCTTTTTTGCCTTTTTCATGAGGTGGCAGTGGAGTTTCATGCAAAATTGTGGGCTGTTAGTTCGTGCAGATGTAGTAACATTCTACCTCATTTCATTTTAAGATCATGGAAAAAAATTAAAGTTCCACTCGAATGCTAGTTTTGCTCATCTCCCTTGGAAGCAAAGCTTCAGATATTGTCTTTTTTTGCTCAATAATAGAGTTCATAATATATCCCATCGCAACGAGTGTCCAAGGTCGGCTCAACTTCCATGTCTCTTGGTTGACTGTACGCATCTGCAAGTAAGTTCAAGCGGTGGAATTCCAAGTTTTGTGTAACGTTTTGTTCAAATGGTATTTTTTTCACAACTTCACACAGATGGGACTTGCAAAGTTTCCTCCACTCGAACTGGATCTCCAACACGAACTAACTCGTTCTTCTTCGCCATGGACTCCACGCAAACAGCGTTTTGGCCGAAGAAAACCTGCACTTGTAAACAAAGGTCAGGCAAGTTATGTTAACGTTTCAAAGAACTTACCTTGTTTTTCACAGATTGAACAGCGCATAGCATCTCTCCCTTGCGGAACTCCATGAGTGTCAAGGTCGGCTCGGCTCCCATCTCGGTTGTCTCTTGGTTGATTGTAGGTATCTACAAGTAAGTTCAAACAGTGGGAATCCCAAGTTCTCTAAGCTCAGGCGAACCTTGCATCTGGAACAAAGCTTTACTCCGTGAAAGGTCAGGTCTTTGATCTTAAACGTCCGCCAGGTATCCTCTGCGAAGGGTTCGCAGCCCTCGACGATTATACTGCACAGAGGTAAATGCAAACAAAACCAGACAGCAAAATCTTCTTACTTTGGCCTGAACCGATTCATAGGAAGTTGATTCCGCAAGCGCTTGTTCACAGCGTCAAGAGAAGCCTGCGGAAGATCAAAGAGAGAACTTTGGGCTAGAAACGAACCTGGGAAGCAACGAGAAATGGAAAACCATCGGTGAAGGAGGCTTTGTATCCGTCAGCATACTCGGTATCAGTCGGTCGCTCCATCGCAGCTATCACCACGCACTTGTCTGCGTTTAAATCTCTGTCAAACATTTCTTACCAGGATCTAGACGCACAAGGTGGCAAGTTCTTCCAAGATAAGCGGAGAACCACTTGTGTGCTGCTGTTCCCTCGTCCAGTGCTACGCCAGACCACTCCCACACCGAAGCATGGACTTTCTCTTTGCTGCCAAACAAAGGGACTTGAAGCGTGGTCTCCATTCCCGGGGCTTGGAATGCTACGAAGAAGAAAGAGTAAGTTCTTTTTTTCTTGTGCTCCTTCTGCTTACACACTGAAGAATTCGCTGGTAGAGACTGTAGAGGAGCAGTGAAAAGCTCGGGAGGCATAATTGGCTGGATCAAAGCAAGCTTTGGCTCCACTCTTTGGGTGAGCATCCTTCCTCTGTCATTGACAACAAGCCAGTGCCTATCCCATCGAAATCCTGTTCTTCAAGGATTAGTTTTCTTCGTTTTTTCGCAGGCAATGCGAGCTCCAAGAAATTCATTCAATCTTACCAGTCGGGCAGATCGCGGCAGCGTCAATCTCGATCCCTTTGCACGACTTGACTGGGTAGACAAAGAGCGACTTGACGACCATGGCCGAGTCCTCCATAGCCACCGCTAGAGAAGCTTCTATCGAAGGTTCGATCCAAACTCTATTATCTGGTGTCGTGTAAATGGGCGAGACGGCTCTAGGGCTTTGCGGAGGAGACGACAATGGCGGAGGATCAAGCGCAAGCGCGAGCTCGCGAGAGGATGGAGGCGACCAACCAAGCGACGATAGCGGGCGCCAAGGGCGCGCTTCTGTCGACGGCGATCACTGCTCCAATTGTGCTCTTGTCGGCGCGGAAATTCGAGTGGGTGAGGAAGAATATCAAGCCCACTGGGCGGGCGATCCTGGTTTGCTTCCCAGCGGTGGGGACGTTCTTCGTTGTGGCGGATAAATCGATCCTTAAGAGCGCCCGCGATACATCGCTCGCCAGGATCCAGAACAAAACCTAGATAAAAATGAAATTGTTTTTAACCCTTTGGGTTTGGAATGCCACATTTAGGTATGGGTTTTTGGAAAAATTCTTTCTAGCAAAATTTGAGTTTCGCACTTAGACTTTTTTTTTTTTTTTTCTGATGTAGTGCTCACACTTCAGGCACCGGCAGGTCGGGCGGCATGGTTTGCGTTCCTTGTGTGTTGTATTTTCATGTTATGATTTAACAATGGCTTGCTTGTTTGGAATCTTTTTCATCGCTGAAAAATTCTTGTGTGGTTTTAAGCCGGGCGTGATGAACAGCTCTGGTATTCGTATGAGCAGTTTTGTCTGCAGCATTCTCAACGGCGTGGACGCCCACGGTACAGAGCAAACACTCCATCTCGCCTACGACAAGCTCGTAAAAGAACCTTCTCTTATGGCATTGACTGTGTTGACTTTTTATTGACTTTCATTGACTTTATGAACGTGAACTTATCCGATTTTGAGCGGAGATCTCGATTGAACTCAAGGATCCGGGTGGCGCTCCTGCAGCCTGAATATTTCTGGATTATTGACTTTCAATGATACCGTTTCATTAGGGTTTACAACTCAAAAGACTTTGCATTGAATTAGTTTGACCTAAGAGTTTAATATATTTGCCACACGGATCACCTGGAGCTGCCAGGAGCATAGGATGGATATGGCGCTGCGAGGCCTAGGCGATTCCATGGCGGCGCGTCTTGACCTTGGAAATGTAAGTATTTGTAGCTCGGGCTTGTGAATCTGCCTGCTTGGCTCAAGAAATCTCTCTGATCGCATTGCATTGCGTGAAATTTCGGGTCTAGGTGTTACTCCCCGCTCGCTCCTCGCGGAGATGGGGGAGACCGACACTCGATCGGAAGTGTCGAAGTGGCTGGAGTGGGAGGTGTCGAGCACAAGGGCAAAACTCTGGCGTTCCTACACAAGAACAGGATAGAAAATCTCAGCAGGATGGGGCTCAGTATATGTTTCACGCCGAAAGTGGTGGCCAGGTCCGTGAATTTTCTTTTTTTCTTTTTTTGCACGAGAACATCGTGTGATCGTGAATTTCTACTGAAGGTCAGAGTTTCTGTCCAAGAGAACTCGCTAAAATACATGGTGAATGTTGAGGCGAACTTACCCGATATCTTTCCAGGCGAGTCTCCTATTCTTCTTCACTGGGTAACTTTTTGTTTTGTTTTGTTTTGTTTTGTGTTTTTTTTTTTTTTTTTTTTTCACGAACGTCTAGACTCTGGTAACTTGACAGGGCCTCTTCAGGTCTGATTCCACTGACTGGGTGCTTCTTGAGCCCAACGATGCTCCTGCGAGTACAAAATTTCTTGGTGGAAAGTAAGAAAAGTTCTCTCATATCAATTATCTGCGTTAAACATAGATTTTATTTGATTTGTTCGCACAGAAACGAGGCAATGCAAACACCTATGCAGCAGCTCGCATCCTGTGTTCAAACTCTACAGCTCGAGCTTCCTTTAAACATGGCACCTTTTTACGTTAGCTTCGTCCTCTGCAAGCCAGCGTCCAAGGACAGCGAAGACATGTGGATCAAGTAGGCCTTTTCTCCCTGCATCGTGTTCTAACGTTTCCTCAGAAGCAACTCCGGCTCAAACTTTTGCGTCCCTTTGGGACTGCGCACTGGACGCCCCGATCCTCTCGGCGTAACTCTAGAAGCGGATGGTTCCGCTAACTTTGCTCTGTATTCCAAAAATGCTGCAAACGTTACGCTCTGCCTCTATGGCCCGGAAGACATTGAGCCAGCAGTAAGTTCCTGTGCGTATGTTTTCTTCTTGTTAACATTCCTAAGTGTATAGATGGAAATTGATCTCGAGTCTGTCACTCATAGAACTGGAGACGTCTGGCACGTACAACTTCCAAGCATTGAAGGTTTTATCAGCTATGGTTACAGATGTAGAGTGAGTGGCGATCTCGTTTATCAGATCAAGTTACTAACAGGTATTCCAAACAGGGTGATGAAACCTGGGAAAATGGGAATCGTTTCCATAAGCGTCGCATTCTATTAGACCCTTACGCCAAGTTTGTTTCTCCATTCATCCCAGGCCAAGGTACTGAGCTTTTGTTCTTTTTCTCCCTGAAAATATGAAGTGTTATCGTGTAGAGGAACTGCCATCGCCTGCTACTGCTCTAGGCTTACTGCCAACAAATGTGCCGACGTTTGACTGGGAAGAGGAATCATCCCCTTGGTATTAGATTCCAAAACCATTGCTAGTTTCTAATGTATGAGCTTTTCAGTATTCCCCTGGAACAAGTTGTTGCCTACAGACTAGATGTCGCAGGGTTTACAAGTCATTCCTCCTGTGGGCTGGACGAGCGATTGCGTGGTACATTTTTGGGACTGGTTGAAAAGATATCACATTTTCAGTCTCTTGGTAAGAAGGCAGGCTAAGGTTCGTTTTGCTAATTCTGGTTGAACATGAAGGTGTTAATACGGTTATTGTACGTCCAATTTTCTCTTACGATAGATCTCAAGGTCCCTATTATCCTTTCAGGTATGAAATCTCAAACTGAAATAATTTGATTCGACTTTTCAATGCTTTTCATAGCTTTTTCTCTCCAATGGAAGACTATGGTTCTGGTAGTAGTAGTCTGGATGCAAGCATCTCCTTCAAGGAAATGGTGAAAGCGCTACACAAAAATGGCATTGAGGTGACGCTGCTCTTTGTTTTGTTTTCTCTAAAGGTTATTTTATGTAGTTGATCTTGGACGTGGTGTATACACACACTTCTGAGAAAGGAGACGAGGATCCGGAAACTGTATCTTTTCGTGGAATTGATAATCAAACTTACTACATTCTTGACAAACAAAAACGGTATGCAAGTCATTTCATTCAAGGTGTTTATAGTTCCGTGTCGTTAAATGCTTAGGATTTTGCAATCAAAGTTCGGTGCTGCGAACGTTTTCAACTGTAACCATCCTGCGGTACACAAAGTGGTGAGTGTGGATTCCTTTTTGTATTACAGCTTCCTTGTTTTTCAGGTTGTGGATAGTTTACGTTATTGGGTCGAAGAATACCATGTAGACGGATTTTGTTTTGTCAATGCTCGTGATCTCACGAGAGGACCGCATGGAGAGGAGCTCTCTCGGCCACTTCTTCTCGAAGCTATCACTTTTGATCCCGTCCTTGCATCTACGAAACTGATTGCGGATCCGTACTCACCATTGTCTTCTGTTCCCGAGGTAATTCATGTGTAAGTTTGTTTCTCACTCTGTTTCCTCTGTGTTTTATTCTTCCAGCCTCTCAAGTTTCCACACTGGAAACGGTGGTGCGAATGCAACATAAACTTTCAAATGGATATGACTAGTTTCTTTCGAGGTGAACAAGGAAAGTTGAGTGATCTCGCAACCAGAATTTGCGGAAGGTATGATTAATAACTTTTCAGTAAGATTAAGAAAGTGCTTTCTTTCCAGTGCTGATATGTTTGCAGATGAGCGAGGGCCATCTTTTTCTCTAAACCACATAACGAATGCATATGGGTTCTCAAGGCTATCAGATTCAACATCTAACAGGTTAGAAGAAACATGATATGCTTTCAGAGGACTGATAAATTATGTTACAATCAACAGTGAAAATGCGTGTGTGTCTCAGAAAACAAGGTAAGCATTGTTTTCGTTGTGTGTGTTTGAACTAACGTTCTTAGCAGCAAAACGGAGCCAAATGTCGAACTTCAGGTATTTTAGACCCCGAAAATTGATTGTGCCTCATTTCCTACTCCTTTGCAGCTCCACAATCTTCTTGTTACACAATTCTTGTCGCGAGGGACCCCCGTCTTAAATATGGGAGATGAATATGGACTTTTAGACGACGGCAAGGCTATGTAAGACTGTTTGTTTTTAGAGCAGTTCTTTATCTAACACAAAATGTTAGACAATTTGACTGGCAGAAGCTAGCCTCCGCAACGCACACAGTTAATCTTATTTCATCTCTTTCTTTATTGCGAAGTCAACACGAGAGCCTATTACAGGTTTTAACATATGGCACGCGATCTCAATATCCCATCTGTGTTTTTACTTGTGGCAGAAGAACAAGTACGTAAGTTCAGAAATGATCACATGGCACGGAGCAACATATGAGGAAGAACCTCTATGGACTGATCCAAACAGGTACAGTTCGTATATTTCGGAAAACTAACCTTGACAAATTCACTTGCAGTAAATTTCTCGCTGTCACTCTGGAAGACAATGATACTGGTGATCTCTGCATAGCTTTCAATGCAAGAGATGATGTCGTTGAATTGACTCTCACAGAAGAAGCAACATGGTATGCTAAGCTTGATCTTAGAATAAATCCCTCATTGTTTGTGTGTTTTGTTATTGCAGGCTTAGAATCATAGACACCACCTTACCTTACCCAGAAACTATTGTTCTTAATGGAGCAGAACTAAGGTTGCCAGTTTCTGTAGTTACTTTCTCAAAGCATCTCACATTTTGTTTTCTTCAGCTCCGAAGCCGGCACCTCCAACGCCGGTGCCTCCTACAGTGTACAGCCATTCAGTGTTGTGGTGCTACGAGCAGGAAAATGCCAAGAACTAAAAGACCAAACTTGAGTGACTAGAAAGCTATGAATGGGATTTTTGGTTTGAGGCCTTTGCGACTTTAGAATCCTTTTGACAAACCATATGATTCCAATTCACAACATTAAGCCCATACCATATCTGTTTGAATTTACAGTCCACTTGGGCCGAACTTAAGAGCATGCCCACTTGAATCTACTTTTCTCCCTTACACACTCTCACTCATCTTCAATCTTTTGGTAATATTTACCTGCTAGAAGTGAAGGATAGAGGATGTGAGTCTCCGTCAACTTTTTCAGAATGACACTCATACACAGACGAAGAAAAGAAAGAAGACGAGAAGTATCAAACTTTTGCAAGCTTTTAATTTAATCAATAACTTCATAATTATAAAATACGTTGAGATCGCGTATAGTTATTCCATTGCTATCACTCAAATGGAGGCCAGAAGACGTTCAAATCTACGCTGTAAGTCGTGTTGGTCGTCCTTATATCAACAGGAGTACTGCTCGCGAATCCCTGTGCAAAGAGAAAATCACCAGTTCCACCAGAGATTGGAGCAACATCCTTCTTGGTGGGATCAATCTCGGAAGAAAACGTGAGCGTTCCCTTGTATTTCCCTTCGGTGAGCCGGATGGTGAACGCCCAGCAAGTGCTAAGCCCATCCAGCTTACACACACTGCCAGTCCCACGGATTGATCCAATTACCTTGGAGTTAAAGTCCGGGGTCACGGTAACGGGGTCGTCAAACACGATCATCGTGCCGTACGGGCCGCTGACCGGCGTGATCCCGGTCCCAATGTTTGTGAGGCCCAAGATGAGGATGAAATCGGTGACGTTGAGCCGGTCTTGCCAGAAGATTTGGAATTTGTCCGAAGTATATCCCTTGGGAACCTTGCAAGCCACAACACAGAGAGCAATGCTAAGGAGGATTATGAAAGAAATGCTTGAGATCTTTGCCATCTCTTCCTTGTTTTTCTACGAGCTGAGAGATCAAAGCCTGGATTGGATTTCTAGCTTGGGACCTTGGAGATATTAATATGCGGTAGAAATTCCTTTGACAAACATATGGTTCCAATTATCATAGGAATCAAATTATGATTCAAAGGTGACCAGAAACATGGGACTAAAGAACAATTAGCAAGCTTCCATGTGTAGATAAGAAGATGCCAAAAGCATATTTTCGAACGTGATATTTTTACCCTTTTACCCTTGCCTCGCTGGCATCATCTGGATCGTTGGATCCCAGCGCTTTGGACATTAGGGATTGCGTTTAGTCTCTGTGGAGGGGGCGAGAGCTTCAAGCGGTCGGGCGCGCGCTCGCTCGCTCGCTCGCTCGGTCGAGCGGATCGGCTAGTCCTAGCTCGTCAGGTTTCTCTGTTGCCGATCCGGATTCTCGGCTCTGGGGTTTGATATTCTCCTCTTTGATCGCTCCGGCACCCCACGCATTGTACTGTTTCTTCCTTGTCGTCTCCTTCTCTCTCGCGTGCTGGCTTTGGCGAGGCTGCATTTTGATTTCTCCTGTGTGCTCGCCAGGAATCATGGCATCGGCGATGCTTGGGAGCTGCTGCGCGACACTCCCGTGCAAAATTTCCGCCAGGCAGCAGCTCTTCCTCCACGAATTACGCGGCCGACGCAGCTGGAGTCCTCCCAGGCTCGGTCAGTTCTTGAATTTGTCGACGAATCGAAGGTGTGTAGCTCCTTTTTTTCCAAGTAAGGTTCTACTGGATTGTCTTCTTTCAGGATTTACTGTGCGCTATCAAGTGAATCCACGACAACAAAAAAGGTGAATAGCTCGATCTTATCTTCTCGAAGTAAGACTCAAGGCTTAAGCATGCTTTCCAGGAAGTTGAAGAGGAGGAAGTTCCATTGCCTATTGTTGTAATCGACCAGGATGCTGATCCTCACACCACTGTTGTCGAAGTTAGCTTTGGCGATCGGCTTGGGGCACTGCTTGACACGGTGAGTGTCATCTCTTAATTTTTCTATAACAGAGAAGTAAGCGTTTCTTCCTTTGTTCAGATGAAATCGCTGCGAGATCTTGGATTAACTGTGGTCAAGGGGAACGTAAAGATGGTTGGAAATACCAGGCGCAACAGGTTCTCCATCACACGCGCGTAAGCTACTTAAAGTCCCATTTTTCTTGAGTTGGATGGTTATTTCGTCTTAGATACGACGTTCGAGCGGTGCTTTCAGGGATTATAGAGAGATTTGGATTTGGATGCTTCCAATTTGATCGCTCATCCTTGCTTTGGCAGGGATAATGGTCGGAAGGTTGAGGATCCCGAGCTGCTGGAGTCCATTCGCCTGACGATTATTGACAACCTCTTGAAGTACCATCCAGTATGGCGATTTCGTTTTCTCTTTTCTTTGAAGATTTCATTTGATGTTTGTGCAGGAGTCGAGTGCTCGATTAGCCATGGGAGAAGCTTTCGGCATTAAACCACCGAAGAAGGTATAGTCTACTTGGATTTCCTGTATGCATTCGAAACTCTGGCTATCGGCTGCAGCAAGAGATTCAAACTTTTATCACCATCAAAGAAGATGGTTCAGATAAAAGGTTAGAAGATGAAGCTCATCTTGATTATTTTGTTTTACGTTCGCGTTTGTTCTCTTCTTTGTGCTGCAGCTTACTGACAATTGAGACCGCAGATAAACCTGGTCTCATGATTGAGATTCTCAAAATCATCAATGATATTAGCGTGTCTGTCGAATCAGCTGAAATGGATACTGAGGTACACTCTCTTATACAGATCTCATCATGCATCATACTTTTTCGTTCATCCAGGGTCTAATTGCGAAAGACAAGTTTCATGTTAGCTATGGAGGGAAAGCTCTGAGCAAATCGCTGTCCCAGGTATGCAAGTAGTTTCATACTTTCTTCCTTTCCTTAATTCAACATCATCACAGGTTTTAACCAATTGCTTGAGGTACTACCTCAGAAGGCCCGTGGAAGAGGAGAGCTACTAAAGTTACTATAAATCCTTCTCCACAACATATAGCTATATATCAAAACCTCACTCCGTCCTAGTACGAGACATGCTTGCAAGCCGGGGGATTCTCTTCATAAACTCCGCAGCAAGTGTCCAAGATATCAAAGCTAATGGTATCAATGAAATTGCCAAAAAATAAAGCCTTGGCTTCATCCAGGTTCGAACTGGAGACCTTCAGTGTGTTAGACTGACGTGATGACCAACTACACCATGAAACCAATGTGCTCTTTGTTGGAAAGACAATATTTAAATTTGAGTTTTGGCAGGTTTTTGTCATTCTCATGACTAAGTTGCTTTGGCCGAGTGGTTAAGGCGTGTGCCTGCTAAGTACATGGGGTTTTCCCGCGAGAGTTCGAATCTCTCAGGCAACATTTTCGAAATTAAAATATTCTACACTTGCTTTAATTCAAAGTAAAACCAACACGATCGTCGAAGCGAAGCTCCATGATTCTTATATAGCGGTTTTGATGAAAGAAGATTTCACCACGATCATGGGCAAGCTAAAGAATTTGATCCAAACGATCGCTAGATTATGCGAGAAGGTAGGATAGGCTAGCATTTGTATCAACGCGTTGTCGAAAGATGGAAAGAAGCGTGTAGAAACACTGTCGAACGTTTCAAAAGGCTATAGCTAGAAATGCGGTATTAGGTCTTGCTCATTTCTTCCCTCTTTTCCTCCAGGAAGAACAAGGCGCGCCGAGGAGGAAGAAGCTCGAGGCGATCAAGCTGGCCGCGCACAGGATTCTCGATCGCCTCCTCCGCAAGCTCCACCTCGATCCGTATTCTTCCACTGGCGAGGTGAGAGAAATCTAGCGCGTTATTTCGATCGGTATTTCACCAGGATTTCGCCCGGCAGACCGAGGAATCGCTGATGTCGGCGATATTCGATCACCACCGCCACGCATCGGAGCTCTTCGCATCGGTCCCCAACACCGCGGCTGGAGATCCATCAAATTTCTGGAGCGAGGAGCTCAAGAAAGCCCCATTCCCGACCAACTCCTTCTGGCTCAACTACGTTCTCAAGGATGGATCACAGCCAGAGTACATTCATCCATACCTTGTTCAGTCCAAGCCAGGCGCCTTCACGATCTGCTATCCAGCCAGGATCGTTTCTCCAGCCTTCATCATCCAGGCATTCACGCAGGACATCACAATTTCTCATGGCCGAGGCAACGTCCCACACGTCATCTCACACTACGACGATCTTTCGGTAACGCTGGAAGTTCCAGGCAAGCGGCTCAAGGTTCCTCTAGTTCGTGGAAGTCCATACGTGACGCTGGTTTTCAAGGGTGGCATCTCTAGCTCCAACTATGAACCGGTGACCATCTCAACGATTCATGCCATCTTGGAGCTCACATCAAGCCCCGACAATACCAAGCATCGCCTAGTTCTCAACAACAGGCAGACTTGGTGCATCTACTCTAGCTCGGCTATGGAGATTTTCAAGGATGGAGTGTCGGCTGTGCGAAGCAAGAGACCTTTCTCGGGTGCTTTGCGGCTGGCGTTGGTTCCTCGTCCTGAAAGCGAAGGGGTCCTGGACACTTTCAGTGGAAGATATCCCGTGAGAGGGCATGCCACCTTTGACAGGCCTTTCAGCATGGGCTTCGAGTGGAAGAGCCGCGGAAGGGGAGAGCTTCTCATGCTGTGCTTACCGATGCACAAGGAGATAATGGCTTCTCCAAGCCTGTCAACCTGCCGGGTGTCGAATCTCGTCTACTCCAGCATCGATGGAAGCTTGGAAGGCGTCGTGGGTGACAAGTGGTCGCTGGAGCCGAGGTCGGTTTCGTCTGCGTGGTACTCGGATTGTGGCATTTCGGACAGCTTCGCTCGCGATCAGATCAAGCACGCCTTGGACAGAGATGTACACGAGCTCTCGCAGATTACTACCAACTCGAGCTACTTTTACGGCAAGGCCGCTGCTCGAGCTGCAAGGATGGCGCTCATAGCCGAGGAAGTTGGCCACTATGGAGTGATACCGAAGCTGAGAAGCTTTCTCGACGAGGCCGTCACGCCATGGCTCGACGGGAGCTTTGCGAGAAACGGGATAGTCTTTGATGCAAAGTGGGGGGGTCTGGTGAGCCGGGAGGGAGCCAGAGATCCGGGGGCCGACTTTGGAAATGGAGTCTACAACGATCATCACTACCACTGGGGTTACTTCGTCTACGCTGGAGCTGTTCTTGCCAAGATCGACAATGCCTGGGCCAGGAAGTACCGTGACCACATCTACACTCTGGTGGGAGACTACATGACTTTTAGGAAGGAAGGCTCGAACTTTCCAAGGCTGCGGTGCTTCGACCTGTGGCTCATGCATTCCTGGGCTGGGGGTCTGACGGAATTCGCGGATGGTCGCAACCAGGAAAGCACCAGCGAGGCTGTGAATGCGTACTACTCGGCGGCGCTGCTTGGCATGGCTTTCGGGGACGTGGGACTCATCAACCACGGTCTCACACTCGCAGCTCTGGAGATTCATGCAGCGAAATCACTCTGGTTCATCCCTTCCAGCTCCGATTCTTCGATCTACGAGGAGGAGTTTGCGAGAGACAACCGGGTCATCGGAGTTTTATGGGCCAACAAGAGAGACACAGGACTGTGGTTTGCTCCAGCCGAGAGCAGGGAATGCAGGGTTGGGATCCAGGTTCTTCCTCTCACTCCCATCACCGAGAAGCTGTTCGACGACAAAGGTTTTGTCCGGGAAGTTGTGCAGTGGACATGGCCGAGAGTGGAGCTCGCAGATGTTGCAGATGGATGGAAGGGATTTGCCTATGCTCTTGAGGCAGTCTCTGGGGATTCAAAGGCGGCTCTCAAGAACACTCTGGCACTCAAAGGACATGACGATGGAAACTCGCTCTCAAATATGCTCTGGTGGATATCTACTCGCCCGCCGTGCTAGACACTACTATAGTCAACGTTATATATGCAAGTAATATTCTGTATTTTATGCTGGTTTGGATTACATTTTCAACTCCAAAAAGTTTCCATTATAGGACAGCTTCACTCTAACCACTTGTGAATAACTATGGTAATTGATTTTTGAAGGTAACACACTTGAGGGATGGATGATTATGGCAATTTTTTTGAAGTTTGATGCTATTAAGGATGGTTCAAATTTGAATTGAGTTCATGAATTAAGCTCAATTTAGCTCAAGTCAATGCTAGACCATAAATTTTATAAAGACATGTCAAGTTAGAAAAATGTTATTCTTAGGTGAATTTAAAATTCATGAATTTAATTGTCAATGGCTCAAAGAAATTTTTATTTTTTGAATTT